TCACCTTCCCCAAATATGCCCAGGCATTTGGTAGCTGGGTTAAACTTGGTCTCAACGAATTAAAAGCTGGTATCAATCGAGTCTTTGTCGAGGGCGATATCAAAGGTGCCAGTTGGATCTTAAATATGATCGATTCGCAAACGGGCAATCGCGCCACAACGTATACAGCTTTCCTGGAACCAACACAGAAAGATGGCACGTCGAAGATTGACGTGTATGTGGAGACGCTGGCCGAGAGAACTTTATCAAACACTCCCCCTGACAGCGACCCCGTAACCATCGGAGTCTTAGTGAAACGGGGGGGCATTAGATTTCCGATATCCGCAGCGAAAGAAGTAATTCTAGCTGGAGGACCCATACTTACTCCTCAATTTCTCATGGTGTCTGGTATCGGTCCTCAGGATCACCTGCGGGAGATGAACATTTCAGTCAGAGCTAATAGACCGGGAGTCGGCCAGAACTACAACGATCATATTCTCTTCGGCGTCAAGCACGCAGTACAAGTGGAGACAACATCGGTGCTCCTCAATACTACCAGGAAGTGGCAAGAGTGCGAAAGGTTCAAAGCTCACGCAGATGGCATGCTGGCCGATCCGGGCCCGAATTTCGCCGCCTTTGTCGATTACCCGGAAGATATTCGCCAGAACCTGTCTGCCCAGACTAAATCAGGTAATTTGTGGCCTTGTGTCTCTCGTGGTTCCGTTGTGCCTAATACTACGATTCCAGATCTCTCCCAATTCCCCTCTGACTGGCCAGATATCGGTATCGTATCTTCTCCACTCGGCGTCAATGGCGACGGCAATCACAACTATGCAGACCTCGTCTGCATCCCTATGAAGCCCATATCCAAGGGAACTATTAAACTCAGATCTAAGTCCATGGATGATAAGCCTGTGCTGGATCCGCAATGGCTGAAATCTCCGACAGACATGGATGCTGCCGTCGCCGGTCTGCAGTACCTTCTGCGCCTCTATGGAACGAACAGCATGAAGCCCATCTTAGATGCCTCGGGTAAACCTATCGATCTAGAAAGTTCTAACAAGGACGACCTCATTAAGTATGTGAAAAACAACTATCGAACGTTGAATCACCAATCTGCATCGTGCCGAATGGGAAAGCGAGACGATCCTATGGCCGTGGTGGATAGTAAGGGCAAGGTAATCGGGGTTGATAGACGTGAGTCCTACCTACTTCGACTCCGGACTTGGCTTTTAGCTGCCCCTCCGGTCTGTAGGACAAGACTGATTGAGAGAAACAGTGAGAATTGCTGACCCATCTGCCTGGCCTTTCTTGCCTGCGGGATTTCCGTTAGGCACTGCCTGTAAGTCATACCCTACTATTCCCACAGTCAGTTTTGGAATGATCGGTCTAACCTATTCAAACTGTAGATATGTTTGCGGAGAAGATAGCCGATAACATCCTCAGTGATCATGGAAGTGACAAGGATGAGGATGGGGATGGGGATGAGGATGAGCTGCGAGTGGAACTCTAGAGAGAGGGCCCTACGTTTCTCAACGGAATGATGAAGAGTACTCATTCGAACATGAAAAGGCACCGACCTACTGAAATTGCAACAGATGTCTATAACACACTCTCAGGTAGTGGTAATATACTAGATCACACTACAGGAAAAGTGACTGCAACTGGCTTGAGCGACAATGCTCCGTTTCTGAAAGACTCCCAATGGCACTCTAGAACGGGCCATTAATCCCAACGAAGGGAGCAAGAAGCAGGTCAGAGCGAAGGCTACTGAGATCTGAAATTGTAAATAACATATGAATTGATTAAAAGTCTAATCCTAGTGTAGAGGTTCCGTTGTTGATTATATTGGCATCGAGCATATTCCCGCCAGGGGTAATTTAGTATCAGCCACGCTATCTAATCGGCACACGCCAGTGACATCCAAGTACTTGCCGGCGACCGGGCATACAAATCGATCAAAGCCTATACTAATACTCTGCAGCCGGCATCTACTATTTCTGAAAAGATCAACAAACCTGTTTGCCAAATTCTACGTAAGCAATAATCGGCATCACTCTATCTGCTGCCACACTCCCGCCACGTGTCTGGCCTGAAAAGCAGATCATTGTCGAAATCGTCTCTCGGAGGCTAAATATCGAATTGCCCCACCTTCCCCTCATCTGATGCAGAGAGCGAACGTCGTTCATGATGGTTTTCACATCAATTCTCTTAAACCAAATCAGGACTCATTTTTCCTCCCATGGAAAATGCCATCCACCCTTTGCGACAGATGCAAAGTCCTATACTTTAGCGCCGAGTCCCTAGCGCGATACGGCTTCACAGAGCTGGGAACAGAAACCGGAAAACCCCACCTGCAATTCCCAGCTGGGCAACATTCCATCCCTATCGAATTTGACTGTCGTGATGACCTCCCCGAATTACCGGCTCTTAGGGCGTCAGGCGAGGCAGGATGCTTGTTCTGCCCAGCGCTCCGAAATTCGCTGCTAAAGGGCATTAGCGAATGTCGTCTTCGCAGTTGGGTCTTGGGGAACCATGACCATGGACAATGGACAGTCAAGGTGGTCAAGGTTTCGCTGATGGCGGAATTCAGAGCCTCGGACGACGAGAGAAGTAAATTCGCAGCAATCATGATGGGATGGGATGTTCTTAGGCCAGGACAGGATCGGTATGAGGGCGATTTTACTGGGCCCGATGGTCTGGTTTACTTCAAATTACGTGCGCACTCTGGTTGGTTACCTTATTTTTCTGCTTAGTATGGGTTGACATTGATTTTGGTCTCCAACTGAGATGATCGTTTGTGTTGACTACAGATAGATGATCACCTTGCACGCTATTTAGGCATCGCATATCCGCATCCCGATCAAGATAGGCTCTCCACTGAAAACACAAAGACTATCCTAGACCATTTGATCGATTGCGACAAGAACCATAATCACGTCTCCAGCATTGTCCGCCCTGGGGATTCAATATCCGACAGGTTGCCTCTACGGCTTATTGAGATTACTGACAGCCAGGAAGGCAAGAAGCTGCGCTTGGTAGAGACAAAAGAAATCAACGGTCATGAATCAAACTGTCAAGACGCCTCCAAATGCCCGAAATACGCCACACTCAGCTACCGCTGGGGCTCCGACGAGTTCCTCACCACAACCCCCAGCAACCTTCAAGCGCATTACCGGGATATCCCACTATCACCATTCTCGGCAGATGACCCCACGACGACCCTACCACCGGGTTTCAGAGATGTCGTCGACGTATGCTGCGCGTTGGGAATTCCGTATCTGTGGATCGACAGTCTCTGCATTGTCCAGAAAGAAACGAGAACCACAGACAAGCCTCTTCTTGAGATCCAACAGGAGCAGTCCCGACGCGATTGGGCCTCAGAGTCGACCAAAATGCACAGCATCTACATGTCATCATACCTGACAATTTACTTGACTGCCACAGATACGCCCCTTCAGAAAATCTTTGATCGACCGGTATGCAGCTCTGAGTCTCTGGTCCCCATCACATACTCCATCGAAAATCGCCCTGAAGTCCACGGCTCATACTTCATCGAGCCCTCGCCTTACACAGGCGAACTGGATCACCTTTTCTGGAATCCATACCTAGCCGCTGAGGATGAGCTAGACTCATCAGTATGGAACACCCGCGGTTGGACCCTACAGGAACGACTCCTATCCCCACGAAAGCTCTACCTTGGGGTAACCGATATGCTCGGCCTAGGCTTATTGACCTGCCCGTCACCAAAAGATTACGGGCGCGATGTCGAGCTAATCAAACGGCCCCGACGTCACAAGTCACTGGACAAACTGGAGATCGGAGGAACGTCGTCTGCAACCGGGGAACAAGCTCCCGATAACACAAAACTATATCGCGCTTGGTATAAAATCGTGGAAGACTATACCTGTCGTGATCTGACGGTCCCAAGCGACAAGTTACCTGCTGTTGCCGGCATCGCACGCACACACGCCTTAGCCCTGAATGACGAATACCTCGTTGGAATATGGGTTCATGATTTAGCCACGGGACTTCTTTGGGGCACCCGCAACGCGATGAGACCTGGCATGGAGCGATACTTTGGAGAACGAGAACGACAGCCCATGATCCCGACAGAACATTATCGGGCGCCGACTTGGTCATGGTGTGCCAACGATGGGGCGGTTGAATTCCTTGTACGTCATCTCCATAATCCGAAATCGGAGATCGAGGTTCTCGGTCACGATGTGATCCCGCAGTACATGGGAGACAGCTATGGACAACTGGCAGTCGACCAAGGAGATCGGGGATATGTGAAGCTCAGGGCGAAGATTAGAGTAGCCCGGATGGAAGCCAGGTTCCAGCCGATACCAGACATCATGCTGCGGAACTTCCCTGCACTGGCAAACCGAGATCCCGAGGCTGAGAATAAGGAATTTCAGTTACGATATGTCCATGTGACTGACGATGCTGGAGAACGCGGGAGTGAGACTATATTTCTGGATCATGCTGGATGCTATCCTAACGAAGAAGAAGTCTACTTGATGATTGTATCCAGGGGTGATCAGCGGGTGTGGTCGGAGCCTGGTAAGTACGAAGTTGGGGTTCGATCTGCCGGGTTGGTGCTGCTGAAGTGTCCGAATCAGACGAGATTGCAGTTTAAGCGGATTGGCTTCTTTACGCATTTCTGGGATTCCGGACTTACCCCAATCTTCGATAATTGTGAGCCGCAGACTGTTTATTTGGTGTGATCATGGCAGCCCTTGAGGGTTTCTATAGATGAAGCTTGTTAGACTAAATCATTCAAAAGTAAGGATTCTGTCACTAAACCTGTTTCGACAGTAGCGTACAGGCACCTACTTGCTCAATCATTACCTAGTAGAACCCTATATTTTATGTCCTTTGTTGGTGAGCCATACATGACTGAAGCTTTGACTAGTATACATAACCCCCGGCTCGCATAAAAATAACGTAACCGACAATCCGAAAATCAAAGTAGAATAGCCTCGAGGGAGAGCCCTTCATGTTTTCATCCGGCTACCTCAGCATATAGACAGGTACTCCGATACATCTGCAAAGCTACCATCCGAGCTGGCGGCACTGCTGCGCTCTTGGAGCATATCCTCCAGTCGTGAGTTAACTCGGGAAGGAAAACAGTAGAAGAAGCCAGCTTCCATAAGACTGTCTGAGGACTGATCAGCAACAGGTTGCTGATTGATAACGCTTAGCAGCTCATCAACCGCAATAGCCAGCTTTTCCGTGAAATCAGGCCGTTGGCGCAGGCAATCAGCGAAATCCCCATCAGTATATTTGTTGTCATACTTCGCCCGGAAACGGTCAGTTCCCGCGCGGATGTGAATGGATATTGGCGCTCGCCCCGCACGACAGGCAGCAGTGAGCTTATATACAATCGCCTTCAGCTCATTCAGCTTGGCATTCGTGCTTCAAGAGATGTGGATCGGAGGATATTCTCTTCTCTAGGAAGGTCTGTCGCTTTTTCACCACAAAGGCAAATTCCAGGAGGAGCACTCCCAGGTCAGCAACCTCAATGTTGACGGCGTGCAGCCGACCAGGCAGGCGCTTGTATAAAGTTCGTAGTTCCGACAACTTAGAACAGACTTGAGCGGCTAATGTTGCGATCGCAATAACGCTGGAACTGATCGATAGTGGATCCATGGTTGGCAGCCGATCGAGGGACAAACAGCAAGCAAGAAATTCTGAGAGGGGTCATCAGATTGGGTACGATGACTCTAACAGTGATAGAGAACAGAACAAAAGTACTGTTTATCTGATGTTGACTAGTAACGGAGTTCATTAATCCCGGTTTAGCAATTGGGCTCGAACCCAAACTTGGCCGGTCTCACAACGGCTTGACAATCCAACCGTCAACTGCAGTTGGGTAACATTAAGTAAAGTGGACGTACCACTCACACTAGCTGAGTTTGGGTTGCTAAGGCATTTGTATCACGAGCACCAAGAGTGTGCATTTTCCTGGTGGATTCTGCTCGACGGAGAGGCTGTGGTGACAGACTGCTGTAGCCGTCCTGAGCCCACTTATCGTCCTCCGTCCTTTCATATCACACTCTGAGAAGCCAAGTGGTAGCATTTCCAGGTTACAAGCATTCATCACTATATTGGTTTGGGGAAGACATACCCACATCTAGGTTTATTTCGGATTAAGCTTCAGTAAGAAGCGGATACTTGCGCCATTCTCGTACTTATTCCTTGTACGAGCCTTGGCTACCATGGCCACCCCAGCCTAGATCTCCCATCTGCCAGCCTTCAGGTCGACTGCGGGTGGTCGGTTAATCCCGTAAATAGCGCGACGATCGAATATTCTCCTCGGTACCTGGCTCTGTAACAGTTCAAGAATCCCACTATCACGGGGATGCTTCCGTAGGGTGTATTCTCACTCGGTTTCCTCCGAAATCAGAACATCAACATATCTGAAATTACTGATTCTAACCTTTCATGAAGCGACGGGCAAGGATATGTAAACATTCGCGAAGACACCAAGTAGTAAGCTGGTCCAAAATGCCAGGGGAAGCCATGTAGCACAAGACTTTGGACTTTAGAGAGCATGCTGGTTCATTTGCTTTGATTTTCTTTCTTCCCCTTTCTTACAAATTTTTGTCGTCTCCCACCCCTAGCCGCCTGTACTTCGGTCTACCCCTCTTTACAGACTCCCATACGATATATAGCATCTCACACACCCCCTCCCTCCCTCTTGCTGTCGTTGCACCTAGAATCACAACATGAGATTTGGCCGAGATCTTCACCTTCATCAGTCCCCAGAGTGGGTGGAGCATCATGTTCCATACAATCGTCTCAAAAACCTGTTGAAGATTGCCGTTGAGAGAGCTACAAATGAGCAAACTTGTCCCGATTTTTCAGGTTCGTCACTTGTAACAAACACAAACATTTGATAATTACATGCGCTTAACTTTCTTTAGATGTAGAATCATGCCTGGATCAAAGCATCGCAGTTCATCTTCGGTTTCGCGAGAAGCAAGATAACTATCTTCGCCAGCAAGTAGAAAAGACAAAATACTATCACCACATAAGCTGTCGCGTTTTCGATCCAACTTCGATGTGCACACTATCCCAAATTGACGTCGAGATTCTTTGCAAATTGTTTAGCAAGCTTTCCCAGGAAGCTTTTCAACTGCTGCGGTACCAACGGTTGGACGTTGAAGCCGTTTCTCGCATCTACGCAAAGATCGACAAACATCTAGAAGGGGAGGAATGCCACTCCGCTCGACCAAACTATCTGGACAGATTCATGAGACAAACACCAGCGAGCGTACGTATGGCGGGGAAATTGGACCTAACGGTTGCCCGTATACAGGAGAGACGGTCGGATCCCAGCAGGCCGGCCTACCCACAACCCCGATTATATGAGGCGCTACGGCAGGATCATCCTTCGACAGTTGCTTCCATGGTAGAAGAGTCCTTACAACAGAGTAACTTACCCAGGGAGTTATTTCTCTTTCATCTTTTAGAGCTAGCTGTATATGAACTTCGCCCTAATACTGTCCGCACATTACTATTCGATGTGCTGCCTCAGAACGACATTGCCATCCAGGCTGTATTATTGAATCGCTTGTTCATGGTTCTGGGTCTTCGGAAGGTGCAACTATCAGCACCGTATTCCTGTACACTCTTGTGTAAGATCCAAGACCTTCTCTGCCAGGTGATTGGGAGGTTAGGGCCCAGGTCAGAGGAGGTTCTGCTGTCGGAAGATGAACTCGGACGCCTCCCTCTACACTATGCTGCTTCTGCCGGGCTTTTTGGGGTGTGCATGGCAATATTCAATGTCGCTAAAAGCTGGAATACTACATCTAGATGGTGTTTGATTATGCACACTGACAAACGAGACTGTTCACCTCTCGAGTATGCGGTTATTAGCAACCACCTCGACGCTGTTTTATCTGTTCTATTCTACTTGGAAAGATTATTAGATGCGCCCTATAGTGATGACGGAATAGCATCATTGTTGAGTCGAATGCTCTTTACTGCGCTGCATTACGGATATGAAGATCTGATTTCGATCATCTCATGGACTTGCTCTCGCGTCTGTCAGAGACCCAGGACCTGTGAAGGGGCCAGCCCGCTGCATGTCGCCGCGCGTACTGGAAGGGCAGATCATGTACGACTACTGTTGGGGAACATATGTATCTCTGATGTGAACTCGGTGGAGCCGATGTACGGTTGGACTGCGCTGATTGTCGCCTGTGTCGAAGGTCACCAGAGTATCGTCGATGTGCTTCTCGAGCATGGAGCCGACCGGGACCACAGGGACCATCGCGGCTGGACAGCACAGGAGCATGCCGCTTTTCGGGGGCATCTTGCCTTAGCGAAAGCCATTGCCGGGCCATCCAAGTGGGAGGCAGGTACCGATGGACTACCTGCCGCACCGTTGACGCAGCAGGGTGCCATGATTAAGGCTCTACACCAACGGTCGCAACTGGTGGTCTACCTTGGCAGCCTGCAGGATGGAAAACAATTTAAACACATAGAGCTTCGAACACCATCACTGAGAAGTAAAGCCTCGGACTACAACCTTGCGCTCAAAGTTTCTTCCCCTTGGAATAACTCTGTTCGTCAGCTCAATTTGTCCTTGCTTAGTGACACGGCCAACCAACCATTGATCTTTGAGCTTCCCACTCCGACCGAGGCAGAACTGTGCCTAGAGCTCCTCGATTTGAACGATGGTCCTAAAGGTCAAGCACAGTTGCTTGGAGGCGGTACGGCGCTGCTGATGGACAACCTCAGTACCTTTGGCGAGAACCGGGAAAGTCTGGTGCGCGAGAGAACTGTTCCCATTCTCGAGAGCGGGTCGTTCCAGGTTATAGCTACTGTGACCTTCACATTTCTTATTATCAAGCCATTTCAGCATCCCAGCATCCCCTCTGTGAGAGAATGCTTTCTCCGTTATGACGATTTCTGTCTCGTAGGGCATCGAGGTAAGCATGCAGGTTGAGGTTATTTATGCTCGCCGCTGAAAATGTGCAGGTTTCGGGCAGAATGTTGCCGGGCATGATTACTTACAGTTGGGAGAGAACACAGTGGAGGTAAGTGGTAGTTTATCTAACTAGACCATATGCTCATAGTGCCCAGTCATTCCTATCAGCTGCCAGTCAGGGAGCTTCTTTTGTCGAGGTAATGTTGAACTCCCCTATTCTATCTTGCTGATCTAACGTCTTCTAGTTCGGTATGCCATTCGCTATTGAAATCTTGTTTTTACCATGTACTAAGCTATTGCAGATGCTCAATTGACCAGAGACCTTGTACCTGTTGCATACCACGACTTTTCCTTGAGCGAGTCTGGGACTGACATCCCAGTGCATGACGTGACTCTAGACCAGGTTAGCGACATTACCTCTACGACCTACTTGGAATCCATCTAACTTTCCAGTTTCTGCACGCGAGCAAAATACAATCCCCAATGGGGCATCCAAGCTCCATCTTGGGAAACAGCCACTACCATCGAAATCGACGCTCGCGGTCTCTTGCCAGGGACAATGAGCACGGAGCGCAACAAATGCAGGAGAGGATGAGACACACGGTTGACTACATGAACAAAGGCTTCAAGCCCAACACGCGAGGCCACGTTATCCAGGACTCATTTGCAACCATCGAAGAGCTACTAATCCAGCTACCGGAAAACCTCGGCTTCAACGTCGAGATCAGTGAGTCGTCCCCGTATCTCATCTCAGAAAACATCGCTAACAATTACTGGAATACCCCCGACTCCACGAAGCCACCGAGGCAGGAGTAGCCCCGGTAGCGATCGAGATCAACACATTCGTGGACAAGATACTGGAAAAAATATTCACTTTGAGTCACAGCAGAAACATCATTCTGTCCTCGTTCACTCCCGAGATCTGCATTCTCTTGGCACACAAACAGCAGACCTATCCAGTCATGTACATCACCAACGCCGGCAAGGCCCCAGTCCTAGACAGAGAGAAGCGAGCTGGTAGCCTGCAAGCTGCAGTGCGATTTGCCCGGCAGTGGGGTCTCGATGGGATTGTTCTCGCCTCCGAGACATTGATCATATGCCCTCGTCTGATCGGATACGTCCAGCGGTCGGGGCTCCTGTGTGGCTCGTATGGACCACTCAATAATGTCCCGGAAAATGCCCAGGTGAGTGAAGTTGCCTGGGGAGTCACTCGGAAATATACTAACCCCACCTTCATAGCTCCAGTTCGATGCCGGCATCAATATTCTGATGGCCGACCGGGTCGGGCTTATTGCCACAGCACTGCAGGGCCGGGATGGCGATGATCGGCGATTGAAGAACTAGCGGGTTGCTCCGACCGGTCGCATAGGGAGTGGTGACATAGATTATCAATGAGTTAGGGAAGCCCTCATCCCTCGATAATGAATCTACATATCGTATCTTTTGCATACTCTATTTGCCTATTTTGAAACCTTCCATAGGGTCCTAAGCAGTGTGGGAAATGCCCACTCTGGAAATTCGGCGTTTCGGACCGCGGCGGATGCGGGTGGAGAGACCCCGAACGGCGCCGTCGATCGTCAGCGATAAGGTGGTGATCCCAGGGGTGAAGTCATAGTTTAGTGGAAGACCTTTAACCAGTAGCATGATTTTAGTAATTTGTGTCAGTCAGTAAGAAGGGCTAATCCGAATAGCTTCAAAATGGGCAGGCTACCCAGTGTACGTGGGCTTGTTGAAGAAAACGACGAACCCCAGAAAAGACGTAAAAGCCTAGCCTAGGCCGATCTCGTGGGAGGGACAAAGGCAGCTTGAACCCTGAAAAGGTGAGGCTCCACTGGTTCGCCCATGCGATCATCCGTGGGTCTCCCTCGTTGCGCTGCCATGAAGCCATTTCCCTATGGCGTCACCAGCCGGGCCTTACGCCAGGGTTCCTTTGACTTCATCTGTCCACACTCCTTTGCCCACCTGTGATTTTTTGCTGTGGTTGTCCTCTCCTTCCGCAATCATTCAGTTCCTCTTCCATTGTTCCTGAATACATACACGAAAGTACCAAATTTCCTCATTGGCCGCACATGGTCGAACCTTCCTATCTCTGCTAGCAGAGATGCCGCACCAAGATGGCCCAACGGCCGACGACTGGCCGGACGAGCACCTCACCGAACAAACCACCAATAGCACCGGCCATGGGCGGACTCCCCGGCGTGCGCATTATCATGAGAGGGGACTCAACACCGGGGTCCGGGTAATGGGTGCGTGCATTCCCTAATCTTTCTTCATTCCAATATTCCCTCAATCTCAACTACTAACCATAATCAATCCTACCAGATGATGGCCGCCTGGACATCAAGATCCGCGAACGCAAACCCTGGGTATCAAAAATCATCAAACACCTCCAACAGCAACCAGAACCCCTCCGCGAAGAGCGCAAACCATCTGTCTGCTTTATTGAAGATGGGAAACCCCCCTGTGCCTTAAAACTCAACATCGTCATCCAAGTCGTCGGCTCCCGCGGTGACGTCCAGCCCTTCATTGCCCTAGGCAAGGTCCTCAAGTCCCACGGCCATCGCGTCCGTCTCGCCACACATCTCGCCTTTCGTGAATCCATCGAGCATGAGGGTCTCGAGTTCTTTAATATCGGCGGCGATCCAGCCGAGTTGATGGCGTTCATGGTGCGGAATCCGGGCCTGATGCCGCATATGAGTACCCTGCGTAGCGGGGCGATTCCTCGCCGGAGGCGCGAAATGAAGGCTATATTTTCGGGATGTTGGCGCTCGTGCTATGAGACGGGTGATGGAACAGGGTTGCATCATATTCCGGAGGATCCGTGGAGTGAGACGGCGGATTATCGCACGATGCCGTTTGTGGCCGATGCTATTATTGCGAATCCGCCGAGTTTTGTTCATTTGAGCTGTGCGGAGAAGTTGGGGATTCCGTTGAATATGATGTTTACGTGTGTATCCCCTTTTCAGATCTAGATGATCGAATGTGCTGATCAAATGGGTGTATGCAGAATGCCCTGGTCGGCAACACAGTCTTTCCCTCACCCGCTGGCAACGATCCGCACGAAGAACACCAAACCCTCCGCTGCGAATTTTGCTTCGTATGCCATTGTCGAAATCCTTATGTGGGAGGGCCTGGGGGATCTGATTAACTCTTTTCGGAAGCGTGAGCTGGGGCTGGATCCGTTAGACGCTATTCGGGCACCGAGTATTGCGCACCGGTTGCGTATCCCATACACTTATCTCTGGTCGCCAGCCCTCCTCCCCAAACCCGGAGACTGGGGCGATAATATAGACATCACCGGCTTCTCCTTCCTCTCCTCGGGCTCGGACTACACACCCCCCGACGACCTGGCGAATTTCATCAAATCTGGACCTCCCCCAATCTACGTCGGGTTCGGCTCCATCGTCGTAGACAACCCGGGTTCACTAACAAAGATCGTCTTCCAAGCCATCCGCGAAAGCGGACAACGAGCAATCGTCTCCAAAGGATGGGGAAACCTCGGAGCCGACGAAGACGATATCCCAGAGAACATCTTCATGATCAGTAAAAGCCCACATGACTGGCTCTTCCAGCACGTCTCCTGCGTCATTCACCACGGCGGAGCGGGCACCACCGCTGCCGGACTGGTACTGGGCCGTCCGACCATCATCATCCCGTTTTTCGGCGATCAGCCGTTCTGGGGCTCGATCGTGGCTCGCGCTGGCGCTGGCCCGCTGCCTATTCCACATAAGCAGCTGACGGTGGAAAAGCTGACGAATGCGATCAAGCAAGCGCTTGAGCCTGAGACGTTGGAGAAGGCAAAAGAAATTGGGAAGGAGATGCGTAAGGAGCGGGGGGTGCAGAATGCCGCTGCTAGCTTTTATCAGCATCTAGATGTGCAGACTATGCGGTGCTCTATTTGTCCGGATCGGCCGGCTGTGTGGTGGGTGAAGCATTCGCATATTAAGTTGAGTACGTTTGCTGCGGCGGTGTTGGTGGAGACAGGGTTAATTAGTCCGCGGAACGTTGTTCTGTATGTTCTGTGTAGTTTGTATCTTGCGGACGGTGTGTATATGGCTAACTGGTGGTTTTAGATATCGTTCACACGAATACGACACGAATCGAGATCCTAGAGGCCCATTGACAGCCGGTGCGGAGGTTCTCTACGGCATAGTCTCGGGGTTCGCCAGTGGCATCGCGGAGGTCCCCAGCGGAATGAGAGGCATATTCTCGACGACGCATGAGCGACGACTGCATCACAAGCACGACTGGAAAAAAGCGCGTCGGCCATCCTGTCTTGATGAATTGAATACCCCTCGTCACCGTCATCGGCGAACGGAAACGTCCCTTGATTCTGGTGTCGGGGCTGATGTGGTGCCAAATGGTGACAGTCAGCACCCAGGAACTGGAAGCCAAGGCCAGTATGAGCACGGTGATCCCCGCGAGGACCTATCCTCCAACGAGGACTCCCGAGAATCGACTGAATCCGACGAAGCGTATCACTCCGCTGGGGAGGAGATTCACCGAGATCAGGCCGTTTCCGACCGTCAGCAAAATGTAAACGGGGCTACCAACAGCCCCAGCAGTGGTGATCCATCAAGCCCGCCCATAAGCAGCTCCGATACTGATACGTTCGACACAACGGATGACGATATGGGCGCGGAGCTCGATCTCGAGCGAACCGTAACTCGACTGCGGTCGAGGGAAATGTCCCATACAAAGGAAATATTGGCCGAGACGTCCTATCACAGTGCCAGGGCGACAAAGCATATTCTGGATTGGCTCCTTCTGTTGCCTACCGATTTGACTTTGAGTCTGACGAAAGGGTTTCATAATGCCCCGAAATTGTATCACGATACCTTGGTGGAAGAATCGCCACGAGTGCTTGGAGTGAGGAGTGGGTTTCGTGCTGCAGGAACGGTATGCTCTTCGGATGCCCCTGAGGAATGGTTGAATTTGCTGATGAGTATAGGAATTCACTCATGGATTTTACAATGGCATTACTGGACTTGTCACGCAGCCCGTGGTCGGGATGGAAAAGGCTGGTGGGAAAGGATTATTGAAAGGTATTGGTAAAGGCGTAGGAGGTGTCTTCCTCAAACCCACTGCTGGTGAGTTTCTCCTCGACAAGACTGGCAATGTCAGAGCTAACTGGGACCTGCTTAGGCCTTTGGGGTTTGGCGGGCTACCCGCTGGACGGGATGCACAAGAGTCTCCGCAACTCGCTCTCCAAGAGCAAAACGAAAGATATCCTGACATCGCGAATAAGACAGGGTATTGAGGAGATGTGTGCAGCTACCACGCAGCAACGATCCCTGGTGATCCAGAAATGGCATGAGTTGCAGCCAACGGGGCTGAGGCATGAGCATGGGCATGAACATGGCTCGTAGGTAGATATACCCAGTTTACTGTGTTTTTTCTGCATGTGTACGATGTATATTTAGTCTGTAGTGTATAGCTTTGTGGATCGAATGTACACTAGGTGTCCATAACTGATAATGATTCTTGCCGCATGTGATTGATAAGATAGGAGAATTTCGGATCATCCCTGTGCAGCAAGGCTTGTTTTTTTCCTTTCCAGAAGACAGAATTCAAGAGATTTATCGGGATCACTAGCCACAGTGATGTCAGCCTGTTATTCGCATCTCGATTGCCCGTTCAGGAATTCACTGGTGTCCATCTCTCAGGCCTTCCAAGGCAGTCATTCACTCAGCTCAGCCACTTCCCCCCACCTGAACCGCTCCTTCGTGAACTCTGGGCCCCGGATCAGCCCAATCAAACCATTCACTTGGTCCCTTAGTGGCTGTGCCGTCGCTCTTCATTTCCGTCCTGTGGCTGCGCCCGTCTCTGAGCTTCAGCTGTCAGATACTTAAACGTCGCACAACCCCACTTCCTCGATCTCACTTCATCGTCATCATCAAACACAGATTTCGTCCTTAATCTGCATTCTTCTGAAAGAAGAACCATGTCTTATCAGCAACCTTACGGACAGGGTCCGCCACAGGGCTATAATCAATATCCCCCTGCAGGACAGTACCCGCCGCCGCAGGGACAGTATGGCCAACACCAACAATATCCACAATATCCCCCGCAGGGTCCAGGCCCCTACCAGCAAGGTCCAGGTTCTCATCAGCCGCCTCAACAGCACGGTTCATACCCACCTCCAATGGCCGGTCATCATCCTCAGCAGACACAGGCACCATACCCTCCCCAGCAGCAACACCCACCACAGGGTGCCTCTCCATACCCACCTCCCATGAGCGGCCAACATTCTCAGCAACCTGGTCCCTATTCTTCATATCCACCATCACAGCAGGGCATGGGATATCCGCACCAGGGCCCTCCATCCCAGCAGGGCTACCCACAAGGGCATCCTGCTCAGCAAGGCTATCCGAATCCGCCACAACAGCAATACCAATCTTTCCCGCCGGGTCCTCCAGGCCAACAACCACCACCAATGACGGCACCCCCAGGGGCAGGCGGGCCTTACCCCAGCTATTCCCCCCAACAAGGCCCAATGCCCTCCCGTCCCTCCCCCGGCTATGATCCTACTTTCCTTGCCCCAGGCACAGCATCCAACGAAGCCGAGGCTCTCCGCAAAGCCATGAAGGGGTTCGGCACGGACGAGAAAGCGCTGATTCGCGTCCTGACTAGCACCACAGACCCGAACCGGATGGCTCTTATCCGCCACACGTACGAGAGGATGCATAACAGATCTTTAACAAAGGACCTGAAGTCCGAGACCTCGGGATCTTTCGAGACGATCCTCGTTTCGCTTGCCACGGGACCATTGGAATCGGATATCACGTACCTCCACGACGCGATGAGCGGGCTAGGCACAAACGAAACGGGATTAAACGATGTTCTTCTGGGGCGGAGTAACGCCGACCTGGCTGCTATCCAGCGCGCCTACCGCGATAAATACCACAAGTCGCTTCTCGACGACATCAAGGGCGAGTTGAGCGGCAAGACGGAGCGGTTCTTCGAGATGCTACTCAACGCGAGACGGCCCGAACGGGGAACTCCCTTCGATCCCCGCGGTGTCGAGACTGACGTCAGAGAACTGCATCGTGTGACCGCTGGAAAAGTGGGAACAGATGAGGTCGCTGTTTTCGGTATCTTCATGAACTCATCGGATGAGAGATTGAATGTGCTGGCCGGGGAGTTTGAGAGAATGTATCATGTTTCTCTGGAGAAGGTCATCCGGGGTGAGTTTTCGGGGCATTTGGAGGATGCGTTGGTTACGATGCTGCGGGTAGCGAGGGATCCGGTCTCATTCCACGGTGCAACTTTGAAGGAGTGTTTCTTTGGGTCCGATGGGGTCAATGAGAAGAGGTTGATTTATTGGACTGTCAGGTTGCATTGGAATCCGGAGTATTTCGCGAGGGTGAAGGGAACAATGGGAGGGAATTTGCGCGCGTTGGTGAAGAATTATGTTTCGGGCGGGGATTTTGAAGATGCAATAATGGCCGTTTGCTCTCATTGATAATATTTTTTCTTTGTTTTCTGTTGTATTCTTCATGGTGGCTTCCATAATAGTAATGATATGATGATGAAGGATTGTATTTCGAGGTGTTGGTGTGTCTTTCAGTAGTCCTACTAGTACTAGTAGGCTTGGCTCCAGCCATAGTGACCAACTACTGGCAATATATATCCGGCACGAGTTGTAGAAAAATCGTCGGCCGAGAGAGAGAAAACCGGACACACCACGATCTCACAATGGGAAGCAGTGTAAGAGCTCTATGAATCAATTAGATACATAGCCTTCTTAAAGAACAACAAGATCTCCAGAGATCCAACAAACCATAAATGCAACGGACACAACCGCTATACTGGAGCTAGCATGTTATGGTGATGATATATGTTAAGGCCCTTATGTATTAAAGTTGAGACCAACTACCATAACAACGGCAAGGTGGCCGAGCGGTCCAAGGCGCCAGGTTAAGGTTCACCTTAACAGTCAGCTTCCGAGCTTCCTGGTCATCGTAAGATGGCGTGGGTTCGAATCCCACCCTTGTCACTTCTTTTTGTCTTTTTGCTTTTTCTCACCTGATTGCTCGCTAACATTTTTTTTTTCTCTCTCTTCTCTCTTCTGATTTCATGGTCGTGTGGCCGCTTGGTCTGCTCTATTGCATCTACTCACCACACTGGCTGTCTGCCGCCCGCCTGCCCTCTATTAGCTCCACCATTTCTTTCACGGCATCGTCGCGTCGTAATGGTGGAACATGCCGATTTGTTGGATCCTTTTTGTCGACAGAGATATTATCAGGTACTAATTTAATATGAGCCCACATCTGTAAAGAACACCGTCCCCCTGTAGTTTAGTTAGCCAGGTCTTCCTTATGATTATGAGGTCCTTAGTTCATTTCCTCAACAACAACTTCTGTTCGTCCCTGTTTCTACAGTCAATACTATCTCAATTTCCATCTTCATGCATTCACCTCATATAGCAAACCTCCTTGAATATAATCAAATCGATGGAACAGCCCGGTAAGCTCCATCCCTACATTGTATCAGAGCCATCGCCACCCCACACATCTATCCAGAACTACTTATAGTCCCGTTTTCCCACAAACCAATGGACCAGGGTAGCACTGCTGAGTTATTCTGTTGTTGTATACAATGTTTGAAATAATGACGCAGGCACCGGAAACAACCCTCCGAGCCTGACGTCCACGTGGCGCATCGTTACTATTTCCATCCCCGAGTCAGGGTAGTGTCCCCTGGTTGAGCATGGAAATAATCCAATCGCCGTCCATCTATATACTTCAGCCTTAAACCTTTACAGGAGATAGTATTCATCTTATCGTGCCGTGTTATATTACACCTCAGTAACAATGGTATTGTCGATCCAACAAAGCGTCTTTCTCTACATGCCATTATACTGAAGTTCTTTGTTCGATATTTCCCTGAAGCGCTTCGTCGTATCTATTGTACTCGGCTTGAACCGGGAAATTTGCCCATCCAACCGGAAACATGCGAAAGCTGAGACACTCTCGCTTCATGAAGTGAAAAGGACTATAAAAATCCAGCTGCAGCAGCAACATGTCCCGCAAGACTCGAGACGCATACATACGGACCGCCGCGCCCCTCTGGGCGCCATCCATGGTCCTGGGCCCCGACGTGTTGTATACTGTGAATCATCTCAAAGTAATTACTTTGGTCTATGACGGAATTCTGGCATCTTCAGGACTGTTGCAGAGATTTAAGCCTACGGGATCTTAAGTCGCAGGATTCCTCACAGCTCTGAAGCCCTGCTCTTTTTCCTCTGCAACTCTCTGCTAAGAATCCCGACTCAACTATACAAACTACTCACACCAGCTCAAGCAACTTCTTTCAAACCTGCTATATTCGGCAAATCCTACCATTATCTTACATTTTCCGTTTATGGAACAAATCCACGACGAAAACCACACCATGCAGTACTCCAGCGTGCAAGTTGCCACAGCGCAGTCACCTGCTGCTCATCTCCCAGCCTCATCTGCACCCGCAGTGCAGACTACCGTTCAACCAACCGAAAGAACATACTCATCTGGCTTCTTCTACCAAAAAGGCAAATACTGGTCGACTAACCAAGTGAACGCCCTCAACCGCAACGTAACAAGGGATGTCACTCCCAGTGAGCTACTCGGTAGATACTTTCCTACCGAAGAAAAGGATCTCCAGCGTATGTTATCTTCCCTCCATAAAGACAGCCAACCTGACAAGCAACTGACACGATATACCATACAGTCTTCAACAAACTCCAGAAACATTTCATCATCCCAGGTAACGAAGATGTTACCAACTACGACCCCACGAATCCCATGTGGGCAGATAATAGTCTCGGACGGATCTTCCAGTCCTTCTCAATCATCATGAAGTGGCGCAAGCAAGACGCATTAGTGCCCCCCACCATCATCACAGTCATGACAACGTTGGGATACCGCATGAGTGCATTCCAACACTTGTAAGTACCACCAACAACAACTTTTCAAAACTCCAGACAATCAAGCTTAGCTAATACCCAAACCCGAACAGCAAAATCACCGAACAATATATCGCTTACAACCTCCCCAAATTAAACATGAAGGGAGTCCTCCGCTGCGATGGCGGAATGTACAACCTGAACGATAGACTGGGCAAATTCCCGTTGGTCGTGCTTTCAGTATGTCATTTCCTCCCCTGCCCCTGTCCTCCCACATGCACAATAATGCTAACAGCGACCCCAGGATGCCTCAAATATCAGTAAAACACAAGCTACTAATAACGAAATATCCAATATCCTCCTTCCCATGGCGGCACAGTACGACTACGGCCGGAAGCGCGACAAATACGTGTCTTTCTGCATCATGGCCTGGGATACCAAATATCGGATTACTCGGGCCGAGGCGTCACATACCTACTTTGAGAGTCTGCGGCAGGGAAGGCGCACGACAGAAGAGTTGGTCATTAAGAGAACGAGGATATATGACTTGCTTGGGAATGAAGATCGGAGCCCGACGGAGGAACTTTATCGGACGGATTATTGGTTAAGAGGTCGGAACCCGGATCGAGAGGAGTTCTTGAAGGTATTTTGGGGAATGTGTTTGTTTTTGAGCGATTATACGAGGGTTGTATGATGTTATTGTTTCTATCGACTTTCTGGGGTTTATCTTGGGTTAACTGTTATGTATGGTGTTCTGTTGTGTTATGTCTCTCTGGAGTTTGTTTTACCATGTGCTGAGCGATTACAGTCCTGTCCTGTTTCGAGTCACTTTGTTTGCTAAATTGATTGGTTGATTATCGGAGTGAGAAGTCAAAACCACTCCTGATCGAAGTGAGTCGTCAATATCACTTCCTACTAATACCGATCCTTGATCCGTTGATTTGATTAAAACGTTCTATTGCTCAACTAAGACCTAATTGCTGGTTACATCCACATCCACCCAACAACTAGATCTCTTCTTCCCCCCCGATCGATATAGATTCGACTTAGATCAAACCCATCCTCGAATCACAGTAAATCATGGAATAATTTACTGAGACTCAACGCACTGGTAGTAGTAAGGGTTCCACTTCTTGCAAACGGAGCCGCTCTCGCAAGTGGTAGGGCCAGTGTGGTTGATACCACCGCAGCGCTCGTACTTCTTAGCAACACCGCCAGCGGAAGCGCTAGCGCTGGCACTGACAGCAGGGACGACGCTGGAAGTAGGAGCGGGGGCAACGACGGCCTCAGTGCTGGAAGCAGCAACCTTGGACTTGGACTTGGTCTTGTTCTTGCAGGCAGTCTTGGAGGACTTAGAAGAGGTGGCGAAGGTGGTGGGGGCCTGGGCCTGGCTGGTGACAGCGGAGGTGGCCTGCTGGACGGGGGCAGCAGAGCTGACGACGGGAGCGGCAGCTTCGGTGGTAGCAGCGGCGGCGGAAGAGGTGGACTCAACGACAGCAGCAGCGGAGGAAGAGACCTCGACGGCGGCCTGGGTGGCGGGGGTAGTAGCAGCGACAGCAGCAGAGGTGGTAGCAGCAGCAGCAGCGGAGGAGGATCCGGAGCTGGAGCCGGAGCTGGAGCCATCCCAGACATCCGGGCCGGGGATGGGGTAGCTGTCGAAGGAGTTGTAGATGTCGAAGAGGATACCGGGGTCAGTGGCGGTGTAGACGCCGGGGATGGAGACACCGGAGGGAAGCTCGCTGGAGCCGTCGGAGGTGACCTTGAACTGGACACACTCCATGTAGAACTGGGCACCACCCTCGCGGTTACCCTCGTGGAGGGCAATGATCTCAGGGCGGAAGAGGTAGTTACCGGCGGGAACATCGGGAACGGTGATGTTGTGCTTGCCCTTGTTGGCGATCAGGATGTCGGTGGCCCACTCGTCGGAGCTCTTGTGGTATCCGTCCTCGGCGATCTTGACCCAGTTGTTGCCGTTGGAGCCCTTGGCCGTCGGGGCCATGTAGACCTGGACGGGACCCTTGTGGGAGGAGGCGATGATGTCGTCGGAGTCGGAGCGGTCGCTGTGGTGCCACTCGAAGGTGACAACGTCACCGGTCTTGACGGAGAGGGTCTTGGAGGCGGCCTGGTCACCGTTGACGTTGCAGGTCATGTCGGTGGACGTGACGTCGGTGACGGGGCTGTTGCTGGGGGGACTGCGGATGTAGCCATCGGCGGAGTTACCGAGACCCTGGTCCTCGCCGTTGATCCAGACGGCCTGGACGGTGGTGTGGGCGGAAGCCAGCTTGGAAGCCGCTGCCAGAGCGAGCAAACTGTAGGTGGTAGTCTTCATGGTGGTAAGTGAAATGAAGGTGTTTTTAAAGTTAGGGTTAAAGAATGAATGTGTGGTAGAAAGGAAGAGAACGTAGTTCGCAGAGAAGAAAGTAAGAAAAAAGAATGTACAGCTATCCTGGCTGATGAAAAGAATGCTTGATGGAAATCTTGAAAGGCAGGTTCGCAGAGAGTGTTTTATATCAGGGCTCGGGCAGGGGAATGGGTGATGGGATGCCGGTTGAGCGGCGGAGGAGATGCGGGCCCTGCCAAGCCAGACGTTTCATCTTAATGCGATCCGGCCGCGATCCATGCTCCACAGAACAGGGTCAACTGGACCCTGGCGGAGTGCATTGCCATACCATCCGCCGGTTGCCAAGGGCGGCTGCTACAGCGGCGCCTTGGCTTCATTTTGCAGGCGCGTAGAGGGAGAGACACGGGTCATGGCCCTCTTCTTGGCCTGGCTAGTCTTACTCTCAGACACTTCCCATAGTGTGATAGTCAGACCATTGGCTGGCTAAACGGCCAATCCGGGCAAATCCCCGGCGTTTAGCCTTAAGCATGCCGGACCTTAATCTTGTTGTGGCCTTGGCTTCTTGCTGCAAAAGCTTTCTGTCAGCTTCGAAGGTGGGGACATTCGCCCAGACGGTGTCCCTGGTTCCAATAGCTTACCCTTTTATCCTGAGAATTGATGTATGTTAACCCCTGGTCAATCAGCAATATAGCCAAGGAATTGTTCAATCTCCGTGTGTGCTGAGAGGCTGTTCACAAGGACCCTGTTCATGAAACGGCACTATTAGTGAACGGCTTGCCGATGGTGAATTTTCGGTCTCCGCTCGATAGCACGCTGCAGAACCAATGCCAGCCAATCCGGATAAACTGGTAATAATCCTTCATTCTCATATGGGCCAGATAGCAAACAGCCTCGGCATAGTATACACAATACAGAGTACGCAGTAAAGGAAATCGTTTCCATGATGGACGATCTTTAATCAAAGTTAATCTACGATCATGTACAATAAGGGACGGCTGGCACAATACAGACGGCCCATGGTTGGGAAAGTGTGGTCTATCATTTGAAGTAGTTCTGTTCCGGTAAAATATGGTCCCTTTTTAGCCGGCAGCAGCGATCTTATGCCTTTAGTAAGCTCGTATTCAGATGAGGGTTTTGCGGGCCAAAGACAAAATCTACATAACAGTTATCTTAGAACCTATATACTTGTAATTATATTGAATGCCTTGAGTATTGAACACTTCAGGATAATCTCAACTATAGAGCCTGACAATAATGTCGCATTTGATTTTCTACTAACAAAAAAGTATGATGGCTATTGTTTGTAAATATTCCCTTATAACTTCACCAATAGTACTGCACAAGCTTGACCAGATATAGGAGAACAGGGTCACAGTATAATATATAGCAAATAACGGATGTGTATATCATCCAATCAGCTCCTATGGCTCAGTTGGTAGAGCGCATGACTAGTAATCATGAGGTCCGCGGTTCGAATCCGCGTGGGAGCATTTCTTTTTCTTTTTGCCGTTTCAGATCCACATCCTTCCATCTATGCCCACATAACATCAGTAACAAATGTTGAATTCCGTCCTCGGCTGTGAAATCTTACTGCGGATGTTTCAGATAATTCTGTTACCGCATAAAACCCCGCACATGAGTGAAGACCGAGAAGGCAATGCCCAAAAGCAATCACACTATCCACACGTTGATTATAGATAACTGCCAGTTATATATTATGTTCGCTAGCTGACGCACCCGAGATTTTTTCAGTGCTGAAATCAAAAGGGAAATTTTGTCTGTGCTTATATCTTCTCTCATCCCATTAGAACTTCCACAACGCGTGTGACTCGCAAGATGTACTGATAGGCTACCAGCCCATATGAGAACAGAGGAGAGGTTATCTCACAGTCTACCTACAGCAATGAACCATGTAAAGGCTTCCGACCCACAACCCTCATCAACTTGAGTGGCGGGGAATCTCCCTGTGCGCACAGACGCCGATGCTGTTCAACCAGTTTCTCTGCCTCTTGTGATGCGACCTGCGCGGTATCGACCTGCTTAGATCTCAGCAAAAGAAAGGCATAGAGTGTTCTAATTATCGCAGTGAGTCTCTCCTCGATCTCATAGTGCAGATCAGGGTTCTGGTGCGAGTTATAACACAGCCGCTCTACACCTACAAACCCAGCTGCTCGGCTCTCTTCATAAACCTTGGCTGAAGCCTGAAAGCATTTGCCTTCGGCTGTCAGTCCATAGTCAAAACAGCGATGAAGCTCACTGAGCACTGGGTAACCTTCCGTGAGGTAGGTTTCTTCGTCAATTTCCTCCCATTGGAGATAGCCACCGGGCTCTGTGGTCATATTAGTACCAACTCGAGAGGCAGCAATGCGACGTGCACAGGAAAGGGTTTGCCATACTCAATATATCGTAGATATTTGCAATCGCAGCTTTGTAGTCAGCTTCCTCAAGGGCAGCGACTAGAAGACGAACGTGTACCAAGTCATATCGTCCCCAATGTTCTCGAGGGAAGGGAATCGTCAAATCTTGAACAGAAAAGTGGATCGCTCCTGGATTCTCAGGAAATTGCTCAGCTGAAATGTCGAAGCCATGATAGTAGCGTTCAATTTGTGGTGTGTCCAGAAATTTCGACACATCTTGCAGCCAAATTCTGACAGAAAATTGCCCATCAGTTCCAATGACTGGGTCTTGCACGGAGAGGACAGGCTCACCCAGTTCCAGTAGCTATGTCGGCAACAGAACGAATTTCGTTGAGAGGAATTGAAGGATGAATGAGGGTATCTCCGCTTGTTTTAACTAGCACGCGATGCTGTAAGTCCAGTCTTGACGGGTATTAGAAACCTGTATGAGATAGTTCACAAGCATTGCAATATCTAAGATCATACCTCTCTGACTCTTTCTTATCCCTCTCGAAGCAATATTTGTCTTGAGTAGCCATTGCTGCGTTTCGCTGGTGTTTATTCTCCCGCGGATGGGATAAGGGCGTTCTACCCTCCTTAAATACTATAGAACCCCCTTACTTGATTTCACTCACGATCTCGATCGTTACCCGGCGGTGATTCTCTCACCAATCAGCATGCTTCGCTTAGAGTATACCTTTAGGTGGCTATTGGTTCTTGTTTGTCGCTGAGGACTATTCAGCTCCACCGACTCGTGGAATAGCTGCAGGAGCTGAAGAATTGCCACATTCCGCACCCCTCAGCCAGCCACCCCCAGAAGCGCTCACAACAAAGCGATTGGTGCTGCGTTGATGATCTAGACAACCTGCTTCGAGACTAAATGTTCTAACCGCGAAGCGTTTTCGCTGATCATCTCGGCTATATTTTCCTCATGCCCTGGCAGACCGTCACAAAACGTGCTGATCTGTGCTCGCGCCCCCTCAATAGCCACGTATCACGGAGATGTCCGGCTCATTACAAGTCCGGCTCATCTTCTTTGAACTAACTGCCTGGCTGATGTAGCGCGCACTTGAGAAATACCTAAGGGCTATTTTAGCAACCCCCATATCCCGCAGCAACGTGGACCAAAATCACTGGTAGTAAAATACTGTTTCCGCTCAGTCAACAACTGGTGGCGTCTGCACAGGCCCGTATACGAGGTTGGCTGAGAAGAGTTATAATAGAAGGGGAAAGACAGCACTGTGAGCAAGATCTCAATGACACCCGGCATCTGGTCAAGCTTTCCATTTGCTGCTCTCGGGTGCCTGAATTGACCCCGCTTTTCAGTGTGATCGTCTACCGTCGCGTCATAGTAGGATGTTTATGACCAAGTAGAGGGCCCCACACCTTTAATTGGCGTCCTACTAGGGACTACGCCTTCGAATTCCATTGGGAGCATCTATTCTTCCCCGGAAGCACCCAACGACAAAAGTTTAGAGGACACTAAATCCACTGAAATTTGGACTTCAACCCAAGATTGAATATATCTCCTATAACTGGAGAGATTTAATTTGGTCTCTATATAGCGTCTCAAGGATATCCTACATACATACCCCGATCTACAGTTACTAGTAGCTTTGGGATCCTCCCCCATATAGAAAAAAAAACCTATGTAAAGGTAAGTGTGCGATAGAAAGGCAACAATCAGGGAATCTAGTCTCGTAGGCTTCCAGCTTATGGTAGCCAGAAATCAGATCAGACAGCAAATATCTTCCCGTGTAGGAGACTTCTCAGCTCCATGAGGATCTGGCCAGTAATTTAGAATGATAATTTGGAGTTGGGAAGGCTTAGTGCCAAGCAGTTGTACTATCTCAATGGCTGCTCCAGAGTTCAAAGGGCTGTATAAGTAAAATGATTATAGTATTGTTAATACTACTTTCAGTGGGATTCGACTTTCGCTCCAACACACCTTCGAGTCGCCTATAGATGCCTTCATAGGAAGAGCGATAAAACCTACCATGAGCCAGAATTCCGAAGGTAGAGAAGTCTGGCCTATATTCACTCGAGGACGCAAGTATACTCCGGAAACCCAGAGAAAAAATTCTTCGCAGCCGCCTCACTCTCGTGCAACATTCCAACGTAGCCAACTCGAGAGTACGTGCCTCTCCCAGTCCGAATTAATGCCAAGCCAGATAACCTCCAAAAGTTACTGATCATATGATAAGTTTCGATTGGCAGGCAGTAGATCTCGGCGCGCATTTCGCTTTTGACATCAAATATCACCTTGGACAAATCTGGCGGATATTTCACCGTAGCCTTATGACCTTCCACTTCAAGGGCCTCAAGGCTCTGTACAGACATGGCAGTGTCTTCAAAATTCGAAGCACTTGGAATGAGCTTTGCAGACGCGATGGGTCCTTTCAAGGTGACAGTGCCACTGCTCACTTGACCAGTCTCATCTTCTCCGCAAGGAATACATTCAGCGCCGATGACAAGTGCTAAAGACCAAGCAGTTTTCCTCTGGACAGGATCTGTGTCTGGAAACTTAACGGCACCATCCACAGAAGCCCACGACCAGGAAGGGGCGCGATACAAAGGAGGTCTGCGACAGGGTTTTAAGATATTCCAAGTCAAACAGCCGGGTAGATTCTGCCGCCAAAGCCCAGCAAGATAAACGTCTTTGTCATAACCAAGATTCTCGAGGCGCTTCAGAACATCCTTTGCCAAGCCAGAAATGGCCACAAGCTTGTCCGAGGGAGCTGTAAGTTGGCAAGTCGAGAAAACAATCATGTTTGCGTACCACTCTTCGTACATCGGGTCTCTGGGATCAATACTGTACCTTAGCCTTGGAGCATCAAGAAGCTGTTTCCAGAAGTGGTTATATTGGAAAACCGGCTGTGATAACGATGTTTCGTCATGATACCCTCTATTAGTATCGATATTGGCTCTGCGAGGATGATAATCATGCTCGTAAGCATTGTTCGGTTGTGTTTCACAGCAGGTACATTCCCTGCATTCCCAGAAAACTTGTTCCCGACCGAAGTGCAGAACACGTGGGCATAAAAGGCGTTCCTGCAAAATCCAACCTCGCTTTGGCAGAGGTTCTTGCTTAAATTTTCGTGGCAAAGGCCATCCTTTTTCTCCGCGAAACCTGAATGGCTTAGGATCACTCGAATCATCGACGCGTATGTTGACGATGCTAGGGGCAACTTTTGCAGAGTCGCGCGAGAAAAAACAGCCACCAGCATCGTTGCTAGAGCTCAATGCAGATATCCCCAGAAAAGCATTCCTGTAAACTTGCCCCATAGCTGCGGATTCTCTTTGCCAGTCCTCAGCAGAATCCTGGAGTATACAGAGACGATCAATCCATATGTAACGGATTCTCAACCGTTCGATAATGGTGAAAGCGTCTCTGAATGTTTTTGGAAGGACAGAGAGTGGCTGGTACTCTCCGAGACTCTGGAATGTGTCTTTCAACAAGATCAAATTGGGGTTAGATGGTGTGAGCCCCAGCAGTGGCTTAGAGTTATGTAGCGCTCCTCGGGCTGGATCTGTTGCCTTTCAACAACACGGAACATTTTCTTCTCAGAACTGATTGTATGTAGCTCTAATAGCCGGCTTGGGATAAACTTTGCCTCATCATGTTGGTAATCGCAAGTCGGATGTCCTTGAAGACATCGATTCAGCCACCGCTCAATTAACACCCACGTTGTCTGGTCGCCAGTAGATGCCCCTAATTCAAAGTTCAAGTTTTCATCCAGGCCTCCAATCATGCAAAGATGCAACCACAAAATGTCAGCGTCACTGAGCGATATACTCTATGGAGCAAAGAAGGCTTGATCTTTGGCACATACCTTTATGCGGAATCATATCGTAGACGTGGTAAATATCTCCATAGCACACCACCATTTTCACGTAACGAGGGTTCAATATGACCCTGAATACAGAAGAATATTCGAAATCCTTCAGTTGCGTGTTAAGGGGCTTTCCTATATCTTTCAAGAACGCGAATTTGCAGCATACGACGCAGCCTTGCTCGATAGATGCCACAAAGGATTCTCTGGTGAGGTGATGTCCAAACAACCATCTTTCCGGCCCAAACTGGCTACCTTGGTCTCGAGTAGAGTCAGCACCGGAAATAAGTAACGGTCAATCCTATGGGTTGCAAGGCATACCATTTTTAGATTCGTCGTCTATCTTTATCCGCCTTGTTCTTTCAGGGTCCCAGATACCCTCTAGCCCTTCTATGCAGACTTTGCATAACATGACTTGAATACTTCGTTGCTTCTCCAAGGACACCCTTATGCCGATGAAAGACCTCCCACGGTCGTCGGCTGTGGCTTCCCCTCATCGGGCGTTTGTGCAGGCTTACCGAATCGGGAAAAGTTGCATGCAGCATAACCGTAGTGAAACTTAGTACCAATGACTGCTCCCGACCAGTATCATAGGGTGGTTATAGTTCTTAAGACCATTAAGCCGAGTAGAGTGACTAATATTGAAGCTAGGTATCGAGAGTGTTAGTGAACTTGGCCAAAATGGCCTCATTTATTTACTATTCTGGGTATCATGAATGTGAGAAGGAATCAATCCAAGAACCCTTAAAAATGGGGAGACAAATTGCCGTTAAAGAGATGAATCTAGTTCGAGACCTGTCAAGCACATCTCCACTATGCTCGGGTATAAGAACAGTTAACTCCGTTTTTCGGTTGCTGCCCGCAGCAGTAAGTATTAATATCTGGTCCAACAAATCAGGGTTGGCCTGCTTGTTTGGTCGAGATGATGGTAAACTTTGTTCATAATGGAAATATGATGGTGCGTACTTTTCCACTTAGCGTAGACTTGAGCACCATCATGGTGCGTGGACGTGTGGGTCACTGTCATCCGGTTACATAAGGCCCGGACTTAGGCGATATAGCCTTTCATACCTCCGCTGAGATAGACCTGCCCTGGATGACATGACATCAACCAGTATCTACCTTGCAGGAATAACTGAGGATAGCGAGTATATAACCTTCCATGGGTATACCTTATAAAACTGTTGTAGAGCTCTCTCAAACAAAGCAAGTCCTCGCCATCACATTGATTGTCCACCGATCTCAGTGCCTTGCACCACATCTCACAATGGCCTCCCTCGAGCAAGCCGCACAAACCTCCCCCCTCTTCCGCCACCGTCAACTGGCCCCTGCAGCAGCAGTACGCGTATCCCCCCTATGCCTTGGAGCCATGACATTCGGCGGCCGTCAAGAGTCACGTTACGGAGATTGTACTCGTGAAGACGCCTTTTCTATCCTCGACCACTTCTATAGCCAAGGAGGTAACTTCATCGACACAGCCAGTGCCTACCAAGAGGGACAATCGGAGATCTTGGTCGGCGAATGGATGGCATCACGCAACAACCGCGACCAGATCGTGCTCGCAACCAAGTACACAGCCGCCTACATGACACACCACAAAGATGCGATCCAGTCCAACTACGGCGGCAACAATGCCAAGTCCATGAAGGTCAGCATTGAGCAATCCCTGCGTAAGCTCCAGACTTCCTACATCGATCTCCTCTACGTGCACTGGTGGGACTTCACCACCTCCATCCCGGAACTCATGCATGCGCTGAACGACCTCGTCGTGGCGGGGAAAGTCATTTACCTGGGTATTTCGGATACCCCCGCCTGGGTGGTGACCAAAGCGAATCAATATGCCCGGGATCACGGACTGCGTCCGTTCGCTGTTTACCAGGGAATGTGGAGCGCCGCGATGCGGGACTTTGAGAGGGATATTATACCCATGGCCAGGGAAGAAGGGATGGCGTTGTGTCCTTATGGTGTGCTGAATCAGGGTCGGTTCCAGACGAGAGAGGGGTTCGAAGAGCGGGAGAAGCACAATCCCGGTCGCAAGTTCATTCCCACGTCGGAGCATGATAAGAAGGTTTCTGCTGCTCTTGAAGATATTAGCACTGCTAAGGGCGTGAAGCTGCTTGATGTGGCTTTGGCCTATGTGTTGCAGAAGTCTGTCTACGTGTTCCCGATTATCGGTTGCAGGAAGATCGATCATATTAAGGGTAGCATTGCGAGCTTGAATGTGACCCTCACTGACGAAGAGATGGAGAAGGTTGATGCTGCTTACCCATTTGACTTTGGGTTCCCTCACACTTTCCTGAGTGGCTCGATGTTTGATCATTCTACTCCGAGAATGGCCGAGAAGCCGGGTGATGTCTGGCTGACCAAGGCCATGGGCAAGTTTGACTGGGTTGAGCAAACCAAGCCGATTAGACCGGCTTCTTAAATGTGATGATAGTAACGTTATGGATGGATTACACAAATATTGGAATGCCATATGCATCGTATCGGCACAGTGCTAGTTAATATAAGTTCCACAATAGATGCTCTAAATTTCATACGAATCCTTATTCCATTCCCATAGAGTGTAAAGAAATAGAAAACGTGCTGATCGAAAAGTACAAAGGGGAGCCTGACAAAAACAATATGACAGCAACCCACAGTTTCCATGCTAGGCGAGCTGAACTAGCCTATCCTGAATGATACTGCTCATAAGGATGATTGACCGGGTGCTGGCTCGTCTGGTACATGTGACATTGATGATTCCCCCCATAGTTTGGTGCAGATGGCGGAAGCGAATGATAGACTGGTACCGTACCCATTGCAGGATAAGTCTGGACCCGAGGACCCCGTCTTACTTGAGAACAGCAGCAAGTAGTAATGGTCCAGGATACCAAAGAACACAAAGACAAGGCCACACTGAACCATATAACAGTAAATGCGCGAGTGCCCCAGGTCCCAGTTATGTTGTGTGATTTCAGCTCCGTTGCAATTATACCCTTCAAGAGAACAAAATTGACTGTTGCGAGTGCCGCAGCTGACAGCAGGAATAAGAAAGCAACACTAGAGACAAGGCTGGTGACAAAACAACTAAATGCCTTGTTTACGACGATAAGAGCGGCGGGGAGTTGGACGGCCGTGAGAAGAGTAGCCAGGATGTATGTAATTTGCATCCAGGTCGAGGTTGTTTTATATGCACGCAGTGAGCGTCGAAGGGCTGACGAAAGGTCGGTCTGCTTCCCTTCCTCGCCGGTAGCTTTCAGTACGTTGAAGTACGAGCCAGCTTGCGGGGGCAGGCAATTCATTGTCGTGTTTCTATTATCGGTTTCACAGTAGCCCATGATGCCGACTAGGTAAGTCTTGTTAAACTGGCTCTCATCCCATGTTGTAACCAACGCATTCGAAGTGGAAATATTTCGGCTGTTCTGGACATCGATCTTGACGCGACAAGTATATTAGCTTGAATGACCGAAAATGCAAATCATGCTCGAGCCTTACTTGGAAAAAATTGAGTCTTCCAAGTTCGTGACTTCCCATCTTCGTACATGCCAGGCCGATCACGATGAGACATAAGAGTGTCCCGATATTCAGCAAACATGAGGTAGACACAAGCAGAACTCGATGAAAGTTCGCCATGGCTAGTAAATGCGATGGCTGCTATGCTGTCTGCAAAATAGCTTTTGTTTATCCCCTGAGATGCCCGTTGAGCGATGAGCCATAGCTTATAAACTAGTGAAAACAAAACTGATGGAAAGAAAACCTCTCAATATGCTTGGTAGCGAGAGACGAAATGAAATCCTGCTAGTCCCCATTATTAGCAACCCTAAATATCTTAGCCGTGACGAGGTTCAACTCTTGCTTAGATGTGGCTGGAATAACCTATTCAGAATAATTTAGGGCAAAAAATATGTTAATAGTCAAGCCAAAGTTTAACCTTCCGAGTGGGTCAGACCCGGATAAAATTGGGTAAGAGGCCGAGATACGGATGCGAACTTCCTATTCAGGAAAAGGTTCAGAACTTTCATCAGCACCCAGCCTTTCACGTTCTGGTTTTTAGTAGAGATCTTCATGACTCCACCATCCTATACCAATATGACCGAGGACTCTCCGTGCCAAGTCACATGGGGCACTGGAACTTTTCAGGCACTACATGCGTCGAGAAGAAATAGTACACCCGGGGGCCCTCTCCAACGGTCCAACCTGACTAGAGCCACACTTAGTGACCAAGATATGAGTTAGAATACCAGTCTAGTCCTTGCACCATTGGCCGAGACATATCGTTACACTGCCAATTATGGGGCCAGGCCGATAGTTTTGGAACTCCTTCATGCAGAACCCCACCTGTACCCTGGCCCAGGGATTTGGATTGAATGGGTGGTGCAAGTAGGCATTGCAATGACAAAACAAGCAGCTCCTCTCTGGGCGGTTAGCCCTACCCCTATTCCCTCGTATTTAAGGCACAGGTGTTCCTCTCGATCTCTGATTTCTCTAACAAAATCGAAGAATCCGAAGACATCCCATCTACATCATGGCAGACTCAGAGAAGGTGTACCGAGCTCACCCCAGAGACCTACCAACCTATGATCAAGCCACCTCAGAAGAGCTTCGCAGGATCACCCAGAACACTAGCTGGAACTATTCTCTCTTTGACTGTTGTTCACCAGGCACATTATGTCAGTAAATCCTATCCAATGCCCTTCCCCACAGCAACCCCTAACCGATATATGTCTAGGTTTTACCAGCTGCTGCCTCCCATGCCTTGCTTTCGGCAAGACGCAATCAAGACTTCGTGACCCGACCCTGCAAAGTTATGACTCGATCAACGGTGATGTTAGTTTGCTGGGCCACTTCCTACATAAAGTTCTGACTAACCCCGCCCAGTGTATGATCTGGTCCTTCCTTAGCCTTGGATTTTCACAATGGATCTACCAGACTATCAAAAGAGGCGAGCTGCGCAATAAGTATGGGATCCAGGGGTCTTGCTGTGGTGATTGCTGTGTGAGCATGTGCTGCGGCTGCTGCGCACTCATTCAAGAGGAAAAGGAGGCTGAAATACGCACCAGACCTCAGGTAACAGGATACCAAATGGCACCACAGATGGCGTATCCTCAATAAGCTGGCCGTGGTTACGCAGACTTGTTATATTTGTATTTATAGTGAAAGTATTATACCTAATTGTTCCACTGAACTTGGCTTTGAATCTATGGCTTTAACAGACACACACACATACACACACATTTCTGGCTATTTTGATACAACTCCTTCTGGAGACCAACAAGGTAGTCCTTGTACTGTAGCGGATTTGTTCGCTGTGGTGGTTGCTGTAGAGCTTCAATAGGCATCAAGTCTAAGACTTCTGAAACCAAGCCTTGAAGTTCCACAGAAAAGGTTTGAATAAATCGCCAGAACTTTTGGTAGTTTCATCAAGGCCCAGAGACAGGTTAGCCTAAGGCGCCACCATTTAATGTTAGTGCTGACAGAGGCTTCAACGGCTCGAAGATCGTCAGGGGTAAGGCGATCGATGTTGAAAGTACTAATCTTGTTAGATTTTGTGGGATTTAGCCGTATTCATCAACCAGCATTAAGGACTTTGTGGTCATTTAAGGGCGTTGGCACTGGACGACCCTAGGCCTCTCATTTGTGCATGCAGAATCAACTTTACCCTTTTTTGGTCGTCTCGAAGACTTGTCACGGGTCCAGGTCTGTTAGGTCCATTCTACCTCGTATATCAAATGATGGAGATCTAAGTAGAATTTCAGGGCACAATGCCTTAGGTGGAAGTTCTCTGCTGGCCAGGACCCAGTATAAAGCCTATCACTGATATGAGGTGCAGAAATGAAAGAATCTGGATACTCAACTACATTGGCTAGCAGAGTAAAATTCTGCATTTGCCACTTCAGCGCATCAAGAGAGAGAATATGAACATTCTAACATGTGCCTAATTGTAATATAGTATGTGCTATGTTGAAGCACAGGGCTTCACCGAGAGAGGACCCACAAGGCATCCATGAGTGGAGAAAAGTCAAAATGCGAAAACGAACTTCCCAAACGGGATTTAGAGCCCTTGTCCCCACATCGCATGTTCGTCAGTTGGAGTGCCTGTTCGGTATCATTCACCCACCTCAGGGCAGTTCGTGCTCGCATTGTAGTCCTACATGGTTATTAAGCACGGAATTCCATGAAACTTAGATCAATCCCATAGGCAAAACTAGAAAACCAACACCGACAATAAGATCCTACTCTTGTCCTTCTGACTACCCCTATCCTCCTTTTCATTGCCTGTGCGCTCTCCTTACATAATGAACATAACCTCCTGTTCCCCACCAGCAATCCCACTTCTGTCCGTCTATGGCACGAAATACTTTCCCTCTCCGCCTCATGGGTGATCAACTTCGCGCGCTTCGTCCCAGCCACATTCAACTACAACCACAGCAACGTGGACGTACAGAATGCCCGCTTCTGTAACATCACGGTCACCTACACCCACCCCGGATACAAGGACATTTTCAATGTCGAGACGTGGCTCCCACCCCACGATAAATGGAATTGTATCCTACAAGTCACCTGAGGTGGAGGATGACAAGCTGGACGATGGGTTTTATCGCAATCCTATATGCACGGAGCCATCGGTGAAGGCTATGCCACTACCTCCACAGACGCAGTCTTAACAGATAACCTTAGCCCGGCTTCCTGGGCCCTGGAACGTTTAAAAACGTCGATATCATCTGCCTTCAAAATCTAGGATTCTAGTCGCTGAATGACCAGGCTATCACTGGAAACGAGGTGTTGGGGGTGGGGGTGGGACATAAGATTTACTTCCGTTCCATTACAGCACACGATCGGTATCTTGGAGTCATCGCCATCTAGCGCAGTTCCATAGTCTATCACGGAGACAGTCATCCGGTGCTATATCTAAATCCATCGCCGTAAATGTATCATTGGTGCACATGACCGTGGAAGTCGCAATTTCAGGTACGTTGGCAGATAAGATCGAGCATAGTGAAGAGTTTGTTGTTGTACATGTTTTGTCACTCGGGGAGGGGGAGAGAGTGGGTGGAGGGCGAGGGTCGCGGTTAGACAAGGGGTTGAATGACATAGTTTGATGTATTTCCTGACGAGAGTGATGAATAGCAAAACAAGGAGGCAGAATCAGGTGGGAGAAAGAAGAAGAAAGCGCAGAGGGACAAGAATCGTGAGATGTGATGGTGGATGGATGGACAGAACCCAGCGCTTAGTGAAGGCGGGACACTAACACTTTAGTCCCTGACTAGACACCCGTGCAGCGCCACGCGGAAGTCAGCGCCCAGGTAGATCATACGCAGCCTCACCTCTCAGTCTACATCTCGGATATCCTGGATTAATTACTTAAAATCACAGGGATTGGCCACTGTATATGTAGCATCGGTAATTTTCTCGATAGATGTTTGAATTGACAGCCTTGGAACCCGTTCTTGATTTGCAACCGCAAACTGCCACCTTGGCTGGTAAATGGAATAGACCGGCCATGATGCGTCAAAGCTGAACTATGGCCTCATTTTCTTTTTGCTACTGCTTTGTATGGGCTTATATATTTCAATTATACTCATAGATTAAAGAAAGCCATCTAGAAATTCCTTCCTCTTCACAATCAGTTCAGTATTGGTCTGGATATTCAACAACACCTGAAAAGTTCACCCTGTAGATGCTAGCAATAGCTAGTTCCCAGACTAACCATTATTATTGCCCTGTGATGGGTATAATCCTTGCATTCTGAAGACTTAATACCGCCTACTGCACTGCTGACAGAGCTTGCTGAAGAATTGCTGGGCTTTGTGGCAGATCGACTTCAGCTCTCGCAATCCTCATTCACTGCCAACGAGAGGGACCCACAACAAATGAGCAGGCCTTCTGAGTGTTATATCCTCACCTACAATTTACCTAACCTCATCTCACATTTATTTTCATAACAAGATCATATCCCCCTACAACTTCAACTATCATCATCATCATCCATCATTCTTGGTCCGATCCGATTCATCATCGTGTCTATTCAGAATGTCCTCTTCCCCAAGCGGTAGTTGTTCCAAGTGCGGGAAACATACATCCCTGCAGTGTGCTGGCTGCAAAGGGGCCCCAAAATACTTCCCTGGCGATGTAAAAAGCATCTTCTACTGCAGTTCAGTCTGCCAGAGGGCCCATCGAATGATCCACAAGCCCGATTGTATGTCCATGACTCGTCGGAAGAAGCTTCTGCGGACTGCTATCGTCGCCAAGGAGGCATTCTTGGTGTACAGAGCTGTCGAATATGATCTTGAACTTTCCAAGATTGAACGACGGGGCGAAACTCTTTACCTCTCTGACAACCAAAAGAACCTGGACATTCCTCCCCGGCGCGGCCCCTTCCTTGAAAATCTGACTGCCGACCCGGTGTATCGGGAAGCCGCTTTGACATGGTTCCAATGCAACGCCGCCCATGCCCTGTCGAGCCGTCTCATAAACAAGCTTCTCACAGGTATCGTCAACCCCTAGTTAGATTCCCTCCATCTACACGCTGGAATACGTGGAACTGACACCAACAAGACGTCCCCTGCGCGATTGAGATGTTTTTGCTCCGAATCGGAAACCCGCATTTCATAACGCAGGTCATTCCCGGCCCCGACTCACCCAATATCCCCAGCCTCGACGCCTCAACCATGCCCCATTCAGTGCTGAAGGTCGACCTCCAACTATCTTCTTTTACTGAGAGCTGGATTGTCGACCTCACAGGTGCTCAGTACGGCTTCCAAGAAGTCCTTGTTCCGTTCCTCAAGTACACGGAAAATAAGGAATGCAACATAGCCAGCCCACCAGAGTCCTTCGACATCACCCAGACACATGACCTGGACATCTTGATGAAAGAATATCCTTCTGGAGTCCGGCGAGCAATAGCATGTGCGGAGCGTCCGGCACGGCTGCGTTTTGCTGCTTTTGTGGATACTATCGACAAGAAGACCTTGGAGGGGTCACTTGGCGAATTCGAGAATAAATTGAGTGTCTTTCGATTGGCATTGAGGCAGCACATGTCGAGCAATACCCAGCGTGTTTGAAGGTTTGCTTTAGGTGTTGGTACTCTAAGATATGAATCTGGGGAGGGAATCTATTTGGAAGCACCCACACAAAGAATGTTGAGAAAATAGCCCATTAATCCTGTCAGGAAAATGGAAAGAGAATGGCGTCATTCATGACTGGGCATAACATACTGGGTGTTCTTTTTCTTATATGATAGTTCCATTGCGTGCGGCGGCCTATCGGTCTGTCAGTGACGATACCTGGACAGTGATCACATATTACCCCCATCAACTGGTTCCAATTTTCGACTGAAGATGTTTGCAAGTTGCTAGCTAGCTGCCAAAGGATAAGAACTCAATCTTAGCATACGAAAACCCACATAATATAATGCAGCTGAGCCCTTCATCTGAATTAACGATGTCCCGCACACGTCTTCATGTTCCATCCCTCAAAGTTGCCAAAGACCAGTAAAAACTACAGCCAAAACAAGATAAGATTTCAAGCTGGGCATTGAGCTCGACGTAGATCCAGACGTCTTCCCCGAGCTACAACCAACCGACTCGAGATGGTTACCCATCGTAAGACACCCCAACAGAGTCGACTGGGTTTCCTTGGTCGCATTGCAGTAAGCGGAACAGTTATCCTCGCCGAAGTAGCTGTACTGATTGCTTTTGCAGCACTTCACTAAATAACCGTAAGGATCTTGTGTCCGATTAAGTCCTTGCTGCCAGATAGTAGTGGCGCAGTAATACGGATAAGGCAGATTAGGTATCCCACTGTGGCCCGCACATCGCTCCTGCTCCAGGGTACTGTTTTTGATGTTCATGGTTGCCGGGAGAGAGGGGGCTCCCTAGACCGGCGGTTTACTGGGTTGTATTAGGAGAGATAACTTGGATACATTCGGGGGGAATTTACTCACGGTATGAGCGTCGAACTATAATAATTAGCAATCTGAAACGGAGAGTAGAACAAATAATAAAATGCTCAATGTCTGTTGGTAGCGGGTACTGAGCAGAAAGTTTCAGGCTGCTTTTGGGGAGGGGCAGGGTTTATAAGATTCCCAGGAGGTACTTTTAGAGCTAAATTTACGTAGCACTTCTTCACTCTCTAACTCTTAAGAGTCTCTTCACTCCCTGAATTACGGACTTTCATCACTTGATTCTTCAGTAGGCGCAATTCTTTACAAAGTCAAGAAACCATATTTTTCAGAAGTGCCAGCATTACATGCTGTGTGGTCATGAACAGCACCCCTTTGAAACCCTAGCGGTGACTTGGTCACTACAAACTACTATCATCCTTAGAATAAATTACCCGTTATACAGGGTTGCAATGATCAGCTCGATAACTGGTTTCCGTATCGCGCTTGTAAAATCCAAATGGTCCATGTACAATGTGATTCGAAGGATGATTGTATTTCGGCGTCTCCAGACTTCCCCACGGAGACCCTGCATCGCAGGGAAGATGGTTGGGCCAAAATCCTAACATCTTGGCGGAATCCCCCATGCCAATCATGTGTGCACTAGTGCACTTAGTTTACACCAAAGAATGAACGGTGTTCAATCTCTAAGTCCTTTCAAAAAACATGGCTGCCTTACAAGTCTGACTAGTAATTCGACCTAAATCACTATACTTTCACTACTGATATAAACCGAAGTCTAATCCCTGAAATGAGTGGCAACAATTTGCTCCCTGAAAGGGCCATGTTCAGGATTTCATATGGATAGTCAGAAAAGACAGATGACATTCTAAGACATAAGGCTCAGCGGGTGAGAGCGTCATATGATATGTCATAAATGAAAGTAGTCTCTCACAGGTCGCACGGCCACTTGAGTTGGTAATGTATTCCTTGGTATCCTTGCTAGTGCATTGGGATTAGGCTCACGCTACGATGGCCTAACAACTACATGGGCCGCGATGTAACGTCACTAGTGTCGTCCTGTTGTCAGCAGAGGCCGGAGCCCCTATTCGCTAGCTTTTACAAAAGGGAAATAACGCGTTGTGCGAGAATGGACAGTATAAGACTGGCTACAGCGGCAAGGTGCACTTGGAAACCTCAGGGGCCTTGAACCACATTACCCACGATTCCATGATGATATTGATGTTTTTCTTGACACTTGCTGCAACTGCCTTGGCGGCGCCATCGCTTCACACCCGCGAAGACCTCAAGTACGTTCGAGTAACAGTGCAACAGCATAGGATCACCACCGAGAAGCAGATTGTGGTGAAAGATAGCTCTACTGAAGATATCTTCGGCTCTGCCTGCTCGAATGCCTTGAAACCGGGGTTTTTTGCCGACTTCGGTATCGTCGCAGATGTTGGGCCTAACGGGCGAAGGCAATATCACTGCCGGGCCTCCCTACCTTCAGCGTCCATGAGAATCCCCAGTAAACTGGTGATTTCACTACTTACAGAATGTACAATGATAATGAGTCATTCATGGTGTGCGACAGCGTTCCTTTGCCCAGCACCGTTCAATTAGACCCAGTTAAAGTGGACGCCATATCCCCTTGTTTCAGTGACCAAGTCGACATGACTTTACAGCGAGCAGCTGAGACCGTCCACGTTATGGACACTTTTTCAATGCCTCGTCATGAAGCAAACTCCACTGGCGCTGTGTCTATGAGCAATTTCGAGCAGCGACAGACCGGTGCGTGCAGTATGTGGTCGCTCGCTACAAGGAAAGTCGGAGACGGTGATCCCCATCAGAACTATTGGTGGAAACAGTTGAGCTTACGTCGTTAATGCACTTTCTTTTGGTCTAGTGATAGCGACTGATGTGCGACGAACAGGAAAGTCTGGCTTGCGGGAGCGCAGACCATTGCACTATTGGCGCATCTCAGTCAGAGTTGTATACAGTTGGATGGACGGCTACTGCAGATGCATCACAATGGATCTCTGGCGGCTTTGCGGTGCAGGCGAGATGGACAACCGGGCTTGACTATCAACGTGTGCACGGGATTCAACCCTAATAATGATGCCGGCTTCGGCATGTTCTCCCCAAACCAGAAGTGGCATCAAACAGTAGAATAGACCCATCGCAAATTATGGACCGACTGCAATAACCTACTTCCGATAAGATATTATACTTGCCTTAAAAGTGTCCTTTATTAAGGCACTTCTTTCTATTATCCCGACTGGGCTCACGAAAGGTCCGTAGGATATGCCAGATTCGATACGGCGTAGTATTGTTTTGTCGCTGTACATGCTGATTTCGAATCTTGCTTATCGTTCTGTGGTCATATAACCTTATGTCCTAAAGGAGCTTAGCCGGACGCTTGCTAAACTCGAGAGGTGGATTTAATCGAGGGTTTTGTTTAGCGCGTGTTCGGTTATCAGGCATCGATATTTTAAGAAAAAACCATACCGTATAGGGCGAACCAAAAGTGGAGCTGATACATTACAAACCCTCAGACAGCATTAGCAGTATAGGGAAAGCCTCATAATAGATGTGAACATTGGCACATGCTAACTTTGAGTATGACCTTGGCACGTTCACCCACCAACCCTACGCGATGTGGGGCAAAATAATAGAACATAGCAGTTTCGGAATTTTCCGCCAAGTGTCTTTCTGGCATTCCCCCCTATAAAGCATCGAGGCAGGACCATATGGGTGGGAGATGGGTAGATTTAGGTCGTTCCATCTGCCTTGGGCAGGTAGCGATAACAATTAACTTAAACTATGGGAGATTTGTCTCAACGAACTTTGTATTGCTTTTTTCAGCAAACTCGGTCGGGAAAGGATCTCACACAGCAGATGTTGAAGTTCCTTTCCAGTACAGCTGATATAGCTAGGTTTATGAAATATTTTTTTTTTTTTGTATAGTAAATTAATCTATCATTCGTACCTGCGGACATATTGTGATATAATGAAGTACAAGATTAAGAGTCCGTGACTCAGCGATAGGGCAACCTCTCCTCCGTTACTCCATTCCATGTAATTCCAGATACTTCGTACAAGTGGAGTAACCATAGCGATATAAGGTAGGCTAAAGGATTAGCTTCAGAAACTTTGAGGAATAAATATACGGAACCGTACATACGGCCACGGACTTTGCACGATATCCCGAAGAACAGTAACGGTTCGCGAAGATGTTGCCGAAGAGGAAGAGTGAGAAATTGACGTTGTGGCTTTTTCATTGGTACCCATTTTGTGTATTGGATAGTAGAATATGTAAGCAGCACTCGAGGCAAGGAAGGATATGTTGTGTGGAACAATTGCACCCAGGTACTAATGTTAGATGATTAGAAGTCCGGTGGCTACTTCGAGGTATTTATGTACGAAGGCTAGCACTAACCCCACTAGCTTTGCAAGGGTTCGTAGGCCGGCTATCCACTATCAACTGTTCCCCGACTCCACATAGGAGACCCGTGGTACCTCTCATACTAAAAGCATCATTAGTTCAATGGCCCATTCTTCTGTGGATAGCCTTTATATTATGTCTCATGTGCAAACCGTACAATCCAAAGTCGTGCATATTATATGGAGAACCGTCCAACACCGATATACGGCTATAAATATGGCGTAGCGAAGCTCACCCAAGCCTATCAAAAATCTATGGCACTAGCAGGGGCTGTTACATGGGCTGTTTATGCGGACAACGCCAATCACAAGATGGATGACTTCATCGGTTTTGCTGAGATTGATCAGGCGGCAAACTTTTACTACCGAATCATTCCGGAGCTGAAAGGGTTTGGAAGTAAATATGAAATTGTCGATATTTGCGGGGGAATGGCATCGTACTTGTGAAGAGATTCGGCAAATGGTGAGATCGCCGTCGTGGGCATGAACCGATCATGCATTGCTTGTTAATGCATCCATCATCGCACCGATGACTAGTGAGGAATTGATATGTGCACGAATTCATGACCACATATGAAAAGAAAGAAATGAAGGTCATGTTGCCGATAAGGAAAGTTGTTAGGGTCAGTGTGGGCACGGGCTCAGTCTTCTTGCATGAAAGGCAGTCGCTTTGATTTGCAATTGACCTGACATGCATCTTGTATACAAACCTTTATGTTAGGTGTGAAAAGGGAAAACCCCCTATACTAAGACCAGAACAAGATTATAATTACTCTAAAAATCTATAAGAAACCATTTTCTTCTATTCTCCAAATCTAAACAAGCAAAGCAACACCCATAGTATCAGTATATACCACATGATACATATAATCTACACATACAACCTAGTATAACAACAGCACTAAGCATTAAGGCCGATGCCGATCGCTTGTGGCTTCCCGCCGGTCCCTCTAGCGCACTGGCCACCCATTCAAACCAGAGACATCAGCTAGGAAGTGTCTAGATAAAACTTGTCTAATGCATTGGCTATAATTTTAATTTTTCCGTAGGTATGAGATGAGTAGATATGCGGCCAAGAGGGGCATGAAGTGCGGAGTTGAGTCAGTCTGTTGAGATAGGTTAAATGAGTCTCTTCTGGTAGACACTTCACTCGAGTCTGTCCCCGTGGCATCTCCTTCGGAGTCTAGTCTTTTCACCTCGCTGTATCAGAAACGAACTCAATATTGATAAGATTACAGGTATGGTCTTCCCTGACCTTCCCTGACCATCACAGCAGCTGATGATTCCCTATGACACAGGCGCTGTGGGGACCGGCCGTACTAACTAGTAGACGTTAGTACTTAGTAGAGATCAACTAATCCATAAGTGTAGAGCTGACACTGCGCCAGTTCTACTTAGCGTGGGGGCCTTTCCAGACCCCAGTGAGTTGTCACTCTATTTATGCCGGATCACCCGAGCCATGATCCCTGCTCTTCTCCAGGTTTCAAATTCCTAAATTCAGTCTGTCCTTCCACCTTCCCCCTCCCCAATGGCCACAATCAACGGCCACTGCGATCCGGCCTTCACCCGGGTGCGCGATCTCCTACAGCAATTGATCAACAATGAAGAAGAGCTAGGAGCATCCATTTGTGTCAACATCGACGGTCAAAACGTCGTCGATCTCTGGGGCGGCCACGCAGACCCAGCGAGAACCAAGCCATGGGAAAAGGACACACTAACCGTGGTATGGTCCGTTTCTAAAGTAATTACCGCCATCGCAACCAACATTCTCATCGACCGTGGCCTCTTAGACCCAAATGAGAAGGTCTCCAAATACTGGCCCGAGTTCGCTGCGAACGGCAAGGAGAATATCCTTGTGTCCCAGATCCTCAGTCACACCTCTGGAGTATCCTCCTGGGAGCTTCCCAACACTTTAGACGACATATACGATGCGAAAAGAGGAGCCGATAAACTAGCCCGACAGGCCCCCTGGTGGACGCCCGGCGAACACTCCGGCTACCACGTAACCAACCAGGGCCACTTACTCGGCGAGCTGGTGCATCGCGTAACCGGAAAACCATTGGATGAGTTCATCCGCGACGAGCTTGCCAGTCCTCTGGCTGCGGACTTCCAGCTCGGGGTCCCGGAGAAGGACTGGCCACGCACAGCAGACGTTTCCCCTCCGCCGCCGTTGAGTTTGGACGACGTTGACCCACAGAGTGTTATGTTCAAGAGCTTTGCCAGTCTGCCTATACCAGCGGAAGAGAGCATGAGTCCTGGGTTTAGGAAGGCGTTGATTGGTGCCACGAATGGATTCTCTAATGCCCGAGGCATTGCGCGCATTGCGTCGGTCATTTCGCTTGGAGGCACGGTGGATGGAAAGCAGTATCTCTCGCCTGAAACTATTGACCGCATGCTGGAGGAGCAAATAAGCGGGCCAGATTTGGTCTTGATGTATCACTTGCGTTGGGGTCTTGGTGTTGGGTTGCCCGTCCCGGAGACTTTTCCTTGGTTGCCCGACGGTCGCATTGCTTTTTGGACGGGCTGGGGAGGTTCAGTTGTTGTTATGGACCTTGAGAAACGGATGACGATTGCCTATGTGATGAATAAGATGGGACAAGGCACGTTGGGTTCGGATAGGACGGCGGCTTATGTGCGGGCTGTTTATGATTGTCTTGCGTAGATATGTTAAGGCTCACGAATAGAACACGATATATATAAATAAAATTAGTCAAGCGGTTCAGAGTCTGCGCCCCTCCATTGCGAACACTGTTTAGAAGTACTAGGCTGTCTTAAGTTTTTGTGTGGAGTAGACATAGTAAGTAATTTGGTAGGAGAAGTTTAGTTTGTAAAATAATAAAACAATAACAATACAAAAACCATAGGTGTCTAACTATGTTCGTTGTGACTGAGGGGTGGTTGTACGCTGCCGAAAAAACAAAAAAGCAAAAAAGAATGACCAGACTGGGGCTCGATCCCAGGACCTTATCGGTGTTAACGATACGTGATAACCAACTACACCATCCGGCCAATTCGTTGGAAAACAGCGTGTCATATTGTTATATGACTCTATAGCAATAGGGGCTATGGTATAACTTCATGTGCTGAACTTTCGCGGCCTTGTTGCCTAAGGCATGAAATGGTGGATGCCAGCTTTTGTCTCATTGAACCCAATTGATAAGCTAAAGGTCTGCCAGAATATGTTAATGGGCCTTGACACTTCATATAAATAAGGCCCACCGTGGTATTCCTAGTAAAACATTCAGAGACAGGGCAGAAAATAATAAGTCAAATTAGTTTGAGAATGCCCTTAGACCGGAAAAGTAAGGGCCTGGAAGTGCCATTAACAACAACAGCAGCAGCATTCACAACATTCAAAGCAGGCAAGGCCCATACACCTAAAACCATCAGATCATATCCAAGCTCAGTCACGTTATAATGGAGACTCACACTCCGCAGCAGACGTCAGCTCCTTCACCTCCTCCACGGATATTCATATCCATTTTCTCTGATTGACTCTAGATTTGTTAGCATGTATGTGCTACTTATGCCTTCTTCAAGAACAGTGGGGTCAAGTTGACTCTCACCGGCTGAGTCGAGACGACTGGGGTAGCGGTCATCGTTTCTTGATTCGAGGGTTGCTGGATCGTCGCAGTCTGGGCGTCCCACCTGGTTTCGTTGGGGGTAGTTGACCCGGCAGATTTAAGCCACCAGAACATCTTGACTAAGACTATGAAGAGAAGTAACGGATAGAATAGTATTAATGGCGCGCGAATTCCGGTTTGGCAATCAACAGGACTAAGGACTATTAAGGACTATAAGTACTTTAGTCCAGGAGGAATACAAGCGGGTTTGCTCCATCACCAGCACCAATCAGCCCTATCAGCCCCTCAAATTTGCTAGCAACGTAGTACGAATACGAGTGACGCGGACGGTAGACTACAGTAGCTCTGACTTGTTAAAAGAAAAAGAAGGGAAAACCGGAAAAGCAAGAGACCCCGCCACCCGCTTCGGGCGCTACTAAAAGTGTATCAAAAATCAATTTTGCCCCACAGGATGGACTACGATATGTTCCTGAATTTTCTCTAACGACGCATCTCTACCACATGGTTGAAATAAATGTGACCCTGAAACAGTGTTCCAACAGAAGAGGTCTCATCTCTCTCGGGACAAAACTTTATCTTCGTCGAACCTTCAGTCTACTGTGGCTCCCAATTATAACTGAAAGATTTATCAGAGTACCCACCAGGTCCACGGCCTGGGAATTGCGAGTCCACTTCGGCTACAGTGCAAAGCAAGTTCTAAATATCCATCATCATAATCCCAGGGGATTGATCTCTCTAGCTAAAATTGTTCCTGGATCTGGCCGCGACAACCGTGGTTACGGCCAAAACTTCATTAAATGCTTATAAGTGTGCCCTCGGCTTTTGGCGCTACCATTTTGGATGAGGTTTGTCCGGGTCTGTGCATACTCGTATTCGCTCCCATGAATCCAAATCGTAGAGAGTCAATTTTCTGGCAGACTTTTCATCGGGAACGACGAGAAATCCATCGGGATCAAGACTTCGCGTGTTAACAACGCCACACGGCGAATATGCCGCGATGAGCAGATAAAAAGTCGAACAAGCTGCGTTAAACTTAGGCGCCAGTATGCGAAGAGATGCCACCCGCAGTCCAACCAGAAGATGAATTAAGGTACAGTCGCTGACTGCATCTTCTGATGGATAATAATTCATTTCCTCAGAATATGTCTGTACATAAGCCCACTGTGAACTGTAGGGGAGTTGCACTGATTGCGCGCACTAACTCCGCCATTACTGACGAAAGTGCTTAGCCAACGCTTTCAAATCTACATATTAACCGTGAGATTTCACTGCTATGGTTTCAATGATTCAGGATCATCGCTTCTATGGATGTCTTACTCTCGGCCGATAATGCCAAAAAGTTATATAACTTGACAGAAAATCATATAGCTTCCGATTGCATTACAAGGAAGCAGTTGTATTGATAATGATGCCGGTGCTCTATTGCTAGAACATATATTAACCCTTATATTCAGTCTCCTTGGGACAGGGATTTCTTTCTGCGGCTTAGAGTTGTGCGACTCTGTCAAACAGGAACCTGCATTGTGGCCAGGTGAAGCAAGCGCATGCAAATTAACGTGAGATGTCTTTCCTCCAACTTATTTCTTACATCTATAAACCTGATTACTCTCACTTAGAATAATTAATACCCCACCATCACTTTCAGTCTCCCCATCCCCATCCCCACCCCGCGAAAGAACATCTACCCAAACAACCTCTCCCTCCTCATCCCCAGCGAACTCACCACCCCCACCGCTCCAGCCACCAACGGAATAATAAACGCCCTGGCCATCGCATCCGTAATAGCCTTGATAGCCCGATCCCTCAACTCCCCACTCAAGCTCTTCAACAACGTACTCTGCACACCCGCTACAGCATTCCGTATCTCCGCCTCACTGTATCCCCTCCCATCCAACACCCCATTCAGATTCTGCACCGCAGTCGACTGAAACACCTGACTTGCCACCACAAGACAGATAACTGTAGCTCCAATCTGCGCCACATTCTGCAAATTGATCGCGCTGAAGATATCCTCGGGAGGCACCTTGAGACTGGCTACCGCATAGCCTAGCTGCATGGTCATGCCCGTTCCGACGGCCATAAGGATTGTGAAGCCGTAAATCTGCCCGGCTGGGGTAGACGGGGAAAGGTATCCGACGAAGAGAGCGCTGGCGAGGGTGAGCAGAATGCCTGAGATGAGGCACAGCGGCATGTAGTACTTGGCTTTTGGAAGGAGCCAGCCAATGGCGAGGTTGATGGTGATGGTTACGAGGAGGTAGGGGAGAAGGCGCACGGCAGCCATTAGGGAGGAGTCATTGCGCGTGAACTGGAAGTAGATTGGGAAGTAGAAGGTCGTGAAGAACATGGCGGTGTTGGCGCAGGTCGTTGTGATGTAGAGGAGGATTTGGGTGCGGGAGCGGAGGAGATGGCCGGGGAAGGAGCGCGTTTGGGGCGTAGTGAAGATGCATAAGTATTGTTGGAGGGCGTAAAGAATGAATAGGACGCCGAAGAGTACGATTAGCGCGATGGTGGCGCCGGAATCCCACGCCCAGATGCCTCCTGCAGAGATGAAGCCAAGTGCGAAGGTCACCCACATTGCCGCGCTGAGGACGAAGCCCAGATAGTCGAGTCGCGTTAAGCGTTTGCGAAGCGATTGGCCCGCGCCGGGGTGAATGGCGGGGAGGTAGAAGAGGTACACGGGGGCTGTGATGGCGCCGATTACCAGGTTCAGGTAGAAACCCCAGCGCCAGGTGGCGGAGGAGTCGGAGAATCCCCCTCCCACGACGGGACCCAGGATGGCACCCACGCCCCAGACAAATCCGGTTCCTGTAAGATAGGTGCCGCGCTCGTTGCGGGTGGTCATGGCAGAGAAATGGTTAAGTCCACCGAGGTAGATTCCTGTACCTCCAGCACCTGCAATCACACGGCCGACAATAAGGGCGTTCATAGTTGGAGCACCACCACAGAGAGCAGATCCACCTTGGAATAACACGATCCCAGCAATATAGAGCCACTTCATATTCATGACGGTATAGAGAAACCCATAAGGGAGAATCACGGCAACTGAACCGAGTGGGAAACCGGCTCCAATCCATGCGAGTTGCGACACGTCCCCGAATCTCTCAATCACGGCGCCCTGCACATCCGCAGCGATGGTTGTATCAAGTCCATACATCAGAGCAGAGAGATACAAAGCAGCGCAAATCAGAAACCATCGGAAACCAGTAATCTTGCGGACATCATCATCGGTGGCACTGGCGTCGGCGTCATGTACTTTCTCATCGGGCTCTTCGCGATGAGGGAGATGATTATTCACAGCGAAGTCTGATTCCTGACTCGAGGGAAGTGAATGCGCTGCAGCTTCCATTTTGGCGAACCCGAGAGGGCTATTGTTTCTCGTTGGGAGGACTGAGCGGCTGGGGAGGGTCGCGCATATGTATAGTGTCGAGACAGGGCAGATCACCCATTGCTTCTCCTTATGTCCGTTATGACCGGCGGACCACGTCGTGGATTAACCACGCCAGGGACACTGCAGGACAAATGGTCTCTAAAAACAAAGCTCTAGTGCTTCCACGATGGCGGGATTAGGAGTTTAGCATTGTCTATCCCCGTGGGAGGCCGGGTGATCATCATATAACAAACACGTCGCTCACCCGAAATTCGTCGGCCGAAGATAGAACGGCCCACGCACTCACCCGACAAAGAGCACAATGCATCCGAGACCGCCCCAACCAACGACCGGAGCACGCACTGGATCCAATGCAAATTCAGAACTCATGGACTATTGCCAAATTCTGCCCGATGGCAAAATGCAGACCGTCGACCGGCCCGAAGGATTCACACTGGATACAGCTCTCGGGTGGCGCCCATCCATGAAACGTAGGTAGGGATTTGCTTATAAGCTTAGAAGCCTTTCATTGGGTGTGATCTGAACCTAACAGAAAGGAAAAGGAGGGGATTTTGTTGTGGCTAAACACACAGCAAGAAGAAGAAAAATTACCTGCTAGGTCGACACAGGGCTACGTTTCGATGATCAGGATCTGAAACATGTATACTAATGTCGTACTATTTTCCCTCATCATTACTGAACATTACGAGTAGCAATTCAATTTGCATTTCAAATATCCTGAGCGACCTAAATTCGCTGGGTACAGAAGCATTGGCCTCGGGTTGCAGCGCTCCTTGTTATGCGCTTACCGGGATCTCAGACGCAAATATCCCTTCTTGGCGCGGTAGGAGATGTCGTAGGTTGCCTCATGACCAGCCAATGCCTCAGGCACATCGAGAAAATCAAACTTCCAAGTCATCATGACAGTCATGATCCTCATCTCTAGCTGAGCCAGTCGCCGCCCCCAACAAGCCCGAATGCCGAGCCCAAACGCCAACTGCGGGTACGACGAGCCATCAAACTCGAGTTCACCGCGCTCATTCTGGACTAGCCAACGCTCCGGATCAAACGCCTCAAGATCAGGGTTACCACCACCTGGGTACTTCCGGGTCGTCTTCACGTCACTCCAGTACTGGGAGGTTGGCGAAGAGGAGTAGTCTGGTCCCTGACAGACGAGAAGAACGACCGTGCCTTTCGGGATCCGACGGCCCAGAAGCTCTGTGTCACGGGTAGCGTCGCGCGGCACGAGCATAGCAGCGCGAAGTCGCAAGGTCTCCTCCAACACTGCGTCCAAATAGGGGAGTCTGGATTGGATGATCTCAGCTGCAGTGGGTAGGCGGCCCTCTTGGACTGCGGCCGCGCATACTGTCTGCAGCTCGTCGCGAAGCCTTGTCTGAACGGCAGGGTGCTCAGCCAGTAGCTTGAGAATCCATACTAGCGCCGCACTGGTTGTGTGTTGGCCGGCAATGAGATTTCCGTATGCCTAGATGCAATGATCCGGTGTCTTAGTAGAGATTTCAGAGGCCGGAAGAAGCTGTTTACCCACCTCGTCAATCATGATCTGTTTGCCATACATAGGCTGCCGGTCGGCCTTACGAGCTGCCTTCTGTTCTCTATACACCATGTAGTCAATGCCAGTTTTAGCCTCTTCGTCGTTGCCGAAGCGCTGTAGTGCTAAGTTGATATGCTTGCGGATAAAGCGATCTTTGCCGACGAAGAACTTCCGGTAATATGGGGACATGTACCGTGCCCACCAGGACACGATGGAGGGAGGCCATTTAGTCGTGTAGATAGCAGCCATCCGGTCGCCCACATCGGTTAAACCCTGTTGGAATGGGTGCAACGAGGCTTGAGGAAAGGTGACGTCGGTGTGCTTCCCAACCCCTAACTGAGAGCTGTCGAGCTGCTCGACAAACTCAATTTGTCTACGCAGAGCCGAGTCCTGGAAGTCTTGCCCGAAGTGAAAGCGCACAATAACATCAAGAGCTAGGGTTTTCAGGTCGGCCAGCATACTGAATGGCCTTCCATTTGCTACCCGGGCTTTGGATTCCCAAAGATGGATAAGGTTGAGCACCGAAGAGTGGATGATGGGACCCACGGTCTGGTGCAGATAGTGCGGAGCTAGAAGGTCTTTCAACCAGCTGCGGGAGGTTCTCCAGGAGTCCCCAGTCTTCATGTTAAGGTGGAACTCTCCAAACAATGGGAACCGATCGATAATGTAAGACGATCGGTCGAAGTCACTTCGTCCCATCAGCAGCTCGCGGGTCTGGCCGACGTCAGCCACAAGGACCACCGGCTTGGAGAGCGGGCCCATCAGCGCCTGGCATATCGGAGACCCATGCTCCTCAAGCTGCTTGCTGCACCACTTAGCCAGTCCGGCAGGATCGCCCCTCAGAGCAGGCACGTCGCCCAAAATTGATGTAGCGGCCTGTTTGTTGTAAGGAATTCCTGGTAATGGGTTCGGGAGAAGCCATCGATAAAGGACGTATAACCCCACCAGGCAGATCGTAATCGAGAAGACAGCAGGGTATCCATGAAAAAGCTCAACAAAGCTGGCAATGTAAGAAGGCGCCATTATGTCATGCGGCCGATGAATTTTGTATTTCCAATAGGATTTGGACAAGGTAGGCAATATCCAATTTACCTTCCGGACGGCTGTTCTGAGCTAAATATTCATGGATCTTTGAGGCCAAGTATAGGCCCTTAATGCTAATACTAATCATGCCTTCGGAACAACCAACAATGAGGCCGATGTTCTTTGGTTCATGGATCATAACCGTATATTCCTTTCGGCCATCATCGAAGGTTAGATACTGATTTGGAAAGCCCCGCTTCCTTCTCAGCCACGCGTGCAGTCGAGTGCCAATGTAAGAAGGGAGTGATGTTTCGGGTGGCAGGCTGCGCTGAAAGCTCGTCCGAAATATGTCGGCCGACGAATATCGGGGTTTATGTCGGACGCACCTCTACCCGTTAATTCACCCCACGGAAGCGAGCAGGTTCGACCTGGAATGTAGTCAGACTACGTGAATATCTCCTTCTCCATGGTTGCGTAGACACAGTAGCCACCCTCCACATCTACAAATGGCAAGTGCAGGAGTTTCGAATCCGTTAATGTAAGCACTAGCAGTCCATCGAACTGTATATTCCGCTAACAACTATTTACTGCTTATCGGGTTGATGCTCCACCGGAAAATCCAAGTGAAGGAAGGCCTGCTACGAATCACGAACGCCAGCCTTGAACGGGTGTCCATATCCTCGCCGGCAGTGATTACAAGCCTGACTCTGCTTGGAGGAGAATAATTCCACTTTACGAGTGGAAATTGCCATTCCAAGACGTGAGGTCTAGAGAGGGAAATTGCAGCATTGAGTATGAGTCACCATGCGCTATTGTGGATAACATGTCCGGCATCAAGGTCGGATCCTCTGAAGACATCCAGAGTCCAGAGCCGTCTTCTAGGTTGAGGAAGTTCGAAAGGATGGCTGGAGATGAAGAGCTCCGGCTTGACTCATTGGGTGTATATGGCTCGAGGGAATGCTCCATCCTGGCAGCCTTCGCAAAAAGCTGCGTCACAACCTGTGCCCCAGAGGCAGCCATGTCGCTGACCTCAGCTAACATCTGAAGACGTCCCAGGGCTTTCTCAACCGCCCGCATTGCCCGGGACCGAGTCAGAGTGGCCACTCTTAAGCCGAGAATATCGGGATGATCCTCGCCTTGATCAAATGGGAAGTCTTTCTGCGTACAAAGTATCAGGAGAACAACGGCGGCTTCGAACGTGTTGAATATGATGGCGCTGAAACGCGTGTGGGAGCCTCCAAACATGGTATGCAGAGCCGTGACGGCATCCAGCTCTTCCAGAGCGGCCAGAGCCAGCTTCTGCTTCTGCGATTGGAGAAGAACTTGCTTATAAGGGGGTAGACTGGTGACTTGGCCTGGTTTCAGCAACAGTAAAGGACGAAAATTCCAACAAACTGAATCAAATATGGCAATGTAGAGCAGCTGTCTCTGCATGGGTAATTTAGGAAGTTGGCCGTCCCACCTCCGATCTGGATTCAGTGCATAGGCTGGTGGTAGGGTAGGGATATACTCTGCGCAGAATCGCTCATACCGCTGTTCGCCGTGAGTAGGGTCGTACGGTAGGTTCCGCCTGGAACCGAAGCTTCTCCAGAATCTGCCCAGCCGGACTTGCATGAGACGCTCGGTGAAGTCTTCAGGTGCATCTGCAGACGCAGCCAAGTCGCCAATAACCGGGGCAAGACGTAATCGGGGCAAAGTCTCAAGGACCAGGTTATCGGGGAGAAAGGGGACCCGGTCAAGCTGTCGGGCGAGATGGCTTATTGATCCGGCCACGTCAGCGCAAGGTTGCAGTGCCAAGAGCATGGCATACGCACCTGTCCAGAACATACAGCCCACATAATGTCCTCCGGCGCATCTCCTTTTCTAATACTTGAGAACTATCTTCCCCCGGCACTGGAGCCACGGTGTGAATCCCCGCCTTCTGCGCCGCACTACAAGCAGAGGCGATGCCTTCCCAAAATTTATCAGTCCTCCCTTCACAAGAGGACCTGAAAGCGGCAAATAAAATGTGCTGAACCCGGACCAGAGACCCTTTCCAGTTTAGAGACAGACAGGCTCTGGCAAGCTCACCACCGAGGTGACTGCAGGTGTCACGAATGTCCGAGAGTGACTGCCCCCGGATCCGATCAAGGGTGTGCGTCGGAGAAGGCAGGAATTGCGCCGAGTAGGCACCAATCCGAAGTACCAGAGCGGCAAACTCAATGTCATCCACAGACAGGGGCCACTCCTTAGTCCACCAATGCTGATACTGTGTCAGAAAGCTGGGTGGGTGGATGATCTGTTTCATCCTGTTCCATGGGGCATCAGTCGACCATGAATCTAATATGATCACTAACAAGGGACCTACCAGTTCAATTCATCGACGAAATACTGCATCAGGAAATCTAGGATGGGACGGGGAGGAATTTTTTCCAGGACTTGTTTGACTGTCTCTAGCACCGCAGTTGACAGGCCCTGGGTGCTTTGATCTGTGTCCCCTTCACTGTCCAGGTCCCACTATGCCGTTTGAGATTAGCCATATGTCAAGAGGATGGATCCACAGTTGCATGTGTGCTTCTCACTTTTTTGAGCAGAGCCATGGTATTGGAGTCACTGTGCTCGAAGTAGCCAAAGGATTTAGCCAGAGCTGAGTGTGAATTAGACGCGCTATTCTGTGCCTCGGCAGGCGAGGCCTTGGAAGATCCATTTGGTAACTGGACATTGGGTGGTTCCTGGGGCTCAGGGTCTCTCGCTGGCTCCAAGAGTAAAGTGTTGGAGGGGTCTCCAGTAATGATGGACTGGTAGACACATTCCTCCGGCCGTCGACGTCGGGTGCAATGGTTGCACGGGTACTGGCGGTTGCACTAATTTTTTTTTAGTTCGCATTAGGACTCAAGCTTTCAGCTGCCCAGTGTAGGATTAGCGATGTTTACGCACTCTCTGTTTCCTAGTGTAGCAGGGCACACAGGTGGTGACCCGACGCTTTCGGCCGGTGGGATGCATTGCGGCTCCTCCCATCTGGTCGACAACTCACACAACACCAGCGGGCCCGATGCCCTTGTTATGTCTAGCTGTCGCACAAGATTAAGTTATTCTTCTTCCAGTTAATTATACCTTAGTCGAGGGATGAGGGGGAATATCTCAATGTGGGACTGTTTCTGTGCCTGGAGGTCGCTTCGGGGTAGTGGGGGGCGTGTCTCCACCAGCATTTGGGAGGGACAAGCCAGACAGACACAGACCAGATAGGCAGACTGTCAGACCGTCAGACATTTGGGGTCAGACGGCCAGACGGTCCGTGAGCCTGCATGGATTTAACTTCAGTCCGGATAAGATCGGCCACGCGGAACGGAAGAACCCGCCGGATCTACTTGGTTATGCTTACTCGGTTTACTCGGCTTCAAACTCTCATCAACAGGAAACGTGCGGCTCTCTGGCTGTTTCTGATGGTGTTATTGGTGGCCTAAATCCCGTGCATCCCAATTGCACTGAAACTAACCCTCCTGATTTGTTCCCATGGCACCCGGGCCATCCCGGAGCTGTGCCTAATATGGTTGATCTATCACGTCCTGTGAAGTACGTTCAATGTAGACTAGACTCCAGCAGAACCTGTAAGATCAGACAAGCTGCATCTGCAACCTTCAATGAATTCGTTGACCAGCAGGATCGCCACGCTTATCTCAACAACACCCACTTGGAGCCGCTCATTGTACTGCATATCACATTTTTGTACTACGTACCGTCAGTGGTCCGTGCGAGTGGGTTGGAGCATGGGGAGGATTTGATCTTCGTCAGAGGGCCGTTAACCCCATAATTATCAACAGTCTGGTTTCATCCCATCTCGGCACCTTTCACCTTCCCAATATGGCATGCTTCTCAGTCCGGCTTGCTTGGGACCCCCTCAATCTGGGGGGAAAGGAAGGTGGGGCAGGATGAAGGGGGCCAAAAAGGACCTCTGAGGAAGAGGTCTAGTCTTAGGCGCCCGGGACTGTGGCTGAAGGTAGGCAATCCTTCCATTTATTGCCAATGACAGAAGCCAGCAAACTTCGGCTCGCAACAGAGAAGGAATCGAATCCATGCGAAGTGTCTCGCTTCTGAGTAGTGCTGACGAAAGTCACGGCCCCGACATCCATCGGTCGCATCGGGCGATTTCGCCCGTCCCTCCTCCGTCCAGCTTATCACGATCAGCATCAACACGAGCCGCCAAGAAAAGGAATGTGAGGACTTCTCTGTTCCTCCAACGTCTTCGGCCGAGGTCCGTAGACAGCACACGGCGTCTTCATCAACTGGAATACCCGAATGTGAAGGCTGCCACGAAACGGCCGACGCGGGGCTTAATGAGTGCAGTAGCTTCATGCACGTATGGTGAACATGGCAGCAGATACACCATCAGAAAGAAGACAACTACAGCTATTCACCGTAGATAGTGCAGGAGTCAGGATTCAAGAACAGGATGAATTGCTATATAGGGCCTGTGTTGCCATGGACGAGACAGTTCATTTGGCAAATACAGCAACTTCTCTATTGAATTCGACAAAAAGCACGAACGATCTCTATACTTCATCTTTACCACTCTCATACCCATATTCCTTACTGAGCCATCATGACACCCCCTAGATCAAATGAGTGCGAGCCAATTGCCATTGTTGGCATGGGTGAGTTGATTATATCGGGCTTTGGGGAGAGATCAAGCATTGTTAACATGAATAGGCTGTCGCCTACCGGGAGGTGTTCAGGACATTCCTGCGTTGTGGGAGTTCCTCCGGGACCAGAAGGATGCTCACGGGGAGTTTGCCGCGCCGCGTTTTTCAGCCGAAGGCTTCTATCATGCCAATTCAGACCGGCCTGGGACTGCTGTAGCCAGCAGTGGCTTCCTCTTGAAAGAGGACCCGCGGCTTTTTGACCCGTCTTTCTTCGGAATTACTGATGTCGAAGCGGAAACCATGGACGCCTCGCAACGCAAGCTACTCGAAGTGACGTATGAAGCATTTGAGAATGCAGGGGAGACATGGGACAGTGTGTCCGGTAGCCGAATCGGCGTTTTCGTCGGCGATATCTCGTTCGACAATTATGTGTCCCAGACGCGTGATTGGGACTATAGCGGCAAATACTCGGCTACTGGAGCCTTTCCCAACATGCTGGCCAACCGCATCCACTACGTTTTCAACCTCAAAGGTCCGAGTCTGCTAATCAACAGTGCATGCACCTCGGCCATGTATGCGCTCCACCTGGCTATTACCTCTATGCGCAATGGGGATTGCGATTCGGCCATCGTAGCCGGATCCAACTGGGTTATGGACCCCAACTGCCACATTGCTATGGGCAAGCTGGGAGCCCTGTCACCTTCTTCCAGAAGCCACACTTTCGATGCCTCCGCAGACGGGTACGCCCGCGGCGAAGGTTTCGCAGCACTCTACCTAAAGACAGTCTCGCTTGCAACCCAAGATGCGTCTCCGATTCGCGCCCTAATCAGAGGCAGTGCGGTCAACGCCAACGGGCGTACGAGTGGTATCACCAACCCGAGTGGCCCCGCACAAGAGACTGTCATTCGAGAAGCGTGAGCTCTATCCATGTTACACACTTTGCACCTCACGCATGACCTTCTAATACTGACTTGAACAGCTACAAGAACGCAGGGGATCTCGATCCCTCCGAAACAACCCTTCTCGAGTGCCACGGAACAGGCACCCGCGTTGGGGACCCAATTGAGGTGACGGCAGCTGGGAATGTGTTTGGGCCATCACGGTCTACTGTCCATGAAGATCGCCTGGTTGTCGGGTCTGTTAAAACTAACGTGGGCCATCTGGAAGGTGCGTGCGCCTTGCCAGGTATCCTTAAGGTGGTCGCTTCTCTCGAGGCCGGAGAGATCCCCGCGACGCTCGGTTTCCAGACCCCAATCCACGCATCGACTTTGACCAGGCCAAGGCTCGCGTCGTCAGTAAGACAGAGCCCTGGCCTAAAGACCGACTTAAGCGTGCCAGTGTTACTTCGGCAGGCTTTGGAGGCACCAACGGACATTGCATCATCGACCACGTCCACAATGTCATCCCGAAGTATGTGAAGCCTGGCGTCATTCACGAGCAAGTTGAGCAGTCCAATGGTACAAACGGGCATGCTGTTAATGGTACCAATGGCACCAATGGCACTAATGGCACCCACGGCACCCACGGTACCAAGCTAGAAGCACTCTCCCTGCTGCACCGTCCTATACTCCATTCTCCGACCCTCGTTAGACGGGCCGATGCCACCACTCGCCAGATGGTGGTTCTCCCCTTCTCCGCGCACAACCAGTCTTCTCTGATTGCGAACATGGAGGCGCTGCAACATTCCATTCCTCATCATTCATTAGCCGACGTGGCCTACACTCTCGCAGCTAAACGTTCTCGATTCTCACAACGAGCCTTCTCGATTGTTGACAAGGACCAGGTCACCCAGGTCGGATCGGTCACCGACAACGGACCAAAGGTGTTCGCCTCGCCCCAACGGGTAAACGTCGGTTTTGTTTTCACGGGTCAGGGTGCTCAATGGCCAGCCATGGGGGCGGAGCTGTTTGAGTACGCTGTGTTCCGAGATACAATCGCATACCTCGACACTGTGCTGGCTGTGTTGCCCCAGCCCGCTCCATGGAAGCTTGTAGACATTCTGTGTGGCAACTGTGACAAGGATCTCATCCAGAAGCCTGCCGTGTCTCAGACAGTATGCACCGCGCTACAGATGGGTCTTGTTGACCTGCTAGCATCATGGTCTGTCCGCCCGGCTGGCGTCGTGGGTCATTCATCGGGCGAAATGGCCGCAGCGTATGCCGCCGGTCGGATCACAGCTGCAGAGGCCATCACCATTGCTTATTACCGCGGATACATGGTCTCATTCAACCAGAAAAAGGGTGCTATGTTGGCTGTCGGACTTGGAGCAGACCAGGGCGCCGAGTATATCCGGCAAGCCGGTATGGAGGGAAGAGTCAAGGTCGCGGCGATCAACTCTCCGGCAAGCATCACCATGTCTGGTGACGCTGATGCCATCGAGCAGCTGAGAGTCCAGCTCACCCAGGAAGCTATTTTTAACCGACAGCTCCGCACCGGAGGACTTGCCTACCACTCACACCACATGCTGTCATTTGGTCACGATTACGCTCAGGCAGTTGATGATGGGTTACAGCGTCTTGCCAGCCTAGGAATCAATGACACCACTTCCAGGTATCCCAACATCCCTTGGGCTTCTTCGGTGGTGCCACAAAAAAGCTCAACCATGCCTCGCGAGGAAGTGACTGCTTCATACTGGAAAGCAAATCTGGAGTCACCCGTACGGTTTACCGATGCCGTATCCAAGCTCCTCGACATGGACGACCTGAGAATCGGCGCAACGGTGGAGATCGGCCCACACCCAGCGCTGAAAGGCCCATTGGGGCAGATCGTCAAAGGTCTGGGACGTACGATTCCCCACGTTGCTTCGGTAGAGAGAGGCCAGGATGCTCGCCGCTCGCTACTTGGACTCGCCGGAACGCTATTTGCCCTGAATGCCGACGTCGATTTGGTGGCAGTCAACGCCGTCGATTAATCGCATGGTGCGGGAAAAAGAACGCTCATACATGGATGCATGGCTATTGACCTGCCGCCCTACCGGTACACCTATGGGCCTATCATGTACCACGAGAGCCGTCTAAGCAAGGAGTACCGACTCCGGCGCTGGCCCCGGCATGATCTGCTTGGAGCCCGTGTGCCAGGGACAACTCGGCTGCGTCCGCAATGGCGAAACATACTCCGCTTGAAGGATCTGCCATGGCTTAATGACCATCGCGTGCCTCCTCACGTTCTGCATCCCGGAGCGGCGCATATCGTGATGGCCATGCTCGCAGCAGAGCAAGCCTACGCGGAATTCCCCGATGCGTTGCCTGTTGTTGGCTTGACCCTCCGGAACGTCTCGATCAAGAAGACCCTGGTTGTCCCGCAAGATGACAAGGGAATTGAGATCGTGCTCAGCATGGAGCTGGAGGATGGTGCCACCGCCGCATCTCCTGGATGGGCAAGCTTTTCCATCGCCTCGGTCGTTAACGACTCCGAGCAGTGGACGGAACACTGCTCAGGTCTAGTCAAGGTTGATGTCGTTGCCTTTAACGCGCCTGCGGCCATTGATACAAATACCATGGACGGACGCGCTGTAGATGCGCAGGCCTGGTACACTCGCTTTGCCGACATGGGGCTCCAGTTTGGGCCCTCGTTCCAAGGGTATTCCGATATCTGGGCTGACCCGTTCAGCAATGTGGCATTGGCCAAGCTATCGCTAAACACCACTGCAGGATTGTTCCCTGGAGGCGAGTCCAGGTATCCCATCCACCCCGCCTCCTTGGATCTTGTTATCCGCCTGGGACTCATGGCATGTAATGGCGGCCAGGCAGAAACGGCCAGTGTCCAGCTGCCTATCCATTTCGATCAGATGCGGTTCAAACTTGGCTGCCTCCAAGGCCGTGACTGGATCACAGGGGTATCGCGCGGCGAGCTACGTGGGTTGCGTGGAGCGTACGCCCAACTGCAACTGTTGGATGACTCCGGCGAGGCTATTTTGGACGTGGACAACATGCGCTTCACCAGCCTGAACAATGAGCAGCAGTCCTCCGCACAGGATGTTTCTGGCCAAGCTTATTCCAGTCCTTTCGCGCGTCTTGTCTGGAGGCCTGATAGTCGCACATTGAGTCGGGATCAGTGGAGCAAACTTCTTGCGTCTGTGGACGGGACCACCACTTTCTCTCGGCTCTCCTACCTCTTCGACCTCGTAGGCCATGCCAACCCAGATCTTCGAATCCTGCAGCTTAGCGCTGGCAGCGATGACCGGAATGCTGGCCAAGCAGTGCTAAAGTCCCTTGTCGGCCACAATGGCATCAAGCGCTACCGGGAATACGTCGCAACGGACGCCTCTGCCGAGCGACTGGACTCCTTCCGTGAGACTATCTCAGCCTTCCGCGACGTCAAATGCTCCGTGCTGGATGTAAGCCAGGATCTCTCTGAACAGGGATTCCAGATAGGGACCTACGACATCATCCTGTGGAGCAATGTGGAACATGGCCTGGCTACTGAGCAGGCCCTGGCAAACGCCAAGAAGCTCCTCCACCCCGGGGGACACCTTGTACTAGTGGATCGCAAGGATAGCAGCGAACTGGCATGGGACCAATGCCTTCGGCGAGTAGGGTTCGACTCAGGACCTAAGCTAGTCTGTCGCGAAGCTGATCTGCACTCCACCATCATCCTATCCACCCTGTCCGATCCGGTACCAACTACCAAGAGCGGCAACCCTGTGGTCCACCTTCTACACGGGTCTCAAGGCACTTCAGCGCTTCTCCATCATCTCGCCCGGGCTATGGAACAGCACGGCCTATCTATCCGAATCAGTCCTATGGACCAAGCAATAAACGTACTCGCTCCCAATTCTCGCGTGGTGGCTTTTCTTGACGGAGAAAATCTTCTGTTTGCCGCCGATCAACGCCGACTGGGACTATTTCAACATCTAGCTGCAAACACGGCGAGCATGGTTTGGGTTACCTCGTGCGGCCTAGTGAAGGGCCGAAATCCCGACGGCGCATTTGTTAGCGGGCTTCTACGTACCCTGGGAACTGAGAATCCCGCAGGGCAGTTCTTGTCAGTCGACGTTGATGCGGAAGACTTTCAGGTTCCTGGCCTGGAGATGGACGAGCTGGTCCGCTGCTTGGTCGAACAGGAGCTCCTCCTGCAGCCCACCCTCGACGATAAAGGACCTCCTGAGGTGAATCGGGACCTGGTTTGGCAAGACGGCTGCATGTGGACGAGCCGGATCGTGCCTGATGGGCAGCTGCAGGGATACGCGGAGGTGGCTCCCACCAGGCAGGAAGTTGACGTGTCTGCACGGCCACTGAGCAGCCTTGGACCCGTACGAGCGGCCTTTGAGACACCTGGTATTCTCACCTCCCTCTATTTCCGTCCGTATACAGAGCTGTTGCAACCCCTGCCTCGGGATTATATCGACGTCAAGGTGGATGCTGTCGGGCTCAACTGGAAAGACCTGGGGCTGTGTTCCGGTCGATTTGATGCGAACAACCTCTCCAACGAATACTGCGGTGTTGTTACCCAGGTAGGAGCTGATGTTACTAGAATCTCTATTGGCGACCGGGTTTATGGAATGGGCAAGGGGCACTTTGGCACGCACACTCGTGTGCCCGCAGGTCTGGCACAGAAGCTGGCCGCGGACGTCAACGCCATCGAGGCGGCTACTATGCCGCTGGTGTATATGACTGCAGTTTATGCCTTCGAGCATGTTACTCGCCTCAAGCCTGGCCACAAGGTACTGATCCAATCGGCTACAGGCGGCCTTGGTTTGGCAGCCATCCAGTTGGCGCGGTCCAAGGGGGCCACCATCTACGCGACGGCAGGCACTGCAGACAAAGTCCGTTTCCTGACAGACCACATGGGTGTTCCAGCATCGCAGATCTTCTCGTCCCGCGACTTGGCCAGTTTGCACCGCGCCACTCAGCAACATGGAGGGTTTGATGTCATCCTCAGCACTGCCCAGGGCGATATGTTGTACGAGTCCGTCAAAGCCCTAGCCCCCTTGGGCCATTTAGTCGACGTGGGTCGCCTGGATGTCACTAGTTCCCAAACCATGGGCCTGGAACTTTTCCAAAAGAGTGCTGGGTTTACCTCCTTTGACCTTGGCCTCGTTGTGGAACGTGACCCTGTCCTCGGGGCCGAGCTGATGCAGTCCATCGACGCGCACTTCCGCGCTGGCCACATCGGACCCATTAAGCCCTACTCCGTTGCGGACATTGGCCACCTGGACCAAACTCTCTTGCAGTTCTCGCAAGGCACCCATATTGGAAAGCGTGTCATTACCTACCAAGACCCGTCCACCTTGCTGCGCACTCTCCCCACCTCATCCGCAACCCCGGCGCGCTTCGACCCAGCCGCCCGCTACATCCTCGTCGGCGGGCTGACCGGCCTCGGCCGCTCCATCGTGCGGTGGATGAGCAGCCGTGGTGCTCGCGACCTGGAGGTTTGGTCCCGCCGGGGGGCAAGCAACCTTGCCCCCGAAGCACAGCGTATGATCACTGAGCTGGCAGCCCAAGGCATCCGAGTCCAGCCCGTTGCCTGCGACGTAACCAACCGTGACGCCGTGCTCCACGCCATGCGATCTGCGCATGTTGATCCCACACGACCTGTTCGTGGTGTCTTCCACTTTGCCGTATCCTACCAGGATATCTCCTTTGACAAGATGACCGAAGCCCAATTCAACCAAGGCATGGCGGCCAAGGTCTTCGGCGTCAAGCACCTCCACGATGCAACGGCGTCCATCCCTCTCGACTTCTTCGCTATGACCTCCTCCTTGGGAACTGTCTACGCCTTCCCTACCCAAAGCACCTATCTCGCTGCCAACAACTACCTCGATTACTTTGCCCGCTACCGCCGCCGGCTCGGCCTCCCCGCCACAACCGTCGCCTTAGGCTTCATCAACGACCTGGGCCCGCTAACCAATGACCCCGTCACCGTCAACCTCTTCGTCCGCGCCAAAGGCCAAACCATGACGGGAGCCCAGGTCGTGCGTATGCTTGAGCCAGCCTTTGTGAATGAGCAACCCAATGCCCTCTGGCTCGGCCATACCGATGACCCCCTCTCCGCATCCCACATAGTCACTGGCATCGACCCAGCCGTCCTCGCCAAGATGGCCCGGTCATCAGCTGCCTCCCTCGCCTCTTCTACCATTCCCAGATGGTACCACGACTCTCGTGTCTCCTTAATGCTGCGTGCCCTAGAAGACGCCTCGTCCGCTACCTCTTCTCTCAGTAGCTCGGACATCCATGCCTCAGACGCATCACCTACTGCCCAACTGAGACGACAATTCGACCACTCCGTTGCGACGCTCCGTGCGGGAGGTAAAGATTCCAAGGAGGATGCATGGACGGAGACCATCAAATTCGTGACTGAGGCCATCCAGGCCACCGTGGCAGGCATGTTGTTTGTGGATGTGGGAAGCGTGAATCCCAACAAGACGGTGGCGGAGCATGGCATTGATAGTTTGCTGGCGGCGGAGTTTCGCAATTGGTTCCAGGGGGCGTTTGGGAGGGGGGTGAGTATGTTGGAGTTGATGGATGCGAGGATGAGTCTAGCGTTGTTGGCGAGGTCGGTAGTTGAGGGGGCGGTGGGTGTGTGATATTTACCCACATTGAGTACTACTCTTTTTAGTACTCTATAGACTGATATCATAAAGGAAGTAGTTTATTTACACCCTCATCTTGCTAATGTCCATTACATATTATCCCAACAAGTATACAGACGACATTCATCTACTAACAACCTCCATACCTCCCCCCAACCCCTCTGATAATCTACCACCCCCAACATGATCCACCGCCCACTGAATATACTCCCGATACCTCCCATCCAAATGCCACTGAATCCCCTCTAAAATATGCCTCGGCCACCCGCAAATGAACCACACATGATCCAGCCGATCAAGCGGATACAAAAAGAACGCAAATAGAATCAACGCCACCGGCTCCCTCCGCTGCAAATCACTCACCACTGCGTCCGGCAACTGATACAACCACGCAAAGACAAGCGGGAAGAGAGCCATTCCCATTGTACCCTGTGGATCGGGACCCATGATGGCGTCGAGGCTGTGGCCTAGTCGGTCTAGTGTTTGCAGATAAATTGAGAGCCGTGGGTCGTCGATGGGGATGGTTGTGGTGAGGAGGGCGCGGTACGTTTCTAGGTGGTGCGGGTAATCTTCTAACTTGGTTTTGTTTTGCGATGCGGTATGGGAGTTTTCATGTTCGGTTTGAGGTGTGGTGCGAGAAGAAGAATCATCGCCCTCTCCATGGATGGAGAAAACGCTCGTTGGCATATCTCCGCTACATAGCTCGAATACAGATCGCACACCGAGGAACAAAGACAAGTGGCCTGGGGTGCCATCACTTCGGAACGCGAGGTACTCCCCCGGTTGAGGGCCACGGGCGAGACTTGAGATGAAGATGAATATTGCGGAGGCATACATCGCGGGGCTGTTGTCGCGGTCAAGGTGCGGTAAGGTGGCTGAGACATCTCGGATAGCAACGTTAAAGTGGCGTTCGGCTTCAGTGTATATTTCTGCTTCTGTGAAACCCATGGATTGGGACCATTGTTGATCGTCTGATCGTCGCACGAGGTGGAAGCCGGAGAAGGCGAGGAGGATGTGCATGACGTAGTGGTGGGAAAAAGCGATTTGAGATAATTGCTGACGGGCTTTTGGTTGGGCGCCGGTTAGTTCAGGAGAAGTGGAGAAGTGGTGGAAGAGGAGCATGTCCAGGGCTGTGTATTGGAAGGGGCGCTTGACTAGGTCGTTGTTTGATGGGGGTGATGGTTGGGTTGTGTCTGGTCCTGACGTGAGAGGTGTGCCATGGCCTCGTTTTGGGGGTTGAAAGTTGACGGATGAGGATGTGTAGAAGGTGTAGCTATCTGTGCTGGGGCCCTGTGAGGGTGGTGATACCGAGTCTGATTGCTGTGATTGTGGAGAAGGGCTGGGGTTAGTCTGGGGCTTAAAGCTGTAGTCGCACTCTATTGAATGGCGGAGGCAGTTGGTGCAGTGTGGCTTGATCTCATCGCACTAACGATCAGTTAGTATCTCTCACTCTCATTGAAGCGCCCGGAGTGGAGAAGGCATCGCGAACTGACTTTGATTCTACGCCTCTTACAGTTCTTACATCCCAGACGGGACTTGCGATGGCTTTTCCGCGATAGAGTTTGGGTGTATGGAGTGCGAGAGGCCCCCATTATCTCACAGTACAGGTGCTTTGATTCAGGTGGATGGGGTGGAGTTTGGTCACCGGCACGCCTGGAAGGCTAGATAACTTAGTAGTTGAGGAATGCGGCGTGGACACCAGTGGCATGCTTAAATTTTAAACAGAGCGAATAACGTTGGTTCCAGAAGGGCTTCAGGGGGCGTTGGCCCACTTCACTGCCTTTGCAGCCTGCCCGGGAAAATCCCGGTTTTACTTCGGTGGATTCTCGGCAACATCTCGTCCAGTAATGGTAGGTTCTGTTTTCTCTTGCTACATGCATATCTCCATTCCATGCCTGGTATCTGCATAGCCATTGTTTTCTCGCTTCATGACCTGTACATTTGTAAAGTGAATAAAAGAGTCTCTGTGATAGATACCAACTGCGGGCTTTATATTCTCATCTCCTCTCGACGCCTTTTAACCTCCATTTTCAGACACGGGTCAACTGCCATACTAAACCCACCATAGCGAATCTTTGGTACCGTCCCTTCCAAAAGCTTCCAGTCATACCGCAGTAGGAGATAGATCAAGGCAATCTTAACCTCATTGGCGGCAAAGAAGCGTCCCGGACAAGCATGTTTGCCATGTCCAAAGGCCAAATTCTCCGGAGCCGTTGTGACCAGCTGCGCCTTGGTCTGTCGCTCAGGGTCTTCGCGCATCTTGTAGAACCGGTACCCGTCCCAGGCAGCTGCATTTTCGTAGGTGTCGTCATCCCAGAGCTTGTGGGCCGATACCGCAAGCATGCCATTCTTGGGGATGACCGTCCCGTCGGAGAGCTTCACTTCCTTGAGAGCTACCCGGCGCATTGAGGCTGTTGGCAATTTATTTAGTCAAAACAGTGGAAAGTATCAGAACAGATGGGTTTACGCTCTGCTCACCATTGTTGATTGGTTTCAGCCTTTGGCTCTCCCGGATAACACTATCCAGCAGTTTCATGTTATACAGAGCGGCCTTCTTCCAGCCATGCTGTTGGAGAGTGTCAACAATTTCCTTGCGTAAAGGCTCCAAAATCTCCGGATTTTGCACGAGATGGGTCATTGTCTGAGACGTCAGGTCGGAAGTTGTGTGGATGGCCGCCACGGAAAGGATAAGCTGCGCGCTGACAGGGTCATAAGGATGACCTTTGGCGGCCTTCTCAAACCATTCGATAGCATCATCGAACCCTTGTGTTTGTTTACCCTCTGCATGAAGGTGTTTCTTGAATTGACGCCTCTCCTCCAGTATTGGTCCCATGACTTTCCTAGCCACTTTCACCTGGGCCCTAAGCTTACGGCATCGAGGCAAGAACCAGTGTACGATGGGTCGAATAGCTGCAGGCCACATGCGAAGTTCTTCGGCCGCTAAGAATCCATCAGTAGTATAGTCTTGAGTAACTCGCAGCCATTCTTCATTCCGGCACAACTTTTCCCCCAGGAAGACACGGGAGGAAATGCGCGAAATAAGAGCCACCATCACAGTTCTCAACTGGATCGTGTGCCATTCTAATCATGACACACATTAGCATTCCTGTCGTCGAATTGGAAAGTATGAGATTTTCTACCTTCATTATCTGTCAACAGCTCACGGACGGCGACAGATGTCTCGTTGGCAAGGGGCTCGGTGACCTTGTCTGCCAAGATGCCGAATTGTGAGTTAGTATACAGTCATGCCACCAGTGCCGTGAAGTCCGATAACTAACTCAGGTATTTTGTCAAGTCGTTTCCGATAACAGCCTGGACAATCCCCGAGTCTTGACTACCTTCGCGGAATCCGTCAAATCCAGGTAGATTGCCATGAAATGCCTGGCATCTTGTCAGCTACTTTCACACGAGCTCCGGATCAAACATAAAACACATGAATGTCGGAACACACTTCGAATGTCCATCGAGAGAAGCTCAGGCGGTCGTCATTCCTGATCTCATTCGCCATACTCGGAGGGAGAATTGTCACTTTCCCAGTGTCGGTATGCAAGAGCACTGGCGTATTTGAATGAGTTTTAAACCAATCCCATAGCAGCCTTCGCGCATTGGAGAAGAATTCTTGCTTTACTCTAGTAGATGTGAGCTCGAAGGGCTTCTTTGGATTCAGGGCCGGGTCCTTGTATCTAAAGCTTTGAAGTAGGAGAAACGCGAGGCCTAAAGCCAGTGACACAAGGACGGGAACTGGCATCGAGGTATAACCCAGCATGTTCTCCATGCTTGCACGCAAGGGCCCAAAAGGGGTGTCTGTGGAGATCATAACGTAGTAGTGCTAACAAAAAAGATGAGATAGGGTAGCGGCATCACTTCCAACAACGGATGGGGATAGATGCCCATTGATACTTACTTAAATACTTCCAAATTGTGAGGGGCTTTAGGCGTTGAGATGGCCAGGATGAAGTTGAAACAATGCCTCGTTAGTATGCCGCATTTCCCGCTTGATCTGCAAGAAGCGCCGTTAGGGTGGAACCCCCACTGATTCAGCGGTTATGCATTGCATACGGGCATAGCAGGAAGTGTCTCGTCATTCATTAGGATCATTCATCATTCATCATGAATAAAAGAGTTTGTGCACTAGCATTGAACACATTGATGGGCCAGTATGTTCGATCTGTCGGTCTCGACTCTAAAGCAGGACATTACTTATCCGAGACATAACACTCGTAGTAGACGATACATCGAATAATCGATATGCCTCTGAAGTGGTAAGCACAGGATGAAAGCAACTGCTAAGTTTAGGTGAAATTTCCATCCCTACGATAGTGTTATTCACAAGGAACAAGACTCGCAATATGAACCACAACCACACATAATTGAATAGAAGCTGTTTCTCCTGTGGATAGCTGCATTTAGTTACTCTAACTGAGTTGCGGGGAATGTCAAGTCAGTCCTAACTGATTGGCTGCGTGTTTTGGTTCCTTGTCCAGCCCACACAGACTCGCATCACTTTCCACTTCCAATCGAAAACGACTGAGCCTATCCACAAGAGAAAATCAGTACGCTTCGGTTCCAATTGTCCCTTCTGCATAAGATATACACGTAGACGTTTGAACTAGTCTAAATCTGGTATAGGTTTTATGCATGAATTGTCCCCACGTAAACTTCCAATCCCGAGGACATAAGCAATGATTCAGCGCTTCCGAGACGCCTGCAGTCGGTGCATCAGCCCACTCATTGCTGGGAAGCCACCTTGTCTGTTAACCGCATGACTGGCCTGGTATGAATTCTTTGATTTTCAGTTGAACGTATCAGGTTGACGTCAAAAGTAATTTAAACTAGTGCCCGGTTTTAAATTTGACACCTTTCAGATCCAAGCAGACTTGATTTTTGTGCAGGTTTCATTGGTCAGAGGACAGCCCATTTCTTCTCAGTTCGTCTGGCGCTGCTAACCAGGTAATATGCAGCATTATGCTTGGCAATAAAAGAGGAATGCGGGTGTTTTGGTCGAAAGGCTCGTCTCCGCCGTGATCGACCGAAGTTTAGACGAATATGTTCACGTCGTTCTATATTGCCGGGCTAACACATTTTGGCCCGGTTCTTCCTTGGTGCTATTATAGGTAGGTAGGAACAAGAATTCTAACATTCCTGTCGGATCCTCGTCAGTCATCCATTTTACGAATAACAGCGCTTACTGAGCAAGAGAGTGCTGTCACGGGGTGCAGTGACACTGAATGCAATCCCCACCCCCTTAGCAGCACGATTCTCAGATTCTCAAATTAGATAGGAGCTTTCTTTCTGGGTATTCTGAAAGATAATTGAAGCTCTTCGAAGATTACTTTGGACTAATCTGATTTTCGGAGACTTTATAGCGAGTCGCTGCGCAAGTACACCTATGAGGATAATAGGTCGTGGAATGTTGATTTGTGAGTATTTGAGGATCTGTGGTAGCAGGGAGTCACGCCAGTCATAGTCTTGAGTCTTCCATATCAGTACGGTTGCACGAATCGCGGCAATCTGGGAAACGTATGGGCTTTTTTTTCCCTCCGAGCAGTATTACTGTGACATTCATTAAAGCACCAAGTATCTTGTTGGTCTATGGCCTCGTCTACTAAAGTGTTGCTAATTCATGGGTTGGATCTCAAAAGATAGTACGGATATCACGGATCTGCCAATGACAGGCCAATGAAAAGCGGCGAAAACCCCACTTTCGGGTTGAAGGTGGATTGATTATAAGGTAATTCAGTTCTCGCAGTCAAAATGATGGATGGTCTTACAGTGGCGCGGTGGGTTTTGCTTTTGAGTGATACTAATAAAGCTTATTTCAAATCATCCTGTGATCCGATCAGGGCTCATCCAGATACAACGCCCAATAAAATAGGCTCTAGAATGGCCAAGTGTACAAACACGGTTCAGTCAAAAAATGGAAAATGGACAGAAAGGAAAAAGGGAATCGAAGCGACAGCCAGAAGCAAAAATGAAACGGAGAAATCCTGGTAAACATGATACTAATATCTAATGTTGTTGTTGCTATGAAGAGTGATTGTTGTTAAAAGTTGCAATGAGTACGGTATACAGGGCGCTACATGTAATTGCTTTTTTACGGCGCCTAATCTTCCACCCAACACTTCGTAACCCCGCTCTAAATCCCAAACGCACCCATCGTCACCCACATCAATTCTTCCACTGGGCGAGCAACATGACATGTAAGAAGACCTTGAAGGGCGTTTTCAGCCCTAGCAGCTGGAAGAAGCGAAACAACGCCGCCAAGGAGGTAGGATATAGACCTTTGACCCAGCCAGAACCGAGCGTGGCTAACGTTCTCCATATATCCATCAAAGGTCGAACCTTCGTCTGCACTGAGACAAGAACAACAAAATGAATCCCAACCCGCTAATACACTCCGCTCTCAGCCAGATGAAGTTCATATCCCTTGCCTTGCCCAGACCAAAAGCAATAATGTCGACCACGAGACTAGCCACGATGAACTGGAAGAGTTGACGGAGATGACGGACAATAGGGAAATGAAGGGCACTCGTACTGAACTTTGTAGCAAAGATGAGCAGGTCGAATTGAGCAACCGATTGCATGACAAAACCCTGCGTAACGGTCTTTGGAAAGCGGCTTACCAGAAAGTGGCGCAGGAACTAGATGGAAACGTGTTGGCCCAGTTTGTCCACCTTTTGGTAGAAGCCGAGATCAGTCAAGAAGAGCCAGGAACGAGCAATAACAATGCCAATAAAGTGGACAGTGAAGGCATCCTTGAGAATCTACAGGAAATTGTCAAGGGCAGGCTGGATGTGATACAGAATGCAAGGCTGGTCATCAGGGGTAGAGTTGTTAGGGACGAAGTGTCTGAGATATTCGATACGGTCAAAACGTTTAAAGACATTATCACAGCAACTGTTAGTGCAGAGCCTCATGCAGCGCTGGCATGGGGTTGCATGGCAGGCTTCTTTCCCGTAAGTCGCCGGAAACTCCAACAGATACAGATTAGGCGTGCCCTTGATGGCTTGGTGCTACCTACTAAGTTGCTAACCTTTGACCATAGTTGCTAGACAATGCACTGACACAATTTGAGAACGCCAAAACTGGATTGAGGGTTATTTCTGACATCTTGGTTCGTTGTCGAGTCATAGAAGCAACAGCTTTAATCTCTAGGGATCAGTCATCTGGAAATCAGGAGCTTCTTTCTCAGGTGAAAGACAAAATGATCGATCTTTATTCACAGATCCTAAAATATCAGATTTCGCTAGCATCTCAGTACTCTCGTCCCTCCATCAAGCGTCTGCTGAGGGACATCGTCCTCAAAGACAATTGGACAGCCATGTATAAAGATATGCGGATGACGGAAGAGAGTATCACGTTGGATCTGGAAAGACTTGACCAGAAGACAATTGCAAGCATTGCTTATCAGATGTCCAGTCTTCAGAAGACTGTGAAGGTGGTTTTGGATGAGAGTGTAAAGGTTCACGAAGAGATCAAGGTAGGTTAAACAGTGATACGGGCGGGCTTTCAGTTAACCGTTGCATTCAGCTCCTCACACAAGACGCCTTGATCAGGGGATTGCCCGAAGCCCAATATGCTGCCTTTGATACGTATAGGAAGAGCATGCCCCCACCAGCATATTGCCATGAAGATACTCGGAAAAGGGTTCTTCGCGAAATCCAAAAATGGGGAAAGAGCAGCGATGGCAACTGTATCTTTTGGCTAAGGGGCATGGCAGGTACTGGCAAGTCTACCATCGCTCGGACTGCGGCCAAAATGTTCAATGATCAGCTTCTTCTTGGTGCCTCATTTTTCTTCTCGAGGAGCAATGCTGATCGAGCAGATCCTGATAAACTCTTTTCAACCCTCGCCCGACAATTAGCAGATGTGCTCCCCGGCTTTGCTGCCCACTTGAAAGATTCCATCCAGCGCAAGCATGATGTGACTCAGCAGTCTCTAGATCAGCAATGGAGAAGTCTCCTTCTCGAGCCCCTTTCTGCGCTGAGCGACAATTTCCCGCACCGGATGGTATTAGTACTTGTGATTGATGCCTTGGATGAATGCCAGAATGGACGCATATATGCTCAGAGCATCATAAAGGTCCTGGCTACCGCGAGGACGCTCAAGAAAATTCAGCTACGGATCTTTGTGACTAGCCGGCCTGAGGATTATTTGGCCGATGGATTCACCCAGATTCCTTCGACAACTTACTATGATGTAATGATCGATCATGATGGAAACCGAACCACAAAACGAGACATCCGTATCTTCCTCGAAGACAAATTGTCCGATATTGCTACAAGAAAGCAGGCCAACGAAGCCTGGCCTGGTAAAGAAAGAACAGAAAAGCTTATTGAAGGATGTGGACGACTGTTCATCGCCGCAGCGACTGCCTGTCGATTGCTCGAGGATACTGGTTTCCTCAACGATACCTTGGATTTATTGTTCAATACTAAGCAGCATGATTCTCTTACCAGGGATATTGATGAAATGTACACACTCGTCTTGGAGCAAGCAATCACGAAGCGAGGTTCGGATAGTATACATCTGATTCCTCTGTTCCAGCTGGTAGTTGGGTCGGTCATTACCATGCCAGAGGCGCTCCCACTGCGTAAACTTGCAATGCTTCTCCGAGAACCCTGCGATAAGATTAGAATGATGCTCAAGAACTTGACTTCAGTCCTGGTTGTGCCCGAAGATGATGACTCACAAGTTTCGCTCTTCCATCTTTCCTTTCGTGATTACCTTGTTGATCCAAATCGATGCAAAGATAGGGACCTCCTCATTGACGAGAAGAAAGCAAACGAAAAACTTTTCCATCGATGCATGGACATTCTTCATGAAAAGGGCAACCTGCGCAGGAATATTTGCAATATCCAACATCCAGGAACTGCAGCAATCGAAGTATTACAAGAGACTATCAACGAGCATCTTCCCTTGGAGGTCCAGTATGCCTGTTGGTATTGGGGTACACATAGCAACTCTGGAGGGCCTCTCCAGCCAGAGAAAGCCGCACAACTCTTGGTCTTCCTGAAGGAGCACTTTACCCACTGGCTTGAAGCCCTGAGTCTTACGGGGTTGATGCGGCTTGCTAGTCCTACAATGACTGAATTGAAGACTCGTGTTGCGGTAAGTACTGTCCCTGCATCTCCCTGTATGTATATTGACATGAGATCAGGTCGAGAATTATCCAGAGCTTTTCGAATTCGTGGATGACGGGAGACAATTTGTCAATCACCGCGGCACCGAGATCGCCGATGCTCCCCTCCAGGTTTATTATTCTGCCCTTATTTTCTCTCCCACATCAAGTGTGCTACGAAGACAATACCTTAAAGAAATACCTCGGTGGATAAACATGACCTCTACTACCCATAACAGCTGGGGTCAATCTGAGCGCATATTCAGATGCGAACACTCTTGCTGTGCGACATTTTCTCCTGATTCAACAATTATTGCGGTCGGTACTGGTATTGGGGAGATACGGATCTGGAACATGATAACCGGGGAGCTTGAACAAATACTGCGGGACTATGGCACAAGAAATGAGAATGAGGTAGTGTTAGGACTACTGTTCTCTGCTAGTGGCAGGGATCTAACGGCAGTTTACAAAAGTGGCATTATTATCACCTTCAACGTTCTTACAGGAAAACGGGAGCAAAGAAAGAAATTACCGATAGAGGTCAGAGAAAGTGCAGTCATTAAGTTGTTGCCTGACTCGAGGATCATTGCATTTTTTTCACAACATACCAAAGCAGTGTACCTCTGGAACTTTGATATTGGCGAGACTAAGATCATACATGGCCAGTTTGAGGAATGGATCATGTCACCCAACGCAGAGCTCATTGCATCATACTCAGATGGTCGTGTGAAGCTGAGTAAGGTCATTCCCCGTGACGCTGAGTTTTGTGCTATCGAGGAAATAAGCGCTTGGGAGGTGAAAGATAGTCCTCGGTTCCATGTTGTCTTCTCTTCGGACCTCAAAAGAATCGCCTTTAGGACCGGCTATGACACGTCACAGATATGGGATATAGAAGGGCAGCCTGAATTGGTCATGGAATTCAGGTCTGGCTATGTCGAAGATATAGTCTTTACTCCCGATGGCAACCAGATGGCAGTGCGCGCAGCTACAGGAACAATAGAGATATGGGACCTGACTACTCGACGCGTTTTCCATCGGATAGAAAATCATGGTAGACGAGCCACGGCTCTTACCCTCTCTCCTGATGGTCGCAAATTAGTCTCCTTAGCCTCTCTCGAAAGCGCAGTGCAGATATGGGATCTCCATGACTTGAGCAAAGTGGACCAAACACCGGGGTCACCGACTGATGAGTATAATATTTTATACGATTCTATCATTTTTCCCAGTGGACAAACAGCTATGTTAAAGTCTTACGGAGTTACGTCTAAAATATGCGACCTTGTCACTGGCAGACTTCAACACAGACTGACAGAATATAATGGCAAGTTTGCGGTCTTTTCGCCAGACAGCAATTACCTGGCCCTGTTCAATAAAGATGACTGCTTTAAAGTACTCAGTACCACAACATGGAAACCCAACCTCGTTCTTGAGAGCTCATTTGGCATAACTGCTGCTTTTTCGCCAGACAGTAGGAGAGTGGCCATCCATGGAAACGATGGCCTTCTGCGGGTATACTGTAGTGCTACGGGTAGGGAAGAACGATCTAGCCCAAAAGGTCTGCCAGGAAGTGAGTTAATGGCCTTCTCACCAAGTGGTGACATGGTGGCATCATCACTAGGCCCGGTTATTACTCTTTGGAGACTTGGCAAGGAGCCAATACAGGATGATATTGACATTGGATATGGTCACATTAACGTCCTCGCCTTCTCTCACAGCGGGAAACAGTTGGCAACTGGTTGTAAGGAGGGCCTTGTGAATATTTTGGATTTGACAACCGGAAAAGTGCATACAAAATCTCTCAGCTGTGCGACAACGGTTTATTCTTTGGCTTTTGCGCCAGACGATACTCGAATCGCATCAAGATGCATGAAGACCGTCCAGATATGGGATATGGCAAAGGAGGAGCCTATTAAACTGTTACCCTGTCACCGAAGTGCCTCAACTCATACGCGGCTATTGCTAAATTGGGAAATTCTGGCCATGTACACTGTGGATGAATGGGAGAAGTGGGTCATTTACAACGGGCAGAGACTTTTGGCCATCCCAGCTGACTTTCGTCCAAAATTCGTTGAGCTCTTGTCCGCCACTTCTCTCGTTCTGTTCGGCCAACAGTCAGCTCTTGGCATCTTGCACCTTTCCCCAGATCCCAGCTTGGAGGAAATATAGATTACCATTTGCAGATAACAATTTTCCATCTACATGGCAAATAATGATTGGAACGGGTAGATAAACTACCTAAGTCGACCAGACATAGGACTGGGCGCCGTGTGGGAAATCATAGGAGTCTGAAACCTATTCCTGGTGTCTATTTTGTCTTAGCGCGCCTTAAGTGGGTTTTCTATTGTTTCTGATACCCCAGTCCTATCGGGATACCATAGGGACCCCAAAGTACATACAAGATCTACTAAGTTTACAGTACACTAGAACTGGCAGTATTTACTGAGAAGGATTGAAACAAATTATCCTGGTTTCAATTTCAAGACCGTGCACTCAGCGATACAATAGAACATGGTTTTCTATGTGCAAGTGTTAGTTGCTTCTGGACACAGCCCCCTCGTTTACTTGCAATCATCTACAAATCATGTCCCGAGTGGAGAGCACAATAAATCCATATCATTCTATAAACATCAGTGGGACTCGTCTCTCTATCAACCACTTCGTCTCAACTATCCATCCATGCCACTGTTCTTCTACTGGTACTATTTTCTTACCCCCGCCCCCCACCCTCTAACACTAAACACCTGCCCAATTCTACTCCTGCTTCGTCTCTTCCGCAGCAGGCCCAAGCAACCTCGCAACAGTCGGCAGCGGCCATGCGAGCTGTGCAACCGAGTCCCGCCGCACTTCCCCAGAAGTGATCAAATCAATGACCGCCACGGCGATATACCCACCAATGGCAGTGAAGACATGCCACCTTTTATGAGTTGTTAGCCAAGCCCAAGCTTATCCCGGACAATGGGGAAAGATCCACATACCAGCCATGCAGCTCAAGCAAGAAAGCCACAGGCAGCCCGACCGCGTGTCTGGCTCCGATTAAGGATTGACACACAAACTCGTCAATCAGCCAGACGAGATATCCGAAGATGAAGCTTGCTACAGAAATGTCAGAATCAGTTATGACCTCGTTTGATAGACTAATCATAGATTTGAAAACATACCACATCCAAACAGCGCCACAGACTGAATCCTTTTACGGGCCTCAACGTCGGGGATCTCGCGAGGAATGATCTTGAGCGTGCGAGTCGTGATCAGACACACTGCGGCCCCGAATGTCACGGCGTGAAGCAGGAACTCATCCATGACCATGTGGACGACCATGACGATCGTGAACAGTACAGAGAGAATGATTCCCACTGTCTTTGTGTACTGAGGGGTGGCCTGGAAAGATAGAATGCGGTATAGGAGTGGTGTAGTCAGGAGGTGCATGGAAAGTTCATCCGCTGTTCAGACGGATCAGCTCAGATCACGATGATTATCATTCCGAGTAGGCTGAAGAATAGAGGGGGGCAGTACACATCTGGGTGTGATATTTCAGAGTCATATGGTAACCGGCAGAGCAAACACCGACGCCAATCAATCCACAGTATGTGATTGAGCGTGGCCCGGTTTGGCGTCTGCTGTGGAGCTGCCCGAGACCGTAGATGCCATATAGAACTAGAGAAGAGTGTTAACTTGTGAACTACTATAAGGGGGGAATAAACGCACTATAGACAAAGCTGCTAAGAGTATTAATAAACTCCGCAACATATCGCGTAATTACATAGTCCTAGAGGACAAATCAGCGATTGTTGTTGTGGGCCAAGAAAAGACCAGATTGCGCTTGCTGTAGACGGACCTCTTCACAGAAGCTGTCGACATTGGTTAGTCTCCAACATATACTTCAATTGGCTATTAATCAATGGACATACTTCAAATAAGAGGTCGGGGCACCCCAGAAAGGCGAAATCGCGGAAGCCATTGTCGCGAGCGTTTCTGGCGAGCGGAATATGGGGGAGTTGGGGAAGAGAAAGAATGGGGAGATTGGCAAACGGGCTGGAATAATAATAAATCGGCTCCTTCGGGAACTCCACCGCGACGGTGACCCACTCGTGTCTCCCGTGCTTAGCAGGCCTTGTTCCTGCACGGTTTCCGGGGTTGAAGACAATTACAGTTTTGCATATGGGATGATGTAGCCAATTTTAAACCTCTATCCCCACTTGATCCCGTCAACCAAATGCCCAAGAGGGTGAAGTCATTACAGGCACCTGGAATCCACTTCGGACCGCCTGATGGGCGTACCCGACCGTTCCGGACGGGGCTGGCTCGGCTTCTATCCCCAGTCTTGGCATTGGCGTTGAACAAGGTATGAATCCTGGACTATTTCAAGGTTGCTCAAATGAGATTTTGCATGTAAAATTTATGCCGATTTAGTCTCAAAGGCAACACACGCTCTCTTCAGAGTTCAATTCTGCGATGCAGGTGCTAACCCCTAGCATATTCGACTTGTGGATATATTAGTTTGCTGCCTGAGGCCTCGAAATCTACATAAACAACGCGTCAACACCTCCTGTTTGGGAATGGTTCAACAGAATTCGAGGTTTCTCAACGGCTAGTCCGCGTTTGAAAGGTTCCTACGTTTATAATATTGCGTCTCTCAAGAAAAGGCCCTGATTCCCCATCATTTCGCATATTTATAAGTAGCCACAAAACTTAGATGAAGGATATGATGGTTACATAACACCACCCATGCAGCTGAATGTCGTCACAAGTGTAACAACTATTTTCCTCAATACTTCCACCCTCCACAGATTTAAACCCACTCATACCACGGCAAACCATCTCGAAGAACCTCATAATCTGTCCCCGAGTCAAATTGCGGGCCCTCCGCATCTAGGAAATATCCACGCGCACACAGGTTAAACTGGACCCGCGTCGTCTGCTCCACCTCATAGAAATGATCGTAGCGCACATCCAACGCGTCTTTCAACGTCATAACCTCCCCATGCGGATGCAAGGCGTCCCATGGCTTGACGCATACTTGGCCCTTGCAGGACTTGAGCACGAGAAGAAGGGAGTCGAGTCGCTGAACGACTTTGGAAAGACCAACGTTTAAGATGGTGTGAGAGGTCGCACTGGGCTGTTCAATTGCGGAAAGGAGATTATGGAGTTGATGAGGGTCACTCTGTCTCTTTGGTCAGATTTCCCAAGAGAAATGAATTTGGGAGGGGCCAATACAGTCATATCATAGAGTTCATGCTCATTGTTACACCAAACGGAATAGTAAAGATTATATCCATTCCCCTTGATGCGGAGGGCTTTGTATGTGTTGTTGTATGCCGATAGGTCAACTTTGTCAAACTTAGCTCAGCCATGGTCAAAGAGTGGGGTGTAGGAGTAGAATACGCACAGTCGTATATACCCTCGCCCGCCGCATATCCCCAATATTCAACCGTGACATGTTCCTGTCTCTCTTCTCGGGCTCTCTCGATCTGGCTCCTCGTCAACGAAATAGGGTTGCCATCGAAGTCCTCTCGAAGGGGGATACCCAGTAGCTCGAGAAAAGTGGGAGCAAGATCCGTATGCGTGGTGACAATATCCGTAGATACATTCTGCGCGATATCGGGACCACGAATAATCAAGGGAACATTAATGTCTTCCTCGTATCCACACGACTTGCCTGGCTGAAGCCGGTGTTGACCAATGTGGTATCCATTGTCACTACTATAGACTATATATGTATTGTCAAGGATATTGTATTCCTTCAAACGTGTAAATATGCCATCAACCAGCTCGTCAACGGCCTGGAGGGCGCGTAGACGCTGGCGGTAAAAGTGATCATTGTAGTCAACATTAGTATCATTTTGTCGCTTGAGGGTTTTAATCCAGTTGGCGCCTGAAGGGTTTTCCGGATTGAAGGAGGGGGTGCGGGGAACTTTGACATCTGGGAATAGGTGCTCGTGTCGCTTCGCGGGGATAGGTGCGCTGAAGCTGAATTTAGGGTTGGCGTCTAAACCGGTTCCATTCATGAAAACGTTGCAATGCGGTGCAATTGGAGCAACTGTGAGAAAGAAGGGCTTTTGGGCCGTGACTGCTTCGTTGAGGAGGCGATATGCCTTTTGTGCGAGGACATCAGTGCTGTATTCGCCTTCGTAGCTTTGGGGTAGTTCGTGGTCTCGTTGGAAGGTACTGTTAAGGTAATCGTATGTGAATGGATCGAGGAGGAAGTCCTACATGACAGATTAGAGTGCCGACTGAATAGAAAGTTTGCTGGATGACTCACGTTGCCGGTGAACCCAGCTGGGAAGGGGGCGTTGTAGTTGTCGACCGTGTGGACGTTGAACAGTTTACCAGTGTAGTAAGTGTTGTACCCCGCTTCCTGCAGCCAAACAGGGAGATAATTGTCATTTAGACCTTGAGAGATGAATTTTGGATAGCCGCCTGAAAGCGTATGAGAATATGCCCCGATATAAGTGGCGATGTGTACTACACTCACCATGCGGAGGATTAACATCCGTGACGTTTGTATTGTGGGCCAACTTCCCCGTCCATAAGGTCACCCGCGAAGGACAACAGACGCTGGTAGTACAGTAGTGGCTGCGATAGTGTGTTCCTTTGTTTAGGAGGTGCTTTTGTACATAAGGCATGTAATCCAAAGAGCCGAGATGGGCGTCTTGATCATCGGTTAATATGAAGACGACGTTGGGCTTGGCGGTCGCAGAAAGCGGCTGCTGCTGCTGCTGCTGCTTCTGCTGCCCTAGCGATTTTGTAGTAAGCCCAGCCAGGGCTAGCAAATACACCAGGCATCGCATATTGCCGGTATAGTATGAGTTTGTGGGCTTCGATGTCAAAAGCAGATGAATGGCAGATGCAGTGAGGTTCAAGGTAATTGCTTAATAACCCCGCGCATAACGCAATTCGGGTCAAAGCGGGCCAAACACAATTACCCTACAGGATGCCCAGAGCATGTAAGCGTGATATAGGATGTTCGATATTTTAGAAGCAATTTTCAAGAAATTTTTATTATCTGACGGCGCGCAGAAGCACAATCATCATACTTAATATCACTGAATCTCCATCGTCACCACTTCATACTAGCATTAGTACTACCAGTTAACGGATGTACGAGATTGAGAAAATATACTACTACTAGTACTACTCTATCATGGATGATCAAGTTGACTGGCAGCCCTGTACTGCGGACTATTGCCCGCAATCACTGCAGATTGCCTAAATGGTTCAGAATTATGATAATGACAGTACATGACTCGATGAAAAGAAACCACGATTTGGTGATACGTGGATAGCGAGAAAATTACTGCGGAATGAGTACTCTCAAGTACTGCTTACTATGTACTCGTCACCGCAGCGACCATTTTCTGCCGCGCTCTCCAAGGGCGGTCAAAATTTATACAGAAATCCACGGGGCTCTTTTGGGGACTGTATGTCATTAACTCCGCTTAAGTCCGAGCTTTTTTCGACGAGGTCGACTAGGTTCTGCCATTTAAAGCGGTGGCCAAAGCGGCCAGGATTGGCTTTTCTGCCACAGCTCCGTTTGCAAGCAGTGGGCCACTGTGGGGCCTCTTCTAACTAATTAAAGTGGCCGCTTTCAACAACTGGGTCCCATAGCTCAGTTGGTTAGAGCGTGACGCTAATAACGTCAAAGTCGAGGGTTCGAGCCCCTCTGGGACCATCTCTTTTTGCTCTTTTTGTGCTCATCGCATCTTTCTGGTCCAGCAAGTTTTAAGACATGGTTGTTGGTGACACAGAGCAGAGTACGCCCTTTGTTGTTGTCAATTTTGTTTGTTTATTGCCTTACTGATCCCGATTTCTGGCGCACAATCACTGGTAAGTCGGTTGTTCTTAGTTTTCGCCATCTCTTTCCCCTGTTTTGAACGGTGGAGAGTGTGCGTAGTAGTGAGAATATATACATTCAATGACCCGCACGACTTTCCTGCTCTTAGGCACCACTACTCCAGAACGAGTACTACATACAGCTCGCACAAAACCGAGGCCATGGTAGTGTAGCCCTTTGAGACACACACACAGCTCTTTTCCTGGACCTTCTGCACCACAATGACCCTCCACTGCCCCTGCTGTATGCCGAAATCCATCCCTCAAAAGATGCCAATTAATTAAGCTTGATCCCCAATAACTGTGCCCCAACTGCAACCTCCACCCCATCAACATCAACACCAACACCACTGCCACCACCCGTGGTAACATACAACCAATCCATCTCCCCTTCACCCCTGCCAAACGCACACCCCGTCGGCTCCGCAATCTCCGTAGAATCCAAACTGCCCGCAATAACACTCGTCAGATTCCTCCCGCCCTGTAAATCAAAGCTAATCTGCATAATTGTATTCTCTGCCGCCGTAGCCGCATATGCAAACTTCCGTCCACTCTCAGCACGGAACCCATCCGGGGAAACGGCGAAATCATCAAACGCAATAGCCTCGGCAATAGCCTCTCCAGGACCAGCAGTCACATTGGAGTACAGCTTCGCTCTGCAAAAGTCGCCGCCGGCGGTCCAGTACACGAATCCATCTTGAACCTTGATTCCATTGATGCTGCTCATCAGGTTCGCATCCTTGATGGCTTCCCATGTGCGGCCGGTTGTTGTGTCGACAGCGAAGATGGAGTCTTGGTAGGAGGCTGAGGCGAGGATAATGGTCTCATTGAATGCGGCTAGTCCGTTGAAGCCTGTTGGTGCGGTGGGTCGGGCGATGAGTTTGATGTCTGGGGTGTCGGGGTTGGTGGTGAAGTCGACGCGCCAGATGTGCGTGGCGTTCTTGGGAGGGTCGGAGATGTTGTCACTGGTGGTGTTGGCGCCGGTAACGTAGAAGACGTCGTGGGCTGCTTCGGTGATGCCGGAGAGACCGAGAACGCTGGGAAAGGTGTGGATGACGTTCTTCTTTGGGGATGAGGAGCGGGGATCGAAGGAGAGGAGGCTGGCTGGGGGACCGATCTCGGTTGCGAGAATGAGGCCGTTGGATCGGACGACAAGATTCTCGAGCCAGGTGTCGTTGGAGGCGAATTGGTAAATCGTTCGAACGTTCAGCTCGGCGGAGACTAGGGTACTTGCACTGAGGGCAAGTGTGCCTAGGATGGATGGATGGATTTTCATGATTTGAATCAAGCAATTGAGCGTAGTACTAATGAGGGAGGAGTATTTGGAGGCTGAGGAAGCGTGTGGAGAATCAGATCGAAGGAGCGGACGATCTCATTAGATATAGTAGACACCTCTCAACTTTTATAGTAGTATAGTATAGGCGGGCCTCCTTAGCTAGCGTTGAAGATTATACGTGGCCCTGCCCTACGCAGGTACAATGATCTACTTCCAAACAGGAAGGAAGTGGGCATCTTTACGCACTCCATTACGAGTCATTATCTGATCTTAGATCAGTTTCACTGAGTATGGGGGCCCGCGGAAACAGACTGGGCTAATGACGTGAGCATGGTGCAACAGGAGGATGCTTAAATATAAAAAAGACCCGCAGTCGTTTCACTAGGCTGGATATTAAACTACTCTACAATAAGTCTACCGCCGGTGCAGAAGTTAAAGTGTCTTCCTGGCATGCTCGGCGTTGTTTCCCGCAACAGGAATTCCAAGCCGATGATCAGTGATTAGCCCTCCCGCGCCATATAGCATTGCTGCAACGAATTCGGTTTCTTTCTCTCTATCTGGCCACGTTTAGCCGCTATCTCCGAGGTTATTGGATGATATTCAGGAAATGATAAGATCTTTTACGGTGGGACCGCGAATTCCCGAGATTTGGACCCGCTGAAGATCGTCAGGACAGTTCCCCGGACGAGAATTGACACCGTTTTAAGTCCCGTAGCGGGCATGCTGTTAGCCAAAGCTAAATATTTCATTTGAAGATAGAAGTAGAAACGATATGTGACTTGAATATGAGGCGCAAAGCGATGTACCACGAATGGACTGCTGAGCATATGGACGGACATGCGGATAGTTTCATCCTATCGTGGAAAACAGGCCGTTAGCTTAGAGACATTCTCATATGTCCTTGGGATATTGGCCACTCGCTGCTCCAGTTGGCACACGCGTTGGCGAGGCCGTTAAATCTCCCTGTACCTGACGTTCATCTTCCACTCTCATGGTCAAATCGGACATCTGGGGCATGGATATTATGACATGCGACAAGGTCCGTGGCTCGACCGAGCGCTTCTTGGTGCAGGTCATCCACGGTTGCGGCAGTTACGGCATGGCATACTGGTGTCACAATTGACGCGAAGGACACTACAACCAGTTGCAGGCTCCTGAGACGTGGTTACGTTGGGAAGGCCATGATGTCAAGGTGGATGTGGATGAGGAAGAGCCGGAGGACACAGATCGATCGGGGGCGACATCAAAGGTGGACAGCGTGAAGAGAAGCAGCAAGTAGAAAGGTCTTCAAAGAAGCCTGAGTTTAACGATGTCCGGTTGTTGTTTCTCATGATTTTCAAGGCAATCATCTTTCAAGAGCAGGAAAAAAAAGGATAGCCGTGACTTCACCTCCAACTCCTCTTCACGCCACACCACCCTCAGCCTCGTCAGCCTCATCAGCACCGTGTCTAGTCATCACTTGGCCTCTGATTCTTTGAGAGTACTAAGGGTGCGAGACAGCACCTTCCGCTCGGGCCAGGAAAAACCATGCACTGAGGTCAATTGTTTGTGTTCCACTATAGCCGTGATATTCCCTGCTGCATATCTGGGAATCCGTCCCTGACACGAATTTCATAGAGAGATCACCCTGTGATATGTTCAAATCCCACAGAACTCTGAACAAGCACGTCAGCATGCGTGTGCTGGTTTAAAGCACATGAACCGGGACTCACCCATCCCTATACAAATGTCATGCAGAAAGGCAAACACTCAACATTGAGGAGAAACTCCTGTATCAATAGCCAAAATGTAACCTTAAAGTTACACTGCATTTGGTAGAACCCACCGGGCCCGCGTAGACCTCCGCAAAAAGAACCCGAGTCCCGCCGACGTGTCTGTCATACATTCGAAGAATATAAAGCCCTCACTGATACAAGGAATCCTACCCCCATTCATTCCCCTGACTTCATGCATTTAATCAATCGTAAATCTCTCTCTATATAATAAGATGGCCACCCCAAGCCTCATCTCCACCAACAAGCTCTCTAACTCCCGCGTCCTGATAATCGGCGGCACCTCCGGCATTGGCTTCGCCGCCGCCCGTGCCGCCCTGGAACACGGCGCCAACATTATCATCTCCAGCTCAAATTCCCAGAGAGTCTCAACCACCATCCCTCGTCTCCAAACTCTCTATCCAGACAATGTCTACACCGACCACATCACCGGCAGACCCTGTGACCTAGGCGACCAAGCCACACACGAACAGAACCTTCTTTCCCTCCTCGACTACGCTACATCACCTTTGCTCTTCCCTAATACCATTTCTTCTGCTAGGAATAATGATGATACTATTGAGCGAGTATTACTAAATCATATAATCTACACCGCTGGTACTCCACCCCCACGGATTCCTATCGCTTCTTCCGAAACCACCGCCTCTAGTTTCTTAGCCTTGAGCACTCTCCGGCTACTTGCCCCGATGTTGATTGGTAAACATGCGAAGAAATACTTGGTTAATCATCATACCTCATCCATAACATTCACCTCAGGGTTAATGGCGGCCAGACCAGCGGCGGGGTTGGCGGTGGGTGGTGCGGCTGTGGGTTCAGCGCTCGAAGGCTTGACTAGGGGATTGGCGGTGGAGTTGGCCCCTATCCGTGTGAACGTGGTTGCACCGGGTGCTGTCGAGACGGAGATCTTTGAAAGGTTAGGGCATGCGAGAGAAGCATATATGGAGGCTTTTAGGAGGGGGACGTTGACCGGGGAGGTGGGGAGACCAGAGGATGTTGCAGAGGCGTATATTTGGTGTATGAAGGATGGGTTCGTCACGGGACAAAGGCTTGGGAGTGATGGGGGCGCATTGTTAAAGGGGGCATAGTATATTTTAGATTTGAAGAAGGAAGGATGGTTTCGTCGGTATAATGTTTCCAGTATGGAGGTGATTTCGGGTCATATTTCTATGAGTTTCTAGCGATAAGCAGTAAGATAGTGGCTTCAGTAATGCGAATTATAAAATTTGTTAGTGGGCATATTGAGACTAAGGTACAGGTGCCAGTGGCATGGCAGCATACGTCCTCGTTCAAGAATAAAGAGAAAAGAAAAAGAAAACTAAGGACAGGGACGGGCGAGATTATAAGGAATAGTTAGGAGGAAACATATCCCACTATTCTTCTGCGTGTCACATTCCATCCATTCTATCTGTTCATCTTGTGGCTCGCACTAAACTCGTCCTTCACGGGCGACATGGTCACTCATTTTCTTGCTCGTCAAATTCGCGCAGCATGTGTATAATTTTATCCTTGACTATGGAGTCCTTTGCCGCCCTAAGAACCACATCACTTTGATGCTGATAGATAAGCTTTAGACACTTCCTACGATATTCATACTCCGTATTGTCGCCCGTCAAATCCCGCAAACGTGATCCTTCATCTCCAGGTTCCAAGAGCTCCATTACTATGAACTCTACCGCCGCTTTATTGATCGGGAGGCTCTTCTGCAATTTGTAAAGAAAATTTAAATTTTCGAAGCAATTTGAATCCATAATAGCTGTACTAACCGTTTCCTTAGAAATCGGTAAGCCTTTGTCTTGCTGGTAGCGCTGCCTCACAGAATTTGGTCCGTCAGTATGGTTCATTACTGCAGTGACCACCGCCTCAGAAATCGGGAATCTCTCTTGATAGTACTGCTGTAGAAGATGTACTTTTTTAAGTGCATGTGGTGATAAGATTGCGTTTTGGATTGTACTTGCAGAGATGGGTGGACAGCTTTGTTGCTTGAACAAAAACTGCAAAAGTTCGGTTCCGTCGGGGAGTTGTACTACCGCATTCAACAGATCTTCAGAGAATGGTAGAGTGTCTTGGTGTTGGTAAAACAGACGAAGGATCTCAAGTCGATCGTTGTACTTGACTGCAGCTTCGATGACCTCTTCAGAGATTGGTAGGTTGTGTTGGTGTTGATAAAACAGACGAAGGATCTCAATCCCATCAGGATAGTGCACTGCAGTTTCAACTGCCTCCTCAGAGATTGGTAGATTGTCTTGGTGTTGGTAAAACAGACGAAGGATCTCAATCCCATTAGGATAGTGCACTGCAGTTTCAACTGCCTCTTCAGAGATGGGTAGACACGTTTGATGTTGGTAGAACAGACGAAGGATATCGAGTCCTTTAACATGTCCCACTACATTTTGGACTGCATGTTCAGAGATAGGTAGATTGTCTTGGTGTTGGTAGAACAGACAAAGAATATCAAGTCCTTCAACGTGTTCCACTACATTTTGGACTGCATGTTCAGAGATTGGTAGACACTTTTGATGTTGGTAGAACAGACGAAGGATATCAAGTCCATCAATGTGTTCCACTGCATTTTGGACTGCAAGTTCAGAGATAGGTAGATTGCCTTGGTGTTGGTAGAACAGACGAAGAATATCAAGTCCATCAATTTGTTCCACTGCATTTTGGACTGCATGTCCAGAGATGGGTAGACATCTTTGATGTTGGTAAAACAGACGAAGGATATCAAGTCCATCAATGTGTTCTACTGCATTTTGAACTGCACGTTCAGAGATTGGAAGGCTGTTCTGATGGTAGTAGTAAAACAGTAAAATAATATCAAGTCCAAAGGTATGTTTCGCTGCATTCTCGACTGCTTGTTCAGAGACTGGAAGGCTCTTTTGATACTGGTAAAAAAGTTTGATAATCGAATTTCCTTGTGGATTTTGACTTGTTTCATCGATCACCCGTTCAGTGATGTAAGAATCGGCCGTGCGGAGAAAAAGAATACCCATGAGCTCATAAATGCTTGTTGCATTTCTGACTGAAATTTCTATTATTGATACTCTCTTCCGTTGGTCGTCAAGAAGAATCTTTAGGAGTTTATATGCGATGTCATAACGTGCTGCTGCTGCCTCGAGCACTCTTTCACTGACCGGTATTTGGACCTGAGTCTGACACAATAGTCGCTTCATCGGTTCGAACTGCGCTTCAAAGTCATCAGATTTCAGTATATTCACAATAATGTCTTCTAAAATGAGTTTCAGACATCCGTATTCCTGCTCTTTTCCCTCCAATGTCTGTCCTAGGCTGCTAGATGTAGTAGAGGTTGGCACTTTCAGACTAGTTAATTCACTCCTACTCTCTCTGGCAGGTGGACTGATGTCCCAAGTGAAGAAAAGGTCAATAGGTGGCGCATATATGAGTTGGAATTGCTTCCGTAGGTCTGATATCTTCGTCTTGGAGTGTCGACGAAAGGATTCGTATCCGGTTTTCTTTTTGACCATGTCTGGTGTTGCCATACTCACGACAACACTGATTTTTCCTTTCCCCAGTCTAATGATTGTTGGCTTTGGAGCATTATGCAAGAAGCACACAATATCATAGACCTGAATTAATGTTGCTGAAGCATGAATTACCCATTTATTTCCCCACTGAGTTTCAAAGAACATCCCCAAGGCATTCTCATGGAAGCCAATACCAATAGTCTGGTAGTCATGAAGGGGTGTGCTTCTTTCGACTGACACGATATGGCCCAAAATCCACCCTTTGCCTTTGATCACAGCTATGTTAGTGTCAGACAGAACTGCCACAGTATGATTTCCCATGAAGATATAGTTTACGATCTGCTTAACAACAGCACTGAATGCAAGCCGATAGTTTGGTCTTAAGCAGGGTGTTTTAAGATCATCCGAGCACAACCCTAGCAACGCATATATCTTGTCGTGTGGAACTGTTGCGAAGTGGGTACGATACATGTCGATCAGCTCTCCTAAAGGGAGATTACCTGGCAGTTTTCGTGAGTTGCGTGGCCGAATAATTGAACTTCGGACAAGAGGGATGACTGTGAGCACGTGGTCTGGTAGTAGTGACAGCTTTAGTCTGCTAAGGCCTTCACAGAACGAATAGCCGTTGACCTGAGCTAGGCCACATCGAAACATAATTGATCGAGCAACACCAACTTCTTGTAGCACCTGCTGGGGATTTAGTTGTGCACTAGTGAAAACGCTCAAACCCCAGCTTACCCAGATACGGCGAAACCAATCATGTCTTAGCGGTCTCATACAGGCCACATGATCCGCTTCTGACAAATCAACACTTTCGGTACCTGCATAAAGCAACACTTTGTTCTCTGCGAGTTGATGGATCGTGTCAAGTGCATTGGGGCCAGCATGGTCTGGCTCCCCAAGCCAGACAATGACTCGATCGGCCTGTGCGTAGATGGCTCTCATAAGCGGAATATGTGTATTCTTCTCATCTTCGTCTTCTTGGTTGATGCAGATCGCATCAACCCACAATGTTCTCTCCAATTGGTGGTCCCGAAGGTACGACAGGGCAGTGTGAAGATTCTCAGTCACAGGCAGAAGACTTCCACCAATCAGAACTGCTTGCGGCTTATCATTGCTACCCCACGTATAGGAAAGTGCCTCGTAAAGATGGTTTCGGCTTTCTGACACTGAAAGATCGTAGTTGATAAGTATGCACTCGATGGGGGCATTTCTTTCTCTTTGTGGCAAGAGACGGATCATGCGAGTGAACGACCCTGGTGGAAGTGCTGAATATGTATATGCTATCATGATGAACGGGTCATCATCGGGTGCTATAGTAGAGTAACAGAGTGGAATTGGACAGGCAAAAGAGAAAGAAAACTCTGGTCAGCGCAATGCCGGCCACGGGCGGGGATATGCCAACAATTAGTTTTCTATAGAAAAAGCAATATTCCTCATCGCCCTTGCCATTGCTTGGTTTTCTTGCTAGAGTGGGGTATGCAGGCATAGCTAAGATGTGGTTCGTTATGATAGGCTGCTAACGTTCATGACAGATGCACTACGGAGTAGCGTACCTCACTTGTGCTGTGAACTACTCTGGACCAAGAGTGCCCAGCACAGCCTTTGGGGTTTACTCCGTGGACCTAGGAAATGAGACATCAAATCACTAGATGGCTCTTGTAGCTCAATTGGCCTATCTGAGCTTAACATTCTTAGGAAACCCCTCTGGCAGCCCCCTCTGGAGTGCGATCTAACTTGCCACATTTTCGAAGCCTGCCCAGGGACCACACCCCGTTTCACAGCTGACCGCATGCCTAGTCGAGATTCATACTGCATAGTGTAGGGACATGTTACTTATCTCTGAATCAATACTGCACACTAGCTAGATACCGACAATGCTCCAGATCGGGCACATCCGTATACCCTGGCCGCGGATATTGCAAATCAGCCAGGACCATATTTGACGCCGTAAACTCCGGCCAACGCCAGCCTGCAAAGAACTCTAAGGTGGTGTTGTAACCGCGCGCTATCAGATACTCCCTCGCAACATTAGGATCACCCGTTCGCGCAAACGACCCCCACATGTCCTGCACCGCATTGGTGTAGTAGATATCCTCGGGAACCCGAATCGGCTGATCGTAAATGTAGTAAGTCCCAAATACCTCGTACAAGTCACTAGAGTGGCACCGATAATATGGTGTGTCCGGCTTTCCGACAGGAAACGTGCAGAGGTCATAGAAATCATAGTAGGAGAGAGCGTATCCGCGCTGATGATAGGCCACGTGCATACTGGGGAAAGCGACCGTGGCGGCTCCCACCATAGCGTAGGCGCCATTCGGGCACTCTTGGTTATTTTCGGTGGCGATCTTGACACTAGCGTTGTATACGCTGGAGTATGAAGTTGACCCGTTGTGAAAGGTCTCGTTGCTAATAAGCCACAGGCCTGAGGGGATAATATGATCTGCCTGTTCTTGATCGATCCAGCCCCCTGGGATGAGCTGGTCGAGCGCGGTCTGAAAGTCGCTCATATTGGGTGCCAGAGTGGTTGTGGTCAGCGACTGACATTCCTCGGGCATCAGGGTGGACATCATCCGTACGGAGTTAATGTAAGAGCTTCCTTGGGCGACTAGAGCCATAGGTGCATCTGGTAGATATACAGGATCGATCACTGGAGTGAAGAAGATGTCGGCGCTGGCGTTCAGGAGCACTGATGAAGGCAGTCACTGCAGGCAGGCAAGCCGGGCAGCGCCTGTCTCGTTGCAATATGGGCTAAGGTAGGGCTCAGCTAGCTCGGCTATTGCGCTCTGGGTGCTAAAGCGACCGTTGCCCGCTGACTGCTGGATACTGCCCTGAAATAGACCAGCAGCTTGCGGAGAAGCAACAAGCTCGATGCAGTTGGCGCCACCAGCGGACTGCCCAAAGATGGTAACATTGTTTGGGTTTCCCCCGAACCCGCGGATATATTGTTGCACCCACCGAAGAGCAGCGATGTTATCGGACATCCAGTAGTTCCCAGGGATGGTGCCATCATCGAGTGATAAGTACCCGAAAATATTCAAGCGGTAGTTAGAGGTGACGATGACCACATCCGAGCGTGAAGTTAGACTTCCTCCATCGAAGGTTAGGTCCGAGCCGGTGCCTTGAGAGAAGCCACCGCCATGGATCCAGAAGAGGACAGGCTTCAGTTGATCCTTGGGCACGTCCGTATCGCCCGGAAGAAAGGGAGTATATACATTCAAATAAAGACAATCCTCATCATTACCCCAGGGGTTCAAATCATAGCTATTTCCGTCAAAGTAACCGAACTGCAGACAGGCGGGGCTGTATTGAGTTGCATTGACGTAACTTACATTGGTCGCATCCCAAGCTTCGGCATACTGGAAGCGGCGTGTGCCAATTGGCGGCTGCGCAAACGGAATACCAGCAAATCGAAAAGTCAAATGATCACGGAGGCCTTCGAAGGTAATGTTACGTGCCGTGGCATTAACCCGAGGGAAGGAGGAGTAATCGGTGTCGACACGATCAACCAGTGGAGCCGAGTTTGTGCAGACGAAAGGCCACTCTCCATCCGAAGAGACATTATCAGCGGCAGAGGTACCAGAAAGAGTGACTGGTGTACTGCAAGCAGTCCAGAGCAGCGTCTCGTTAGTCAGAGTACCTAGATACTGCTGGTACTGGAAAGACTGGCGGAACTGGTGCACGTCATCGCATCGCAGCAATTGCTCCTCATAGTCGGCACAGATTGTTTCTGCCTGACGACGGCGGGCAGGTGTATGCACTAGCAAAGCACTTGGTCGCTCCCCATGAGCAGTCCAGTTTCCGTCGTTCTGAAACAAAAGGCTTGTCGGAGCGGATGAAGCTTTTGCCACGGCCGGAAGAGCCAGCAGCAGCAGTGACGCCATGGCAGCCATCCTGAGCGGGGAATGCCTCATTCTGTAGGGAATGCTGTGGGTTGAGAGCCCTGCTAGATGTTGCTTTCCCGTCCGGGTTGTTGCCTTATATCTTGTCCGCGTCCGCACAGTCGATCTGTGAATCCCAATGCGGGAAAGACTCCGCAAGTTGGCGGCCGCAGAGGCCCTCATTTTGCGAGCAAACATCCAACAGGATCATGCATCCTCTTCCGTCCTGCAGAATTTCCCCCGCTTATCCCCGCAATTCGGGAATGGGCCGATATACCAGTCGGGATGTCAACAACGAGGAATGTACTGTCATCACAGTGAGAAACATGGCACATATAAATTGCTCAACAAATGATGGTGATCTCCAAACTTCAAACCATCTGCAAGCTTGGCTATTGTAGGAGTATTGGCCATGGCACTCCAGTTCCTAAATTTTGTTACTTTCCTTCTCACCGTTCTCCCAATTGCATTGGCTGGGAATAACTGCACCATTGAGACGTTTCAAGCCTTCTTGGACGCCAATGGTACCGCTGCACGCGTAGTTTACGCCCGACACTATGCGGAGAATTCGACCTTTGTGAACCCCAACATCAGCTCCGTCACCAATCCCACTCAGTTGCCAGCGGCATGTGCCATTCAGGTCAATGCGACCACAGATGTGAACACCCACTTCAGCTTCGGCGTCTTTCTGCCTGATACGTGGAATGAAAGATTCTTGTAAGTTATTCTGACCTATACCAGAGGATAATTAGCGTTAACCGAACGCAAACAGCCACGCTGCGCAGGAAGGCGCAGACATCAACTGGGTTGATATGGTATGTATCAGATGTAGCTTTCGTTGCCAATGAATTATAGACTAATTTCACCACTAGGCCGTTGGACTGAGGTATGGCTTCGCCTCGGTAGCTACTGACACGGGCCATACGGGGTCCGATATGGATGGAGTCTGGTGGAAGAATCCAGAGTCTATCAGCGATTGGGCCTGGCGCGCCAACCACCTCACAAGCGTATTGGGCAAGTTCCTCGTCGAGAGCTTTTATGGTCAAAAGCCGAAATATAACTACTTCGCCGGCTGCTCCACCGGTGGCCGCCAGGCCATGAAAGAGACACAGAAGTTTCCGCGGGACTATGATGGGGTGATTGCTGCCTGCCCGGCATGGTGGACTACCCACCAACAGCTATACAATCTCAAGCAGACGACCTATCAGGCACCTCAGGGATCAGATCATACAATTCCAATGGAGATGTTTGCCGTCATCGGAGGAGAGGCAATCCGTCAGTGCGATCCTCAAGACGGACTGGTCGACAACATCATTTCCGATCCACTAGGCTGTCATTTTGACTACCTGCCTTTGCTCTGTACTGAGACAAAGAACACTAGTTGCTTGACAGGACCCCAGATAGAGACACTGCATAAGATCTACAACGACTGGGTGGAAACAAACCAGACGTTTGTGTACACGCATCCGCTGTACGGCAGCGAAGCAATGTGGAATGAGAGCGGCGTAATCGGCAACGGCAGTGCCGGCAACGAAGACTCACAGCTGTGGTATCCTCAACATATCCTCGGCCTAGCCAACTTTACTGTGCAGGACTTCGATTATAGCGTGGTGCAGTACGCCGATCAGACTGACCCGGGTAATTCCTCCGCCAACAGCTATGATCTGGCCGAGTTCTACCGCCACGGAGGGAAGCTCATTCACTACCATGGTCACTCCGACGCCATTGTACCCCCGGGCATCGGCCTCTATTACCGCGACCACATGGCCGCCACGCTTGCCCCGCAGGGCATTGATATCGATGACTTCTACCGCTTCTTCGCCATTCCTGGCATGGAGTTAGTGCACCCAAGGCCATAATGGAAATGCTAGCTGACTCCTCCAGACACTGCTACCACACACCATCCACAATGGGCGCGCCGTGGTACATCGCCGGGCCGACACAGGCGAGCACGCTGAGCTCGTCTCTTTATAGTGTCCCGGGCTACCAAGATGCGAAGCATGACATTTTTCTGGCCTTGATCAATTGGGTCGAGAACGGCACTGCACCCGACTATGTTATTGGGTCTCGCTTCAATAGTAGCGTTGAGTATACCTCCAGGACCATCGACAAACAACGGCCGATATGCGCGTATCCCAAATTGGCCCAGTACGTGGGGTCAGGAGACATTGATGATGCGGCCAATTTTGAGTGTAAAGCCCTTTATTAGTTGATGCCCGTGGGTGATTATTGAAGACTACATTGGGAGATAGAGAAGACTTATGATTTATACAAGCGAGGCAGAGAGGCCAATAATGATTGCATTATATCGCCCAGTCAGTGGCCATGCAAGGGGTCTCTTTCACCGCTCTTACACAGAGGATTGCCTGAGGTACAAACAAGTAGCGGATTCTCATCTGGAATGCTTTGGTTTCTCATCCCCGAGTTCATTTGCTTTTCGAATCTCCAGAGGCTATAAGCTATCAATGTTGCGATCGCTTAAGAGACGTGTCTAATCTTGATAATATATGCGACAATATGCTGAAGATAATGCCAAACGCATCATCATTAAAGTGAAAGTAGATATTTCGGAAGACTGCCGAACCACCGCATACAGAACTGTCAGCGAGAGTTTCCCAGATTGGAAATCGGACAAGCGTATCTTGTCTCTCCCTATCCAATTCTGTCCATGGCCACGGGTGGCTGTGATGGAGAAGACGCGGCGTCAGTATCGAACATCATCAATTTCAGTGTCATAAGATTTAGTCGCGGGACCAGTGTGATGTTTAGCTTTGGCCTTAATTCTAACTCAAGTATAGAGAAGAAAGTTTCCAAATCCCATAGAACAAAGAGAATGCGCTCCTGACTTCGATTAAGGGGTGGACCTAGATAACCGATATACGAGTTTCTGTTAAAAACTCGAAGAGGTAGCTGAACATGCATTGACGTTATCCAATTATCTGACCCTAACCGTCGGCCTTTTTGCCCTCCGTTTCGTTAGATAGGGAATGGATCCACTGCTCTGATGGTGCTATTCAGCCTCAGCCCTCTTTATCGGCTATAATTTCCCGGGCGAACCCGCGGCTAACAAGTGCTAGTAGATAGTGGTTTGGAAAGAGTGCCAATCAAAACCAGTACCCCTCAGCTAGAAAGCTCCGGTGGCGTAGAGTACTTGGTGGAATATCTACCTCCGTGAAGTCGAAAACCTGGCTTTCCCTCCTGCTTTGGACTCCCATCAGCTCACACCTCTGTTCTGGTTTCTCAAATGGATCAGAAGTAAGCAGCTGCGTCGATCTTTACCCGCCATTCCTTTAATTTCTTTGCTCCAGTCACTCATTTATCAAGGTCTCTACGATGGGGCGATTGCTGACAACGAAATGGCTACCATACATGGGAGCACTGGCAATCCTAGGACTTGCAGCCACGATCCCCGTGGCGACAGTGGCACCCACTTCAGTTGTTACTGTAACGTCTACTTACTCCGATAGGGTGACCAGCACTACTACCGGGTTTCTCCCCGTGACGACCACTGAGACCACATGTACTCCTGGTAGTGTTGCTCCAGAGTCATGTACCAATTCGATATGGTCAGCGGATGGATCCTACTAGCATGAATGGTGCTCAGGTTCATCATTGGAAGATGCACCATATGTAACCATTTATAGAGCACCCAGCCCTTATGAATGCTACGTACTTTGTGGTATCTATTCGAGCTACCAAGGATTTAACTAGGATGTTAATAGCGAGTGTGTGCTGCTCACGGATATCACGTCCACAGTGGAAGTCACTTCATCTCATTGGGCCGCAATTGAACGTCTTTCAACCAATCCTTGCGTTGTCACTCAAACAAGTTCTTCTACTCAGCTTTCAACCGAGACAACAGTGATGGAATATACAACGACATACACATCGACAGTTACATTGCCTACGAGTTCTTCAATCGCATCAACTAGCCCTACATCCAGTGTTACGACATCCAGATACACCTCGAGTGTATCAACATCAACGGCTTCGACATGCACTGTTTCAGCTCTTCCCACCACCACTTGCGTCGACGGATATTACGTATATGATGATACCTCCTACCAAGTTCTCTGCAATGATACTGTGCAGGGCTATTCTGGGCTTCTGCCTAATTCCAGACAAGACGACATCTGGGGCTGCATCAATGTCTGCTCTAGCTATTCGAACTGCATAGGAACGTTCTGATTTCTCGGAATCTGTTACTCGGAAAGCGGTGCTATCGACTATTCTTACGTGCCCTACGACTACAGCGACCCGGATAATAATGTTGTTAACTACATCACCATCCGGCTAGATGGCAGCCCTTGTGCAGTTGCGACTTCTAGTGCCGTTGCAACATCTTCGAACTTCATCCTCATGGACAATGCGCCCTCATCTACCATGTTGACATCATCATCAAGGCCTATCGTGAAGTCTACGCCAGTCATCGACTGCTTCAAACTCCACTCAACAACTGGTAGATGTTACCTCGCCTGTCGAGCCACAAATGACTACCTTCACTGTCTTCACCACACATGTGTACACTGTTACCGCTTGTCCCCCGTGAAACTCGAACTGTCTGCCTCAGAAAAGACCACCAGTTACACAACAGAAATCGTTCCCCTCTTCACTACTATCTGCCTTCTTTCCGCTGAGGCATCTGATGCATATGCCATCCCAACCCAAACGGTCAGCAATGAGGGACAAACTACTGAGCAACCTCAACCCCTTACTACATTTACTGTATTCACAACAAGTGTGCATACTATGACAGCTTGTCCACAAGAGAGTCTGCACTGCGCAGCCTCCGAGAAGACCACTTACTACACCACAGAAACAGTCGCTTTATACACGACTATTTCGCAAATTGCTGTAGAAGAAACGAGTACACCCGCCACTGGTGAGGTGACAGGTCTCGGAAAAGTGGACTTCGGACAGCCCGGTGTAAGACTCAGCACAACAACCTACTACTCCAGCCGTGTCTACCCGATCACAGCTTGTCCATCATCTGTTGAGGCCTGCGCTAATTCAGAGCGAACAACGTATTTTACTACAGAGACCGCAGTAGCATCGGTCACTATCATTACTTTGGAGTATCTATTCCTGTTACCGATATCCCAGATACTCAAGCGAAACCTTCTGGAGGTGAAGCCTCAGTAGCAACAATTACAACCGTTCTCTACACAACAGAGGTATACGAAATCACGAAAGGGACAACAACACAAATTGCAACCGCCACTATTCCTATATCCACAACTGTGTTCCACACTGCCAGCGACATACTACCTACCAGCAAAGCAGCAAGCTCGGCGTTATCCGGGCCACACAGCCCCCAACAAGGGGCGTCGGGTGCATCTACCATTGGAGCCGATGCGGACGCAGATGGCCAAATCGGGGTCAGCGCAGGGTCTCCAGGACAAACGGGAGAGGGATTGTCCTTACCAGCATCTAGCAACAGTCACTCCGCTCACACTGACGGACCAATTGGTCCTGCACCATTTCCTCAAGTCTCGCCCTGGAATGCTTCCAGTGTCGGATAATTGCCAACACGAGTCTTGGCGTTAACTCTTGGAGCAATGGATCTCTTTCCTCTAACTTCCCGTCTCCTAGCTCGGGTCTCAATCACCCTAACCTTAGAAATATTGCTGAAATACCCACAGCTTCTGTCTATGCTTCTGGTACATCTATGATTAATACGGTGCTATACACCGGTTCTGCGCCAAAGAGTGCAGCGTGGGCTTGGATCTCCCTTGTAGGCGTGGTTATAAGCTATCTCTCGTGATCGATCATTAGCTAGATTCCGTACTTCTGTGATTAATTATAATGTCTGACACCAAATTTTCAAGGTGTATACTACCTTCTAAGGGTAGGCGAGATCTAAAATTGGAAGATATGAGGCGCAGCAATAAGAAATGATGAAGGGAAAAAGGAAAAGAATGAATATGACTCATTCTGAGCAAAGTCGTATCGCAGCCTATATAACTACTAGACGGGTACAATTCACTTGAAAAAATAGCGATAGCTCAACGCAGAAGCTAGGAACAAGGAAGCAGTCGCCGCACCAGCACAAGCGACATGCAGGGGCTTGTACTTGGGTGCACACAGCTCTTCAGCAGTGTAAGTGTTTCTCTCAAAAGCAAGACGCTTTAGTCCGTACCTCTCAGACTCCAGATGAAAAGCAATGAAGTTCTGTCGGAAAGAGAACCAGGATTCAGCAGCTAATCGAGCATTTGGGTCGAATCCAGTCTCGTTACCATACTCCAATGCATTCTTACCACGGGGCATGCAACTTGTGAAAGCCCTGTCCAAAGAAAAAACAATTTTCTGGACATTCTCAAGTGTTTCACAAAAGGTATCTCGGAATGTCCACAATTCTGGACCAAATCTGGACGGCCTGCCTGCTATTCTCCTGGTTCTTGTGGCCAGCAGAAGGTAGTTACGTGTCTCGCCCGCGAGAACCTCCTTCGGATAAGAAAGCAGGTCGTTTGTGTAATCAATGAAGTTCCTCAAGACGGGAGCCAGCGCTATCCAGTAAGGAGAAGGAACTTCCTCGGTGCGAGAATGCTTGAATATTGGAGGTATATAGTGAAACGAAATGCCACTCATCGAACGAAGGTACCCTGGGAATGCTGCGGCCGCACACCACTCGGAACTTGGATGTAGCCGTCCGTGTGTTGCAAGATGAACGGGCAACTCCCCCTGTTCCATGCGGTATTCCATGGTACAAGCCTCCGTGAACCCGCGAATAGCATTCGCCGAAAGGCTCCCGACCAGGGGGTCTTGGGATCCAAAGTACTCAGCACCCAATTGTAACCCGTGCGTGAGGACCGCTGTCCAAGGGGTGGCATCCGGTGGACTGTGACCGTCATTACAAGAAAAGTAGGACAAGCGGTTGCGCTCATCCGGACTGAGGATCGAGTTGTCGTCGCTTGAGAACAAGATGACGGTAGTGATGGCCATGACTAGCTTCGTCTCATGCGAGCAATGAGAATAGAAGTATTCGGCAACTTGCTCGGAAGTCTGAACTATTGCTTGTAGAGCCTGACGCTTCTCTGGGAATAGGTGTGCCAGATGCTCTTGGACCCAATTCTCGAGGTCATGGCGTAGGCGTTTGTCGGCTGGTATGGACTGGTGCTGATGTCCTATTCCTTCAAGCAATAAAAACAGACATTTGCGTACACATTGAAACACCTCTTGTCTTTGTTGATCACTTAGACCAACTTCATCGTGAAACTCCAGGCACCCGTACTCTGGCCTAGAAAGAGCAGAGAAAAAGTCAATCCTCATGTTGCAGATTGAGGAGCTAACCCTAGGGAAGCAAAAGTAAAGCCACGTCGCGGTTTATGTTGGTCCAAGTCAGGCTAGGATATATCGGTGGGGAACAGGCGATTAAGTTATCTCCTACTTTTGTGGTACTCGACAATCAAGATAGTGTCGCTATTAATTTTTTAAAGACAGCAAGGTCGAAGCAAATGGGGCAGTTTATCATTATCCGGCCTATAAAGATTGACCATCGACTAGACTGGATACTTGTTCTAGTACTGAGAAGACGTCATAAGCTGAGTTGTCACTATGCCGTGATGTTCTATCAATGCGTAGCAGAAGCAAGTGTACATGAAGATCTTTTCGCATTGATCGATGTACATTTCTCCCTTGAAGTCTAATCAGTACCTGGTTTAAAACCTGGATTCTGATACGCTGGACATCATGCCGCCTAAGACTGCAAGGAAGACTCTGCGCGATTTCCTTGTGGAGCATCAGGCGGACGTCTGTGTTACCTAGTTACTAGACCAATGAGAAGCTACCAAGAGGGCTTCACTATCGGCTGAGGAATTTCGTGGCAACCCAATGTTAACCTTATTGTGGCTCGACAACTAACTCATAACTGTTAGGACTGTTCGAGTAGGGAAGTCACAGAGGATTCACGAACTCGGAGAACCGGCTCCACCTTGTGATGTCAAGCAAGGGACAGCAGTCGTGATGGCACAAAGCTAAGTCATCAGGAAAGTCCCCTACCTTTCTATAGTTCACTCAATGAAGTGGGCGTTACACTGTGAAGGCGATGGGTTCTCAATAACGAGTCCGGCTTCCGCAGGAAGCCACCCGCGCTAATAGAAGGGGATGAGAGATGGACTCCTCATTTTTGACAAGCCTTATAAATTGCATGTGAACAAGCAAGCGCCTGGTACACCCCATAGGAGCCACGCCTCACACATCTCAAAATGGCAATTGCGGAATATCTGACAGCAGTGGCAGCTATAAGCCTACAGACCTTATTGTCTCCGATCCCAGAAGTCACAACCATAAAGGTACTAAGTAGGTATATTTTCGTGAATCTTGTTGAAGGAATGGAAGAATATATGGGTGCTCTGCTTCCGCCGCTGTACCTGAGGGTTTTTTTTTTTTTTTGTGGGTGGAGGGGAATCGTGCAAGTAGTAGCTAAGCCTTCCAGTTCGCGAAGATTGTGTTGATTGCTACATTTATGGAGACTAAGCACATCTTGATTATGAATGTGATGGACTCTGAAGTAATAAATTGCTTTAATGAGTAACACATTTTAACTGCAGGATCTGCTAGTAGGACAAAAAAAACTTTGAACCATGTTTTCTTGCCATTAGTTCAGGAAAAGAATAAATGTTTGCTTACTCTCAAATGCACGACAAAGTCTAAGGACGGCAAGCATCAACAATATATTTCTTAACACTTATGGTTTATGCCTCCAACATCATCCGCCTTAACTCCTCCGCCTCACCACTTTTATTGACCATATCCTGGAACAGGCCATCAGCCGTTTCCACCAACTCTCCAGGGCTTCCAAATTCCGCTGCAACACCATCCTTCATGACCAGGATGCGGTCAAAGTCGGCCACAGTACTGAGACGGTGTGCAATCACTAGCAGGGTGGTGTTCGTGAACGCCTCTCGAATCGACCGCTGGATCAGGATGTCAGTCTCCATATCCACCGCGGAGGTAGCCTCATCGAGAATCAGAATCTTGGGTCGGGACAGAATAGCGCGCGCCAGACAGAGCAGCTGTTTCTGTCCATGTGACAGGTTCGATCCACCCGAAGAAACTGGCGAGGATAAGGACTGGAATATGTTGGTGTTTCCGTTCTGCTCGGAAGCGGCAATGGTGGAACTAGCACCAGAGTGGTCATCCTCGTCGTTCTTCAACAGTGGCGTGCTGCTCCCGGAGGGGATGAGGTGGACACGCGCCAAAGCTTCTCGCACTTCCTGATCGCTGTATTGATTCAAGGGGTCGAGATTGGACCGGATGGTACCGGAGAAAAGAACAGGGTCTTGGGGAATGATGGCTAGGCGTGTACGGAGGTCGTGAAGTCGAATGTTGGCAATATCAATTCCGTCGATAACGACACTGCCCTTACGGGCGTCCAAGAAGCGGAAAAGAGCAAGAGATAAAGTGGATTTGCCTGTCATGGTTAGTATAGAAAGAAGAAGGTGCTCCATGCAACTTACCAGCACCCGTCCGACCAACGACCCCAATTCTTTGGTTTGGCTCCGCAGTGAAGGTCAGCCCCTTCAGGATTGATGGTAGCCCTTGTGCGTAACCGACTTCGAGCTCGTTAACCTCTACTCTACCCGTCTCGGGCCAGCTGGCCCTAACGCTGGCCCCGTCTGGGTTCTCGATCCGCAAGTCTCGATACTCGAAGATGCGCTCTGTTGCATTCATGAACAGCTCAACTCTTGTCGCAACTTGGATAGTGAAGGAAGTCAAGAAGGTGAAGCTCAGTGCGAAGGAGAGGGCGAATCCAGCCAAGCTAGCGTCGATACCCGGGGTGTTTATCACGAAGGCAGCCACAGTGGCTGGGAATAAAGCGGACACAAATCCTACGTGAAGATGGAGCCAGCTGCCCAGATAGCCAGCATACCATGTGCAGGCGGCGTAAGTGTCGATGAGATCGTACATTCGTTTAGTAAATTCTTCTGTTTTGGCAAATGCTCGAATAGTGGAGAGCCCAGTCAGGGATGCAGCAAAATGTGATATGACCGGCGACTTGCTATTAGATTCAATTCGCCTGATGTTTCGTGCAGCAGCAAGGTAGCTCCGTGCTATAAAGGCGCAAGATGCCAGGAGCAAGATTGCAACCAAGACCATAAACGGGGAAATGAAAATGGCTGCAGCCAATATACCAACCAATTCCCAGAGCGTCATGGCAAAGTAATAGAACATCTGCGGGAGCTGAGAGTCCAGAAGGGTGAAGTCTCCTGTGAAGCGATTTAGGATCCTTCCCGTGGGAACTGTGTCGAACCATCGAAGAGGTGCATGGAAAACGCTGTGTAGCATATCCTTGAATATTCTTCGTGATGCGCGGACGGCTCCATAGTACAGGTTGAATACCCGGCTGACGGCAACTATCACTGACAAGGTCGAAATGACGCAATACAATCCCAGATAAAACCACAAACTCCGGTTCTGAACGTTGATCGGGATGCTGTTTGACCTGCTCATGCAGATTGTATGCGTTGAATAGCCTGCCAACTGTATCTGCGGGTTGTTGTGCTGAGGGCATGATGTATATTGAGTCACCCCCTGCTCATCGCCATAGGCATCCGCCCAGATTCGTATCCAGTAATTTCGAGCTAAAATCAATGCCTGGAACAGCGCGAATAGACATGAAAGGATTATCCAAAATGACCATCCTCCGGTTGCCTTAAGATACCCAGAATAGACTGACGTCTCGACGCGACCCGTGGCTCTCGTCTCCGCCTCAATAAGCTTCTTAGGGGTGGCCTGGAGGGCAGCAGGGGCAGAGGCAGCCGGCACTGTCAACTCCTCTTCTTCCTCAATTAAGATCTCCCTGTTATCTGGTGCTTGAAAAGAATCGAGTTCGCCATCCACCTCTAGTTGGTCCACAGAACCTGCGTGTTTGAGAGTTCCGTCAGCGGTGAGACTAACAGCATATTTCGCTCCAGATGAACACAGCGACACGTGGTGGGTAGCGAGAATCCGAGTTCTGCCCTCTGCAAGCTCGCCCATTACTGCGTTTTCATAGACATGCTTGCCCACATGAGCGTCAAGAGCGCTAAAGACATCGTCCATTATGAGGATTCCAGCGCGTGAATAGATAGCACGTGCTAGACTCAAGCGCCATTTCTGTCCTCCACTAAGACTGATTCCCTGAGCACCCACTTCTGTCTCATCACCGTCCTCGAACAAGGCCAGATCAGTAGTCAGTGCACATGCTTGTAGCACCTTCTCATATCTGACCGGATCAAAGGGTAAACCAAAAAGGATATTGTTCTTGATCGTGGCATTCTCAATCCACGGCGTTTGAGAAACAAAGGCCATGGCTGTTGGCAAGATCCAGTTGCCAGCAGTCGCCTTGCTATCAAAGCGCTCCTGGGGACGGACATCTCGCGGGACATGGACGTAGCCACCCAGCACCTCTACCTCTCCCAAGATAGCCGCCAACAGTAATGACTTTCCTGATCCTGTCGGGCCCGATATAACACTGAGAGCATTGTTGGGAAACACCAAGTCGAGATTTCGCAGTGCGAAACGGTCGGCTGCTGCTTCCTGAGCATCGCAGGGGAAGGTCACGGAAGCACCATGGAACGAGATGACCTCACCCGGATGAGTGTTTTCCTCTTGCTCTGGCGTGCGTAAAAACTGGTCGATTCTGTCGGCACTCACCTGGGCGGTGATAACTGATACTAACAAGTAGGGGATCCGCCCAACAATGCCCTCAAGCTGGAGGAACAGACTGATCGCTGTGAAGGCTACGGAAGGCAGCAAGCTTCCGTGGATGTAAGAATATGTCGTGAGAGACAAAGCCGTCAGAACAATGGGAGTAAACTCCGAGCCGATTGTCATGTAGATATTATCAAGCCTGCTGCTCCACAGAACCGACAACTCCTCTTCACGTACAGTTTCGAGTTTTTCTGACCACACATCTTCAGCAGCGGAAAATTTGATCTGTCGGATACCATGCAGAGCTTCCGTAGTCATTGTGGTGCGTTTATCCCGGATTTCCATCAGGGCCTTCTGCTTCCTACCATAGCGCTTCGCTAGGTATTGGTTGATGGGAAAAAGGACCGCAATGCCCAGGAGGCCAGCGCACAAGCTTTCCCATCCAATGAGCAGCCACAAAAACGCCACTGTCACCAGCATCTTACCGACAATGTTTACACACTGGGAGCTTTCGGACGCAAAAATGGCGATTTGGTTGCAGTCGACCGCGAACATGTTGATGATGTCTTGTTCGGATTTGGAGGGGCCATCCTGGCCCGACTGCGAGTAAAGAACAATCAGTAAGGCAAACAGAC